GTCTCTTGTTTGAAGCTAGCCTGAAATTCCATTGCCCTGGGTCGAGTTCATCAAGTCTTGCCCCTCAAAAGGGAATACCGTCAAAAAGTGGTTCTGAACTGGTCTCGGTTACGGTTTCACCCAAAGGTGAAATCAAAAAGGGCTGGAGAATGATGCTACCATGGCAGTGGCCTTGGAATGGCAGAGTAGAAAAGTGGCAAGGGGTTTAATTACCTCACATGCCTAAAGAAGAAATCCTTCTAGTAATTAGGAGGATTACGAGGGAAGTGGAAGCTCCTCTCAGCCAGTCAGGACTGAGCGCTCAGAGACGTTAAACAAATGCGTTTGGTCGGAAACGAGAAGCTGGGGCTTGCAGGCGAAGAAGTATGCAGATTTCGTCCGAGCAAAATACTGGCCTACCTGCTCGTACCGCCTCTCCGCGTTTTATAGTTCGGTCGACTTGCGAGGTCAGCTACTCGGATGAGACGAACGTTTAGCCTACCGGCCGTGTTCGCGGAGCGTCTCTCTGCTTGGGCATGGATATCAAAAAGCTTCTTGGCCCCCCCCCTCCGTCTAGACAGCTGTAGAAATTACTGTTCATGGAAACAGACTCCCAACTCGTGTTAGACTGGAATGCCGCCGGCAGGCCAGGCGTACAGTATGTACGAGCACGTAGACGGCCGCGAAAGCAAAACACCTGGCCAATCACCAAAGGCTATTGACGGTGAATCAGGAACCAATCTCACAGGCTCACGGCCCACAGGCCTCGAAGTTTGGCTCTCCTCGGTTTGGTTGACGTCCAATCTCTCCTATCCAGTCTCAGCATGTCCAAGCACCCCGGCAGGATCATGTGCTTAGGTAAGTGCGCTAGTTGGTCTCTCCACCTTTCGCCACGGGTGGGCCTTGCTCTTCACTAGCCTCATCGGTGTCGTGAGGGCCGTACGATGTTACAGCATGAGAAACAATGCTGAGCACGAGGTGCCTGGGCAGGGTGGGGATGGAGCCGTATCGGAAGCCTCGCAGGATCGGCCCCCAGCAGGCTGACAGCTTTTGCTGGGCTGGCGCTTGCTCGATTACTCGTTTCAAGGTGCGGCGACGATACAACTGCCGTAATCATGTTGATCACACTCCCTCCACTATACATTTCCTCAAGGGAAAAGTGGTACGTAAGAACAGGCTTTCTTGGCCTCTCGATGACCAATTGGAATCTGCATTGGTGATGCTGGGTTGCAGGTTCTATCATTGACCTCCCTTGGAAACCATTGAGCGAGTCAGAGCTGGGAATCATCTCGATCGCGTGCACACGGAAGTGCATGTACCGCATGCAGGAGGGGTAGGAATACTCTGGACAGTTCAAGTTTCTAGTTACCTTTCCTCGCACCTCGCATGGGGCCTGCCTCCGATGATCCGAGGGGATGCTCAAGACTGAGATGACTGATGAGTTTCCCAGTCGCGAAAGTCATTACAAAGGCTCTTTTGAGTTTGAACACATGGCTCAGGGGGGAGTGATGAGGCGAGCCACCAAGCAGCCAGACTTATGCCCGGCTGCGATCGAGGTGTTGACGTCGTGATCGGCGGCCAATGTCAACGAAGCGGACAAACAGAAACGGATTCCGCGTCAGTAGCAAAGGTTTTTCGGGATAGTCTTGCGATATTGGCATTACATGGCTTGGGAAGTCATCATATCCCATAGTTTGGACCTCCTCAAACAATTCAGAGGTCGACCCGCGAGTGCCATTCGTAAGAATTTCGACTTATTACCCAAGACAGTACTACGGAAGTCAGGCCTGATTGAGCGTAGATCCTAAATGGCCCATTCTTTGTAATACAAAACCCCCCACCTGCCTCGTACCTGGAACTCTTTGCGAGATGGAAACGTATAGACATGGCGATCGTCCTTGCTTTTCACCCCGGGACTCGTATCAAGAGGCGGCTGATGCTGATCTGAGTGTCATAGGCTGCGAGCAACGAGGGACGGATAGGCTCAATAGTGTAGTGTCGACAGCGCAGTGGCTGGCCGAGGAGAATACTGCAACGGGCTCGAGATACCTCTGCGTAATGGCACGGCCGCATGTGTCATTGCTTAACTAAGGACCATTTGGGGCAAGACTCGCCGGATGTTGGTTGGATGGTTTGGTGACCAAGGAGGTTGTTAGCTTCGTTCAGACGCCAGATCTCACAGGAAGTACGAGGTACATGCCTTGGCCGGTCGCGGTGAGAGAATGCCAAAAGACTCTGGATGTTCATGCCGGACAAATACGACTTCTGTTCGTCCGCTCCATCACAATCGGATCGGGCATTCACCTCTCAAAGCAAGCTTTCGTCATGGGAAGGACGCCCCTGGAGCTGCATCCGCTATTTCAAGCAAGAGCGAAAACGCCTACCGAGTGCATTCTCGCAGAGCGCCTGGTGTGTGCGCGGTCGCGGTCAGGCCCAGGTGAATTGCTAATCAAGGCCGACAGGGCGGATGTACCTCGTACTGTAGGCTTGGGCTGACTGTTGCGGCCGCGCCCCAGCGCACATCAAGGGGCCTGGGTATGAGCTTCGTCTCCCCCGTTTGTAGTGGGCGAGGACTTCCTGGAGGTACGAGTATGTACGAGTGGGAATTGAACAGTAGCAGCTCCGGTCTATCAAACGAGAAGCACAGTTTATTCCGGAGATGGCTCTGCCTTGCGAACGCCTGCTACCTATTTTAGGCGTCGTGATTGAAATGACCGATAGGTTTCAGGCCAGCCAGGGGTTCCTTTTGCGAAGGGTGCAAGGTTACCTTCGTGCGCTCGGTCCCGAGGATCCTGAAACTGGGCCTGATTGCCAGAAAATTTGGGGGGGGCGGGGTGTTTGATATGAAAGTTCATCTCGATTCGGGAGGACAACATGAACAGACTGTCAACGGTGCTCCCGCGTGGATATCTCGTACCGATTGTCGTAAGATCCTTGTTGGTGTCTCACGAACATACTTGGGTCCAACAAGCGCGATTCAATGACAGGCTCGCAAACATTATTGACCGATTATCGGCCGGATTCTGCTGAAAGAACTGGGCACGGGCACCCAACGGGCGCCGAGAGCAGAGATTACCTAATGCAAGCAAAGGACATATTGCATTCGGACAGCACGAGTGAGAGTCCTTAGGAACGCCCGGGCCGCCGTGGGAGGTGGCGCCCAATGACGGTCGGATAGAGATTGGCCCAGGTAAGCTTAGGAACATGACGAGTAACTCTATACGGAGTAGATAGATAGATAGATGGGGAACATGATGTACTCCGTAGGTGGCCAGCATTACTAATTACTGACTCCGCAATCTTCTGAACGGATCCTTCGCTATGATCAAACCCCCTGCGCCCATGCAGAAGGAAGGAATTCCGTCGCAATGCATTCCCTCGGGCCCCACTAGGATCCAAGGGATGAGGAGTGATCAATCTACAAACGATATTTCCGTCGGTCGGCCTGACGGGCACGGGTCGGATTGTGCACGAGAAGGATCAGAATTGGCACCATGGCGAAACACATTCCTACATTGAGGGTGGGAATGTATAGGATGTTGAATCTTTGGGATGGAAGGGCGTGACTACGTACTGTAGATCTTACACAGCCATCATCGTGGCATGGGTGTCGAGTGCCCACTCGTACAGTCAAGTCGGCTCTCGTCTGTTGTAGGCGGACAGATTCAGGCCAATGGGAGCGTCGTTGGTATCGCATGTTTGCCCAGATCAAGATCAAGTGCTTGTCCTCCGTATGTTATGCAAGCGTTCCAGTTCAGATGGCCTGGAGGACCGATTCTATGCTATTGCCGGCACAAGGGCGCTTCGGGCCTCAAAAGTACCTGGAAAAGGCAAGGATCTTGGGGGACCAAGACCAATATCGAACCACGATCTCGAAGACTCAAAATCCTCCGGGCAGCCCTCGGGCACGGGGAGGGGGAAGGGGAAGGGCATTGAACGTCCTCGTCCTCGTCCTCGCATGGCTAGCCCGTGGGATGATAGCATTGTCGTCTCGTGTGGTTTGCATCACGACTCACGAGGGGCCACGGGCGCCCGAGGAGGATGGGCGCCCGTGTGGGCCGACGCCGCACATCCTCGCTTAGCTAAGAGATACTGATCAAGTGGTGGTCAAGGTACAGCGGACTCGGGACCACGGCCATCTGAGGTCCTCCGCATGTACTCGGACGGGTGCTTCAAGACGTTCATGCACAGCGCATGGACAAGGATGGCTGGCAATGGAGTCTCTCTCTCATGCACCGGCCATTCCGCGCGCGTATCCGTACTGCGGCCTGCCCCACTGGGACTAGGCGTAGCATGCCTTCAAACGAGGCTTGATGATCCTCCCACAACGCATGATTGGTTTGACAGGTGTGTGATCACTAATACACATGGACCGGAGCAGGTGGACATGAGCTGGGGAGGGACTCGTGCCTTGGCTCGCTCGGAGTTAAGGATCACCTAGCCAAAGAGTAAATCCCTCCAAACAGACAGCTGGTCTCAAGCTACGCGCTCCGTGCGAGGAACATCGTTGCAGGAGTAAGTGAGAGCCGGTCTTCATGCTGAGCTGCCTGCTTTTTGGCTGTGCTCTCCTCGGTCAGGCATGGAATCGACATCAGTATTCATAATCACTAGTACATAACATCCCATCGCACCGAGGCCGGGAGTCCTCAGGCGGGCGTCCCTTGCGTGCCTCATGCTTGCACCCTCGCAGCAGGTTGTGCTCTGTCCACAGCACTCCGTATTGCCTCCCACTCGGCGTCCGACGCTACTAGACATGAACCTCTTCGGGTCCGTCAGTAGCTGTGTTGTGTCATCGTTCAACACCCGTTGAGTGTCTCAGAGGAGGACTCTGTCTCGATGGCATATCCGTATGGTTTCCATGTAGCCCAAGCCTTAACGCCCGATCCAATCGTGTTCAATACATCACCATCCAGTGAAGGGTCATGTTCTCCGCCAGGTAACGCCACTTAGAAATGCGGTATGAAACGCCGTGCCACCAGGACCAGTATTTTGACCACCGTTCCATCATCGTAAGTACAGATCTATCGTGCGCCCGTAGATGCCTGTGACAAGATGGTTGGTCCCTGCAATGCGGCTTGAGATGGAGTCATCTCTGAAGAACCAGTCCTGGCGCGCTTGACACCTGATGCTTCTGAATAGGTAGGATCGGGATATCCACTGCGATGAGAATCATGGTGCATACCATCTTGAATTTGGGCCACAGCGCCGAGCTCGGAAAGTCGAGGTAGGGTTCCCGGTTGTGTCGAAGGGCCTGCTTTGCCCGGCTGGAGTCCATCGACATTGCTGGGCGGAGGTGGTACTTCGCCTTGTGATTCTAGTAACCGTGATTGAAGATTGATGATATAGTCACGCAACTGGTAGTTCTCGGCTTGCACGGCTTTAAAGTTTTCGCTTAGAACTTGATAGTCCCGAACCTGCTCCTCGAGCTTCTTGATATAACCCTCTTTACGTTGGCGGAATGCTCTCTGGAAGGGGATTGGTCAGCCACGGTGGAAGAGGGGATAAGTGAGGAAAGATACATACTTGAGCTGCACGGTTCTGGGCTGCTCTCTTGCTCGTGCTCAACTCGCGTTTGCCGTAACCTTTACGGCCATCTCCATTGTCGCCGCCATCGCTCTCGGCACTTCCAGTTACGTTGTCGTTGGGGTCATTGGGTGAGGAAGGTTGTTGGGACATTGGGTCAATGTGCTCGGGAAGAGCGGATGATTGTGGTGGAGGATAATGTTGCTCTCGCAAAACTATTGAATGCTTAGAGACAGGCCATGGAGATAACAGCTGAGTAATAGATGTCATGGTGGTGTGGGGGATGCCGGTGGGTGGTGGTGTGGTTGTGTGGACAGGGCACACAGGTTGAACTTGGGAGAAGGCACAAAGACAAGAAGCAAGCGACCAGCAAGGCAGGATAGACCAGGCTGGAGAAACAAGGTGATGGCGGGAGGGTATATGTATTTAGTAGATTAGATAGGTAAGTGTGAACTGTGATGGAGTGCGAGGACGAGGATGGGGGTGGTACCCTTGTAATTAGGTACTCGATGAATGATGCAGCAGCCTTAAGATGAGGATGGGCGAGGGACTTTGGAATGACGGGGCTGCAGGATTGCCGATACGGTATTGAGAGGTAACAGTACGGCGTACTGCGGACGGGATCGGCGACTGGCAACGGGCAGTAGTGGGGCAGGGAGCAGGGGAGTAGGAGTAGGAGGAGTCAGGGCAAGAGCAGCAGCAGTAAGAGGCGAGAACAGTCAGAGACCCAGACGGAGGGATTGGCAGGCCTGAAGTCTCGTCCTCAGCAGGGCCGGTATGGAGTGTTCGGTAGAGCCGCCTGAAGGCAGATGCAGAGGCAGAGGCGGAGACAGTGAAAGGGTGGGTCGGGGATTACTATACGTACGGTGCTCGGCTGTGAGAGGGTCCTGTTGCTTAAACGGGTCAGAACACTTGCCGCAACAATTACGCTGAAAATAGAAGGATAGGAAGAAGGAGGAGTAGGAGGCGAAGAGGTGCAGCAGCCAGGTACCGAGTCGACCACTTGCTTGGGAGGTGTATGCAGGCCCCGGCCAGAGATGATCGGTCAGCCGAAGGGCTTCGACGATGCATTGGGGCCAATCATTGGCGGAGAGGTGAACGCGCAACCAGAGAGAGACGCGGAGGAATGGGCGGAGGAGCAGGCGTCCGACTGGCAGGGGGTTTGAGGCAGCGAGGGAAGCTTGAGTGACTTTGTTGCTTACCTGAGGCATGATGGAAGTGGAAGTAGTGGTGGGAGCGAGAGCAGGCGGAGGAGCAGAGGGAGAAGTAATTGTTGTTGTTGGTGTTGTTGTTGTTGTGGAGGCGGTGGTGGTGGTACGAGGCGCGAGGGCGGGTTGCATGCTTTGGCAAACAGACCCTACCGAGTAATCCGCGGTATAGTCCGCAGTCCCTCGTCGGCAGTACGAGTGGTAGTCAGGGAGGAGGATGCTTTGTCAAGGCGCCGCGGGGTGCAGACTCAGAGCGACAGAATGCAGAATAGATGAAGAGGATGGAAAGAGTAGTCAGCAGGGAGACCGCGTGAGACCGAACAAGAAGTGTACGAAGTACGAGGAGGCTGCCTCAGGCGTCGAAGCTGCGAACTGCAAAGTGGTCTTAGGTAATGCCAGAAATGGCAGAGAAAAGGAGGATAGAAAAGAGGAAAGGATTTGGCGGCTGGGAAGTGGGTGGATTAGCAATTTCTTACATAACAGCAGGTCCCAGTGCTCCTGCTCGTGCGGATACGACGGACAAACTGCACTCGAGGCAGTGGCGCCTCTGGCCAGTAACTACCAGCACCGAGTCGCGACGCGCGACTCGCGACCACAGCTGCAAGCCGCTTGCCAGTCTGGTCCTAGCGTCTAGGGGGCGGCCGCCGGATGCTCAGGCTCAACTCCGTGGCTGCTTCCCTCCTCGGTCGCGACGTGCAATGTCATTCTTTCCGTTTCATCGCCCATCGCCCCACCCCCCACGTCATTCTCATCCTTGGCATCTATTCTCCTTTGGGCCTGACTTCTCGTCTTTTTTCGCACACACACAAATCACCAAATCACCCCACCCTCACCCTCGACACAGGCTGCTTACCACATACTCCCCTTTTGGCGTGGTGGGTCTGGTGCCTCTTGATTCCTTCGCCTCCATCCTTTCTGACCTCGCACCGAGTGAGGCTTCGTGCGAGTGTGACCAATCCATCCGCACTGTTTCCCCTTTTAGGGTCTCGGCATCATCATTCCTGCTGACTGTTATCTTACTGTTCCACCACGGATAGGACATGGGTGGCATGGGTAAACTTTTGATTACTCCGTCCTGTACTCCGTACACTTGTTGCACAACCTACCCTCCACCAATATCTATCGCCGCATCATGTGGACCTGCCTCTGGTCGTCCATTCTCGCCATCAAAACATCTGATTCACAAGGAATCGTGACAATTGGCGATTACTGCAGACAGCCTTGTCCCTCCTTCATTTCGAAACGAGTGCTCTAAAGCGGCGATCGAGATCCGCGTGAAGTCATTTTGCAAGGTACTAAAATAACGAGAGCCCGTCAACTCGAATCCTTCCCGTGGGGATCATGTCATCGTACCTTCTTGTCTGAGCATTTCAATCTGGGTGTCTTTTCCCGAGACACCTGCTACCTAGTTAGGTAGAAGTTGACTAGTTCCCAGAGAACAAGCACTCTCCTGCGGATGCAGAATTCTTCTCGTGAATTCTACGAGTAGTTACTACCCCGTCAATAAAAGCGGAATTAAGAGCTACCCCTTTTGGAGAATGTCGCTGCTTCAACTCTTGTCACAACACGCACTAACACCAAATTTAACTCGTGGTACATCTGGAAGTTGGCCCTCGATGGCCACGCACTTGAACCCGGCCTAAAAGTGACGCCCCATGTAAGGAGCGGCAAATTTCTAATAAGAGCAGAGCCTGCGCGAAGCTTTAGCCTTTAAAGGGGCACCACCTCGGACCGGACTCCGTGGGATGATGCTGCGTGGTGCTTTCTAACTCAGCAGCGTTCAGGATCAGTGGATCAGACCGCCTGAAGCAATTGCACAAGAGGTTCGGGGTGGACGAATACTCCTGGCCATCAACCCCGATCTCCTGCTCATTATGAGCCCATCGTAAGCTATCCTTTCTCCTTACTCGTTGACATGATCTATCTCCTTCCCAAAACGCCGCGAGGTCCAGGGCTATGGAACTTCGACCTGGCGCCGGATGCTGGGTAAGCCCGAGCAAGCATCCTGGGATTCTCACCTTTGATGTCAGTCTTGCCGCTTGCGAAAATACCCTGTCATATCTAGTTTCAGAAGCCACTCAAGCGAAGCCCTGACCGCCCAAGTTTCTCTTCAAAGACAAGCTTGTAGCAACAGCCAAGTTCGCCGACTTGGAACCCGGCAGGCCACTTACAAAGAATTGACACCAGTTCGCCTAGCGTCTGAGCACATCTCTGCTGAGGTCTCCCTGGTCTTGTCCTTCTTGTAAAGCTACTTTAGAGAGATACAAAATACGTATGGATACATTATGTACTGTCCTATCATCGAGGATGAGTTTACGATCTTTGTGAAGCATAATGGAATCGTCACTTTGACGAGAGGACCGAGACTGACCATACCAGTTGAAGCCAGTTGAAGCCCTTTGATGCAGGATCGGTGTACATCCTCAGTCATCATTCATCGGTTCCCGCAAGAGAGCGTCTCGAGCTCTCGTCCTGCCCTTTTTTTAGGCCCTGGATATGAGTCTTTCAGCCTTCTTTTATCTGGGGAAATGATTTTGCGACACATGTAAGGAGTGGCGGGTTCTGCACCTTAATGATGATGAGACTGATCTCCAAGCAGAAACCTAGCCAGTCCCCTTGGCCTCAAATAGACAGCAGCCCAATTCACTCCTCCAGCATGCAGGCATTGCTGTCAAGCATCCCCGCACAATCGATCTCTATGTTGTTCGTTCCTTGCAGGCTCGGACGTCTCAACTTGCTTCATCATTGTGTACGAACCTCTTGCGCAGCATATGGTAGCGTCTGGGAGAACGGTCGTGATTTGACTCGTTCAACTCAGGCCCTGCGGCACGTGGTATCAAGCTCCATGCCTCTTGACCATTCAGCCTAGCGGGACGTACCTAGATGTTTGCTACAGAATCCAGGCCAATTGGTTGTAAGCAAAAGAAGCTGCATCAATGAATACAACCCCCAAAAGTGTCGACGGAGCTCGAGGCACGACTTGTACACGACTTCGAACCAAGTTGTCGGCGGGTGACCCATGAGTCCGTATTCATGAATACCGCAAACTTGGTGTTTGACTGCCCTACCTACCGCGCTTCTTAGATACCCAGGAAGGTGCGTACCCTTGACTCCATCGGATCGACGCAAGATATGTAAATACAGCTCCGAAGCCTGACTCTGAGGCCTGAGCAACATCCAACGCATGTCCAGACAAGGCCGAGAGTTGCAATTCCCCGAGCAAAGGCATATGCGCGCCTAGCCGGCTACGACTATTACGGGCCAGTTCTTATTGCTCCTTCTTTGCGATACGGCCCCTTGAAAAGGCACCGTGCAGGATTCTCTCGTAACATCCTCCTAGTCGTTTCCCGACGCAGCTGACGGCCGAGTCTTCAAATACCTTTGGTCTTATCTTTGGTTTCTTGCAACCTTCTCTCGGCCAATATTCGGGCTGTTCTTTCTTCACCGCCCGTATATCTCCGCAAGCTAAGGAGGATTGTATGTAACTGTGCTAAAAGATGATAATGACCGGAGCGCCACAGTCAGACCGAAACTCGTGCCATTGCCACGCTCATCGTGGCAGCACGCTCTCCCACATCGGCCGTCGCGACACTGACTGAGACGACTGTCATGGCGCGATACTGACTCAGGCGACATTAGAAAAGCGCTTGCTCGTAGCCAACAGGATTGGGGTTACCGGGAATCTGATTGACAGTCAGCACTGATAGCATGCATGGCTATCAAACAGTACCTAGGCCTCTGTCATGCTTCCCCTGCACGACAGTACTACCAACATCGGACCCGCCTGACATACGATGTTGAGAATCGAAACAACTGACTGAGTATGGCACAGGGTCGAAACGGCAGGAGAGTCTTGCAACACTCCCGCTGAGTCCAGAATGCAGATGCAAATTCCATAAACCCTGCTGCAGTATGCTCCGAGCGTGTGATGTGATCGAGCCTGACACATCCGCCTTGGTTGGAACTTGGAAGGCTGGTGTCATGTCCATGCTGTGTTGTAGTCTCGCGAAATGCAGCCTGGTAGGTCGAGTGGCTTTCGACGCCCGGACCGAGTGCGCCTCGTGGCTTTCAGTGCCTCTCTTGGTGTTCTATCATAATGACAAATCAAGCTTCTTGGAGCTAGGACTTCCTACTGAGTTGAGAACTCTACACTACCTTGCCTGCCTGCACGGACACCCTGCACGCAGAGTTGACAGACCGTTATTGAGCAGATTATTCTATACTTCATTGTTTGTACTCTTTCGCGCTTTGGGCATAAGCATGTCTCGGCACATGCGTAACCTTTTGGCGCGGGTTACTACGCTCATTGCTAATGTATTCTCTTTGAGTGGCCTGCCACTTTGACCACAGGGTGTGTACTCCTTTCTCTTCCGGGGCTCAGGCATGCATCGTTTTACTCGTTGGGCTCATTCTTGTTCTCATTACCTCCGAAACTATCATTGTTGTTTGCTGATAGTACAAGTTCCCTCTTATTTCATTCATCATTATGTGTCCTCGCTCGTCGACGCTGCGACCGGAGAGGCCGGTCTCTGACAATGGTCGGCTTGCTTGCTGGTTAGAACAACAAACCAGCGTAGAAAACGCCCAGAACATGAGCGACCCCTTGTAGGTAAAGCTTGCGTAGCTTCACAGCTGCCGGACTGTCAAGGTGAAGCATGAACCGAGACGGGCCGTGTCTTGCAGATGCAGCACTAGAAGGGCTTGGGTTGCTGGAGGTCGGCGGTACGCCGGTTGCGGTATACACGCCGGTTGGAAGGCTGGGGGTGCTCGTGGTGACTGTAGCCGTCAGGGGAGCCGAACTACTCATAGTCTGGCTGCTTCTCGTGCTTAGAGTGTTGCTGGAATTATCGGATGGCATGGGAAAGGGTGGAGCGCTTGTGAACATGCTCGGCGGTGCTGTGCCTGGGACCCCAGCCATCGTTGTTGCGTCAGCTCCCGGAGGATGCCAGTCTGTAGGATGATCATATAAGACGCCGTTGATGATGACCCCAGCGTTGTTTGCGACCACATTCTTTTGGTCAGTCTGACAGGTTGAATTCATGGCACGCAGGTAACACGTTGGCGCCGCCATTGCGGGAGCAGAATTTAAATGCGTTGAATTGAGATCCCCACTTGAGGCAAACGTTGCTAAGTCAACGAGGTTGCCTGTGCCAATGTCTGTACCCGCTATGATTCGAGCAAACACCGTGAACATTGTTTCTGGCTGGTATGCAGGAACCAGGTGACCGGCATCGTAGATTCGACTGAAACTCAGGTTTCCAAATTGGCGAACTACACCGCCGACGTACGAAGCGTTGGCCACAATGGGTGCATAGCCGGAAGAGTACCAGGGTAGATATGAAGGGCCTGCAGCACCTGCTATGGCGAAAGAGACCTCTTCCCCTCCGAGCCAATTGCATATGTAATCCCGGTCACCGTAGATGAGAGCAACTTTCACGCCAGAGACGAGAAGGTCAACAAGGTCGGCCACGATCCCGCTGCGAGCATAGTCGCCTGTCGCGTTGAATGCTGTGAACACAGCCATCGAGTCCTGAGTATAATTGACCGGAACTCCAATGGCATTTTGTACAGAAGCTTGATTTAAATACTCAAGATACAGAGACCGAGGAAAAGAGTCAAGCATACCCTGAGAGATATCGTATATCGATCGATTTGATATGGTGTACGGCCCAACGATCCGAGTTTGACAAAGATACTGAGCCTCGGAACAGGCAGCATTCACTTGCTCCACGCCTCCGTCGCCAAGTGGATCAAGGGTAGTGGCTAGGGCTCGGCAATTGAGTGTCAGTTGTTGACAGCCGTTGTCACCCCTGAATGCGCTCAGGGCATTTAGCTGTTGAAGCTGTGAAATAGCCTCGATTCCATATGTATTTTCGTACGCGAATCGAGGGTGGAAGGGAGCTTGAGTAAGTAGGTCGATCCAACCATTTATAATGCCCAGAGAACTGAGATCTACCTCAATAGTTTGGTTGGCAAAATCAATATCATTCTGCCGACGATCATTTTGGGATTTGAAGAAAGAACCAACAGCCGGTCCATATTTCCCTCCATAGCTCTCAGTGAAGAGATGCACTTCTGCAACTGGTTCTTTCGCCTGAACTCGCATGGCGGTGTTGTATTCCGGAAAGGATGTTAAGAAGGTTTGTAGAAAATGCCAAATTGACTGTGCCGCGATTTGCGAAGTGTTGGCTGTGAATGATGGGTTTCCAGAGCCAAAGGTTCCATTGAGGAAGGTGAACTCTGGTTGTGTGAGAGGTCTTGGACCAGGCGGAATCAGAATGGACTCATCTAACAGATTGAGCGAGGCATTGGTAGCAGTGTCGTAGGAAAACCCAACCTGGACAGGCTGGTCAATGAATATGATATTGCTGCGACGGTCCCAACCCCAATCTCGAGCAACAGTACCTAGTAGACCGTTGGAGATCTCGACTACCTGGCATGGGCCAACCTCCTGAAACAACCCAACCATACTGCTAGATCCCGGACCGCCATTGATAAAAATGGTCAATGGAGCAGATTCTGGTAGCTGTCTGGCCTCGATGAACCAGAAGAATGTGTTGATGGTGTAATTACCTTGACTGGGGTCTAGGACATCTGGTGGCAATGTGATGTAGCCTGAATATTGCTTCTGAGTGCGGAAGACCGTGGTGCATGTCCCGACGGGCACACTTTTGTATGCTATTGTGATGTTTGGGTTGATGGGCGACGGAAGGGTGATTACAGTATCATTAGTGATACGTGGAGGAAACTGAGCGAACGCAAGTGAAGAAAGACAGTGAAGGCCAACAAGGAGGTAGTTGAGCCATCGTCCGGATGTGGCCATCCGCCCTGCTGGCGAGTCTTAACCCGCTGTCCTTAGACATTGGCTGAAGGGCAAAACCGCAATTTTCACGCAGGGAATGATGGAGTGGAATAACTAGAAGCCAGCTGCTGAGATCTAGTCAGGCTGATACCTAGAATACAAATCCGATCATGAGGAGAGCGATGCGATGTGGCCACGAGCAGACCTCTCACACACAAGTCAAATCGAAAAGGTGCATGGAGGTAAAGACTGGCCAGAAAACGGAGAGTCAGACCAGGGCCTGATAGTATATGCGCATCGTCCGTTCAGAACAAACTCCTTGGAAAACAAAACCTAGATGTCGAAGGAGGCTGGGCTTTGCAATACTATTGTGGAGGCATACTCGTACAGTCCCAATAGGTGCTAGTGTCGAGCGGAAATCGGAGGCCTGCTTGCAAGCTAGGACAACTAGCATTCTACTAACCGAAGATTTAACCCTTACCACTAGGTGACTTGCTGCTAGTAGGTCACTAATGGCCCACTAATAGCTCACTAGCTAGTAGTAGGACATTAATTGCGGTCTACGAGCGACTACCGATATTATCACTAATGCAGTGACGCACACTGCCCGAACCAGCAAGCTGGGATCTTCTTTCCTTAGACGCGGCTCAGGTATCAAAGCCAACCTTAACGACGTTGGCAGTTACGTAGAGTCGCTGTAACATCTACGATCTTGGTATGGAAAAGTCTCAGTAATTGAGCCTGTACACGCAGAGAAGCGAAGCTCTTGACGATGGAGGTGAGGTCACATGTCCAAAGCCACTAGCGACAGGCAATTCCATCACTTGTACTCCAGGACTATGGTGGCTAGTGCGTGGCAGAGGGAACGCCCTGGTCACGTGTGCCAAGACCTCCATCCTAGCGCAGGCATGCGGCAAAAAGAATCGAGGTCCTGAACAACTCGTGGTTCCGCTTAACCTGACATACCAATCATTGTTGGCGACCATAACCTATCTTTTGGAAGGTGAGCGGATGAAGTCGTCTTGATTCAGTCCAACTACCAGGCGAAAATGGCCTTCACCGGCTATAATGGCTACGCTGATGATGCTATGGACGGCGTCGAATCGTCAGGACCCAAGGTCACCGTGAGAGAAGTGAGCTACATCCGGTCCTGAGTTTCTTCTCGATTGCAACTTACCACGCGACAGGTCGAACAAGATCGAGTAGATTTTGTCCTCCAATCATGCTCTTTGGGCGTGGCCAACTCTCTACGTCGCGCAATTCTTGCTGAGATTCCTACCATCTCCATCGATCTTGTCGATATTTCCACCAACTCTTCTGTCCTGCCTGACGAATACCTTTCACACCGCCTTGGACTGATCCCGCTTTTCAGTAAAGGAGTTGGTGATTTATTGCAGTATACAAGGGACTGCGACCAGTGTGATGACCACTGCGATGCCTGCTCCGTCATTTTGCGCCTGCACGTCAAGTGCACGCAGGCCGGCACCATGAACGTGTACGCCCGCGACTTGATGATCACAAACCCTCGTCAGGACTCGATTGGCCAGCCAATCTTCCGAGATGCTAATGGCACCGGACCATTGATAGCCAAACTCAGACAGGGTCAAGAGATTGAGCTAGAGTGTATCGCGAAGAAGGGGATTGCTAAAGAGCACGCAAAGTGGGCGCCTACTTCGGCGGTGGGCTTCGAATACGACCCGAACAACAAGCTACGGCACGTTGACTACTGGTACGAAACGGACGCAAAGTCAGAATGGCCTGTGGACGAGCGCAATGCCAACTGGGAAGGTGACGATTCGGCTGCAGACGCGGCGTTTGACCCCGATGCGGTACCTAGTGCGTTCTTCTTTGATATTGAGGGGATCGGAACCCTGGAGCCAGACGATATCGTCCGGGGCGGCATCGACGTGATCCAGAAAAAGCTGGCGGAGACCATCCGAGTTCTGGGCGGTGCAGATGCTGCGGGCATGGATGGCATCAACGGCGGTGGAAGTCCAGATGGATACGAGCCCGCTCCGGCGAATGGGGCATACTCTAGCTATGGTCGAGCGCCAGTCGGCGGAACCACTCCGTTTGGAGCAACACCTTATGGAGGCGGGTATGGCTCTTATTGAATTTCCATTCGGCATTCGGATTTATTGGGAAAAGTTATCGTTGGACGGGCATAGCGAGGCGTCTGCATGATGGCGATATTCGAGTTATAAGGACGGCTCTTTCCGACTAGAGCAGGCGTTCATGGTTGAGGAAGGCTCAGGCTTGGACCACAGAGGCGGCGGAAAGTACGGAGTATCGAAGGCCGAGTGGTGATTTGCAGATGACGGATGGCCGCAGAATACTGCCCAATACCCAAAGGGTGTCACACTGTGGGTACGAGACTGAAAATGTCACATCCTGAGGAAGATTCTGCGTTGGAAGGACGCCATCACCACCATAGACCTGGAGCCAAGCTGGCAGACGGGCGACTAAAATGGGCAAGTGGGAGCCGGGGCGTTGACTGGGCTGCACGAAACGTAGTCAGCAAGGCATGGAGCATTGCTTGGGTAATCGACGTGATACTACCACTGGGTTGGCGGGTGAAGTCTGAGATGATGGATTGAGGGCGAATAGTGTAGCTTGGGCACAGGTACTTATGCTTGCGTCATGCCACTTTTTGTCCTTTGATGAGCCCATTGACGCTCTTCCTTTTATTGTTGCGAAGAGCTACCTGCCGGGGAATCACGGGTATCCTTATCCAGCAATTTCTCATCGACACACAATTGAAACCGGGCTGAGGGAGTGAAACAACGCCGGACAGAGCGTGAGTGACCCGGTCTCCGTCTCTTCAAGGGAGTTCCAGTCTACGGAGTACTGTAAGAGGTATTGATTAACTATTGCAGCCAGCAGCCGCCGAACATCTCGCCATTGAACCAGAGCCGCCGTTGCTCCTCTGCCCTGGAGTGCCCCTCCCACAAGCGGGTTCTAGGTTCCGGGTTACCTGGGTCGTGCTTTCCCGTTGCCCTCATTACCTCACTCCCTGACATCAATTCTGCCCCGCCTTCCCTATCGACCACCCCTCGACCTGCGTGTACTGGCCAGCTCCAATTGGGTAATTAGGCTCAATCAAGCATCCCGCATCCCGCGCCCGTCAACAGAAGCAGAGGCAGGAGCGACCGCAGAAAACAGAAGCCGAAGCGCTGCAGTGAAAGCACCTGCCAGTGCTCCATAAAATTTCTCAACATCTGCACCACGCAGACTCTCTCCAGCTACATCACCGCTCTTCTTTCTTCTATCTCCTCTTCAAGTTTCCCCTTCTTCGTTCTCATTTCGCTATATCAACCGCAATCATGGGTTACTCCGATCTAGACTGGAAGGCCATTAACACCATCCGACTGCTTGCGGTATGTCCCTGTACCCCACCATCCCGCCATTTTCCTGGCAACTAGACTAGACACTTATCTCTCTTCTCCTAGGTCGATGCCACCCTCAAGGCCAACAGTGGACACCCAGGTGCCCCCATGGGTAAGTACTATGTCTCCAGCAGATATACACACACAAGTATTTGCTCACCATGCTTCCCAGGCATGGCACCCGTTGCCCACGTCCTATTCAACAAGTTCATGACGTTCAATCCCAAGAACCCTGACTTTCTCAACCGCGACCGCTTTGTTCTCTCGTGAGTTTATCTGAGCCCCATCACCTACTTCCTCTCAGTGGCAGTTGAGCACAAATCTTCCTGGCAAGAATGAAATATAGACGTGGAGAGAAAGAGGGGGCGGCCAGCAATACCAATGTCCCATCTCCATGATTGTTTCACAGCGATATCGATCTGCTCGAACCTCCAGTGCAACAGTAATCTGACTAGATTGACAGGAACGGTCACGGATGTATGTTGCAGTACGCTCTCCTTCACCTCTTTGGCTACGCTGTCACCTTGGACGACTTGAAAAACTTCCGAGTATGCTCGCCCCTCCCCTCCTACGAAATACCTTTGGCTAACCCCCAGACAGCAAGTCGACAGCATCACTCCTGGCCATCCCGAAGCTCACGACACTCCTGGTATCGAGGTCACCACTGGCCCTCTCGGACAAGGCTTCGCCAACGCAGTTGGTCTTGCGATTGGCCAGGCTCATACCGGTGGTGTTTTCAACAAACCAGGTTATGAACTCTCCAATAACCACACCTACGTCTTTTTTGGTGATGGCTGTGCCATGGAGGGTGTCGCTAGCGAGGCCGCTTCTACAGCTGGCCATCTTCAATTAGGCAACCTGATTGCCATCTACGATGACAACCATATTTCCATCGGTGAGCTACACACTTACCCCCCCCCCCCCGAGCTTTTCTAATTGCGGTAGATGGTGATACCAAGGTTGCATTCACCGAGGATGTGTCGAAGCGTTTCGAGGCTTATGGCTGGCATGTCCAGCATGTCGCGGACGGTGATCACGACCTCGAAGGCATCGAAGCTGCTATCCAAAAGGCCAAGGATGTCAAGGACAAACCCTCCATGATTAAGCTGACCACCACCATTGGATTCGGTTCCAAGCTTCAGGGAACGGGTGGCGTGCACGGCAACCCCCTCAAGGCCGATGATGCCAAACAGGTCAAGCAGAAATTCGGCTTCAATCCTGAGGAGTCGTTTGTTGTCCCGCAAGAGGTCTATGACCTTTACAACAAGCATGCCGCCGAAGGTGCCGCCGCTGAGCAAGCATGGAATGACCTCTTCAAGAAATACCAGAGTGAACACAAGGAGCTAGGTGCGGACCTCGCCCGGCGCCTGGCCAAGAAGCTGCCTGAAGGATGGGCAAAGAAGTTGCCAGTCTACAAGCCTACTGATGCCGCCGTGGCCTCCCGCAAGCTCTCCGAGAAGGTCCTGGAGGACATTCACGAAGTCCTACCCGAGCTGTTGTCGGGATCTGCTGATTTGACAGGCAGTAACAACACCCGATGGAAGAATGCCGTCGACTTCCAACCCCCATCTCTCGGTATTGGAGATTGGACTGGCCGTTATCTTAGATACGGTGTTCGTGAGCATGCCATGGGTGCCATCATGAATGGTCTCTCTGCCTACGGCACGGTCATTCCCGCCGGTGGCACATTCTTGAACTTTGTCTCATATGCAGCTGGTGCTGTTCGCCTGTCTGCTCTGTCGCATCAACGTGTCATCTGGGTCGCCACCCACGACTCTATTGGTCTGGGTGAGGATGGCCCAACTCACCAACCGATCGAAACTTTGGCACACTTCCGAGCCCTGCCTAACATCCAGGTGTGGAGACCTGCCGACGGTAACGAGACATCTGCCGCTTACTACAGCGCCCTAACTTCCACTGGTACTCCCTCCCTTCTGGCCTTGACTCGACAAAATTTGCCACAGCTCGAGAATTCCACGATAGAACACGCTATCAAGGGCGGATACGTTGCCGTGGAAGCAGAAAATGCCGATCTTACCATCGTATCAACTGGTTCTGAAGTGGCTATTGCGATCGAGGCCATCAAGGTTCTAAAGGATCAGCACAACCTCACTGCTCGTGTCGTGTCATTGCCATGTTGGGAAGTGTTTGATGCTCAACCCAAGGAGTATCAACTCAGTGTCCTGCCCGATGGGATCCCATCTCTCTCTGTTGAGGTCATGTCGACGCTCGGATGGGAGAAATATTCGCATGAGCAATTTGGTTTGAACCGATTCGGCGCGTCTGGCCCCTACCTAGAGGTTTACAAGGTTCGTATCTCTGACCCCTCTCGCATCGTTTTATTAACCCAGAACAGAAATTCGAGTTCACACCTGAGGGCATCGCTAAGCGTGGTAAATTGACCGTCGACTTCTACAAGGGACTCAAGCCTCGGTCGCCTGTCAACCGTGCTTTCCAGCAACTCATTTAAATAGCTAGTATCACCAGTAGAGTGACATCGCGAATGGCAGAAGACAAGGCAGTAGGCATTCAACGGACCATTGAAGCATTCTTGGGGGATCTGCCAATCAACCGACCTTTCTCGTGGCCAAGTGCAATCAGCTTGATAGGTATTAGATAGACGAAAAACGAAAATGTAGCGACTTCACCATTCCAGAATTTTGACAACATTGGATCATTGCACCTTGCTGGGCTTTGAATCTATATCAGCAGCGGCCTGAATTTTCCAGCTGAAACCTGCCAGGGCGATGGCTTCGGGAATTTTTTTCACTCGCGAGTGGGCCACTCAGCATGTCGAGGCAAGGATCGACGGCACATGCGGCTAAGTAGTATGTCAAAGTTTGCACCTCTCGAAGGAAAAAAAAAGATTTGGTTTCATGCAGGTTCGCTAATAGTAGCTTTGTCCCTGGCCCCCTGGTATCCCGTACAACAGTGCAGCTGGAGTGCGTAACACGGCTTTTTCCCAGAGAAAAGGCAGCCCACCCAACCCATCCTCAAGGCGGACCAGGAGGTCTACTCGAGATGGCGTGGCCGTTGGAGAGGGTGACAGGCGCAGAATGGCAGAATGCCATCTCTAGCCGATCGTTCGATCCGCGTGCCCATGTCCGTGTTTCCACAATCCTGCAGGTGGAAGGTGGGCTTTCCAAGACAGTTCGAGTTTGATGGCTGCGAAGTCAACCGATTTGGTCAAGATGCTTGCTGCCACGCCATGTCAACCGTGCTCTTCCCCACTACTACTCAACAAGCATCTCCATTTCTTCCTCCTTGTAGGCGAGAGAACGGAATACCCAGCAGGCTTCCATCTAACGAGTCTCTGAAGAATACGAAAAACAGCCCCTCTCCATTAGGTCTACTTTCTAGGGTCCTGTATCTTTGGCTGACTCCGGGAGTTGGTGAAGCCTCTGAGTGGAGTCCGTGGGCACCGCTTCGTTCCTAGCGCTGAAGTCTTCTGTATATCCCGTTCACTCCAACCCCGACATGATAACCATGATTCAATAGCTCTCTGCTTGTCAGAAGCAGCGCCATAACGATTGATACCTTATCACACCCTGAAGCTAAATATCTGTAAGCGGCCGAGATGCCACCAAAGACTTGGGTCATCATTGGAGCCTCGAGGGGTATTGGGCTGGAATTCGTTCGACAATTATTGGAACGCGGAGACCAGGTCATTGCAGCGGTCCGAAACATCGAGACGGCGAACCAGATCTGGCAATTGTCTGGAAAACAGACGAGGCCTGGCAGCTGCTTGATTGATCAATGCGACGTTACAGATGAGTCAAGCATTGATGTAGGTTGTGGCCCTACACATCTTCCTATGCTTCTAATATAGTCTATAGGCATTCGTTGGTAGGATGCAAGCCCTGGTGGTGAAGGGGATGAAACTAGACAACATCGTGCTGAACGCTGGAGTACTTAGATATCCAAATGTAAGTGGTACGGGCTGTTGATTTAACATCGCTAACAATGTGGGCAGAGAGCTACCGAGATGTATGAACCTATGCTCGGGGGAGGTGGCCTTTGATGATACGCGCTGACGCATATGCACCTCTCTCTCTCTCTGCAGATCGTTCAGTGATTTTGCTCTGCATCTTCACACGAACACCATTGGGCCAATCATCATAGCACAGAAGCTCCTTCGAATTAGCGCCGAAGCTCCTCCGGCCCGCCTGGTCTTCATCTCGTCTGATTCCGGATCGACTGCAATGTTTCGAGAGCATGAAGACGGCTTCGGGGCATATGGGGCGAGTAAAGCTGCTTTGAATCAGATGCTCAGACACCTTGCGGCGGAACTGAAGAGAAAAGGTGGGCTATGGGAGGAGGTCTGTGTGTTGGCAATGCATCCGGGTGAAGTGCAGACGTAAAGAGTGCCCCCCATTGCTATGATATAGGTTCTGGGTTGACTAACGATGGAGTCATAGAGACATGGCCAATATCGAGGTTGAATGGGAAGTCGAAGGCATTATCAGCCCACAGGAGAGCGTGACGAAGATGCTGAAGGTCATTGAGGAGAAGGGCAAGAGTGACAGTGGGACATTCTGGTGCTGGGATGGAAAAGTATGCCTACCTTATCCTGACATGATTGAGCGTGCATGTATGATTGGAATGGAGCTGACCTGTTGATCTGTGACAGGAATACGCCTGGTGATGATGCTTAATCCGGAACCAACAGGATCCTGGACGAGGAGCGGGAGATCACATGGCTGCACGTGGGAGCACGTGAAGGACAGGAGCACGTGAGGCTGCACATCGAAGGAAACAAGTGAACAAACAAGTGAACGCGAGCGCGACGCGCAAGTGCTGGAGGACTGTCCGAGAACAGCCCGCCGCAACCAGGACGGGATATTGGCAGGAACAGCAATAATTCTAATAACACAAAGGACTGTGCCACTTAAGATGCAGGAGGAGCAGCAGTAATATGGAATGACATCCTGGAGCCTGGCCGATCTGGTGGCCACCCCGGCATTAGGATTAGTCAGTGACGTTAATGCGACAGCTTGAGCCTCACCCTGACCCTCACTACCACCCTCTCACTCTCTTGCTGATTGCTGGGGCGGTGGATGGTGGCCACTGGCGGCAGTCTGAAATCTGGGATAGACCGCCGAGCGTTGAGTCCCGTGACCGGCCAGCTTACTGGGTCGCGCTTGCTGCAAACAGCCTAGCGCTCTTTCCAAATTCTTTTGCCTGAGAATGACTTTTTGGTCGAAACTTCTCCTGCACGCACACCACCACCCACCACGATTCAACATACATCAACCCGTCTCTTCCAACTTCCTCTGCATCTTCTGCCTTCTTGCAGTCGATTGCTATCTTCCCCTTCCCCCTCGAAAATACTCGTGCTCCCCCAAAAAAACGTGAAAACACTCGTACGAAAACCCCTTGGCCTTGTCGCTGTAAGTCTCCTGCGCCAAACCCTTGCTCTCACTCTGAACTCTGAGTGAGGGCCTCTCCTTCTCCGTCCCATCCTCGAATCCATCCATCTGACTCGATCAGCAGTGTCCGACGTTATCCAATTATCCTTGTTGAATAGCTTACCGGGGTGTCCGACCTCTTCCGTCTTCACCACTTTAGCTTCTCAGCATCCTCAACTAAACCAAAACCGTGAGCCCTCCTTTATCTCTTGCGCCCAAGACAAACAAAGCCCGAACCGACTTCGACACTCTTCCCCGCTCCCGGCCTCTCTCGTTTCCAACTGACCTCTCAGCCATAGCCAGAAATCATGTCTTCCGTCGAGGGTGCTACCGCTGCTCCGGCTGCAGGCCAGAACGGTGCCGGCGATGCCCCAACGCAGAATGGCGCACCTGCCCTCAATACCAATGTGGCCACCGAGGGTTCCAACGACAACGATGTCCAGACCCCCTTCTCCGCCACCCCCAACAACCCTGCCCATTCTGCCTCGCTTTATGTCGGCGAGCTCGATCCCTCCGTCACCGAAGCCATGTTGTTCGAGTTGTTCTCCTCCATCGGTCAAGTCGCCTCCATCCGGGTTTGCCGTGATGCGGTCACTCGCCGCTCGCTCGGCTACGCCTACGTCAACTACAACAACACTGCTGATGGAGAGCGCGCTCTCGAAGATCTCAACTACACAAGCATCAAGGGCCGTCCTTGCCGTATCATGTGGTCTCAACGAGATCCCGCCTTGCGAAAGACTGGCCAAGGCAATGTCTTCATCAAGAACTTGGACTCTGCCATCGACAACAAAGCGCTCCACGACACCTTCTCTCAATTCGGCAATATCCTCAGTTGCAAAGTCGCCCAGGATGAGCTTGGCAACTCAAAGGGCTACGGCTTTGTTCACTACGAAACTGCCGAGGCCGCCACCTCTGCAATCAAGTCGGTCAACGGCATGTTGTTGAACGACAAGAAGGTCTTCGTTGGTCACCACATCGCCAAGAGAGATCGTCAGAGCAAGTTCGAGGAGATGAAGGCAAACTTCACAAACGTCTACATCAAGAACATCGAGGAGTCGGTCACCGATGAAGAGTTCCAAAAGCTGTTTGAGACATATGGTGACGTGATCTCCGCCACCATCACTCGCGACGAGAGTGGCAAGAGCCGTGGCTTTGGCTTTGTCAACTATACCAGTCACGAGGCCGCCGCCCAGGCAGTTGATGACCTCAATGATAAGGAGTTTCATGGAAAGAACTTGTACGTCGGACGTGCACAAAAGAAGCATGAACGAGAGGAGGAGCTGCGCAAGCAGTATGAGGCTGCTCGCATGGAAAAGGCATCCAAGTACCAAGGCGTCAACTTGTATGTCAAGAATTTAACTGACGATGTTGATGACGACAAGCTCCGGGACCTCTTCAGCAGTTATGGAACCATCACTTCTGCCAAGGTCATGCGTGACAGTGCTGAACGTACTGATTCCCCATCTGGTGACAAAGATAAGGAAAATAAGAAGGATGACCCCGAGGAGAAACCGAGCTCCGAAGATGAGAAAAAGGAGGAATCTCAAGATGAGAGTAAAGACACTGACGGCAAGAAAGACACCAGAGCCAGCGGCCAGCGACTCTTCGGAAAGAGCAAGGGATTCGGCTTCGTCTGTTTTAGCAATCCTGATGAAGCCTCAAAGGCTGTGTCCGAAATGAACCAAAAGATGATCAATGGCAAGCCCCTTTACGTCGCTCTTGCCCAACGCAAGGATGTTCGCAAGAATCAGCTCGAGGCTAGTATCCAAGCTCGCAATACCTTGCGCCAACAGCAGCAAGCCGCCGCTGCCGGCATGCCTCAGGGCTATATCCAACCCGCTGTCTTCTATGGTCCTGGTCAGCAATTCCTTCCTCCGGGAGCTGCTCAACGCGGTGGCATACCCTTTGCAGGACAGCCTGGAATGGTTATCCCTGGTATGCAAGGTGGTCGTGGACAGTTTCCTGGTATGCAACAAGGCGGTGGTCGCGGGCTTCCCCAAGGCCAACAATTCCCTCCTCAATTCGGTCTACCTGGTCAAATGCCATTTATGCAGAACCCCGCTCTTGTCAACGGCATGTACAGCAATCCTCAAGCACTTGCCCAGATGCAGGCACAAATGGGCCGTGGTGGTGGCCGAGGTCAGATCCAAAATATCCCCGGCATGCCTCCCAATATGCAAGGAATGCCTGGCCCGCGTGGAGGACCAAACTTCAACCAAGGTGGCGGTCGCGGAATTCAAAACATCCCCGGCGGTCAAGGTGCTCGTCTTCCGCCCTCGGGCCGTGGACAAGGTAACGCACCCAACCGGGATGAGGCAGCAGCTGCCCCAAGCAATCTCTCCAATCTCGCCTCCCTCCCTCACAGCCAACAGAAGCAAATCTTGGGCGAGGCCATCTATCCCAAGATTCAATCGTTGCAGCCCGAACTTGCCGGCAAGATCACTGGTATGCTTCTTGAAATGGACAATTCCGAGCTTGTCACTTTGTAAGTCCATTCGTGTTTCTTCAGATGGATCTCAGCTAACATTTCTCAGGGTTGACGATGATGCTGCTCTGCGTGCCAAGGTTGACGAGGCTCTCAGTGTCTATGATGATTACATGAAGTCGAGGACTACCGAGGGACCGAATGGCACCAAGGAAGAGGATGGCACCAAGGCTGAAGGCGCCGAAGCGACTGCTGCTTAGGAATCGACAAAGCCGGCCACTTCTATTTTCTTGGCAACCTCGGTATCAGATTGCACCACCGCTGTATTTATTTAGGCCACATGCCGACCCAAAAGTTCTTACCCACTACAGTCGATCTGTGCGGGATCATCGATGAAATGTGCTTCGCTGAACATCGGAGGGTGATGGGGAACTGCTTGGAACTCCTGGACGATGGGCGAATGGCGCATTTTACTTCGAGTGGAGGCAGAATATTTCAAGGTGGCTCTGAATATGGGCTCTTTTCGTGTGTGTATGATAGACTGGCGAATATGCTTCTTTATTGCGCCTATGCGACTGGCGGATATGTGCCTTTCTCATTGACGAGCCTCGTTTATGAGACTCGAGATAAGGCTACATCTTGGCCATCCGGCATAGATAGATTCCCCTTTAATGCCAACCGTATCTACCAAAGCCTCTCCTTGTTCCTTCTGAGAGTTGCAGAATCAGGTATTCTGTCGCTGATTTGTTTCCCATCGTGTTGATGAGAGGTCAAATAGGTCGAAGGTTTCGACTGCAATTCCATCCTGTCATTCTATTGACCTGGAGCCTAATTCGATCACGGTATGTGTTTCAAGTTTCAACTGTCAGCCTTCTCTCTCCTTCTATAACGTGGCACTCGTTCATATTCCCCGTGTTTGTGCCTTCTTTCAGCTCGTCTTCTCACAATTGGCTACGGAATGATCGCCTGGCCAGGTCATCCTATTTTTGAAGCAATTGCCTCCATGTTGATGGGTCAGTTTTGACCAGTTCGCAGGATCTGTCAGCTTCAATAGTTTGTCACGACTGGATTCAATTCCCCAGCCTGAAACCCCATCTTTTGTTCTCGTAGCGGTCGATATTTTTCGTGCCGTCGCCCTTGCCGCGTCCCTTCCTTTGTCCTGCAGCTTTGGATGCCTCTTGTCCTTGGTTGCCCCTGGTTTCAGTTGCAGCTATGTCTTCTGCTTGAAGTACCGGGCCTAACATGAGCGTATCCTCTGTTTTACTATCTCATATTGTTAATATGAGTCACTGAGGTGCCTGAAGCTGAGGTGGAACTATTTGATTGCGGTATCATGGCAATAGAAATGGATATTCTCAGGTTATGGAGTCTAGCACGGGGATCAAGCATTTTGATGGCATTGAATGCGGACTTGATTTTCTTGTATAACAAGAAGACGTCCTCGGAACATAACGTATAACGTCGCGAGTGTGTCTCGGTAAGTAGGACTGTTACTTTACATATGATAGCAGGCAGTTTGGTCCATTTGCCCCGACATTCACTACACATCTGGCAGGTAAGCAGACAAGCAGCTTCACTGATCTCACCTCACCGCGCGTTCAGTTCTCTACAAAGTCCAACCGTCCATCTCGTCGCAACTGTTTCGTCAGACTCCTTTCTTCCAATACGTTGCTGCTCTCGCGTGATCTTTCCGCGCCTGCTTTTTCTTATTGCCAGAACAACTCGCCATTGCTAGCTGTTGTCGATATGGCAGGGCTCCACCGTTCGTCCGACGACCTGCGCCTCCAATCGTCGGTCTCACATCCTGACCCTCCCCCGGGACGTCCAGACGATGAGGTGCCGATCATGGTGGCGCGAGCACAAGTCGACTACTCCGATGCCGCTCTTGATAACTTCCTCTCAGTCAATAGACTTCCATTCCTCCAGGTCTTTGAACGTCAAATCCAACTGATTCGCAACCGATCCCAGGCTTTTGAGGATGGCCAGATCACGGTCTACGACAAAGTCTTGCTGGCACTGACTAACAGTGGAACCGATCTCGACCATCCTTCTGCCATTCAATACTACTGCAAGGAGTTTCTTGGCCTTGACATCTATGGTGATTCCCAACATGTCTACAAGGGCCTTGATCAGACTTTACAGGTTCGATCGATCTTGAAGCAAGGTGAGATCCCCACATGGACCTTTTATATGATTTGCAAGTGTTTAACATGTATGATCTAGAACTTTCCAGTGATACAGCATTTTCAGCTGGTGTTACTGCTACTGAACAGAAGCAGCTGCGCCCCACTAGTGGAATTGCGCAGTTGGACATGGCACCCAACCTTGCGAAGATCTGGACTGTCTTTGAGAATGCAAAACGCGACTATCGCGAGAAGTCTGACCATGAAGATGATGGTGTCAGATTCAAAGCCGCAAAGTTCCTGCGCGACACTGCAGAGAACATCCTGATTCAGCTCAAAGGGAAGAACACCGACGAGAACATGTTGATAGAGTTGAACTCCACATTCAAGATGGCAAAAGCCATGGTGGTCTCTCTCAGCGGAGGCAAGAAGCGCAAATTTGATCCTGTCGCCATGGAAAATGTCAAAGGTATCCCTCGTGGACCGAGCAGTGAATTTGGCTCACAACGTCACACTGAGAATCCTGTGTCATTGGCTCATCGGGGACGGACCCGCACTCAACGCCCACCACCGGTCTTGAGGAGAGACGACAGATGTTTCGATGAGCGGTACTCCTGCGATGGCAGATACCCGCGCGACAGACGCTACGCCGAAGGTCATGGACATGTCGAGGGATACGACGATCGTTACGACAATGCCGATGATGATGCTTGGACTGCTCGACCGGATCACAGAGATTATGATGATTGGTATCCCGGAAACGAGGATGCTCGCTCTGATCCAATATTGGCTAGAATCAACGACGAAGAATATGGCCGACGACATTCCCGAGAGTGGGGTGGAACTGGTTACCCGAGCGGGCATCGACTACGTCGTGAACGCGACAATGCCAGACGAGGCCAAGGAGATGAGAGGACCGATTATAACGGGCATGGTGGACGAGATGAGGGAACACATCATGCTGTACGCGGTCAACGACAACGTGGACGAAATCTTGAAAGCTTCAATACTGGATATGGCCGACAATTCGAGGGAAGCGATCATGCCGCCGCTGATCGTGCTATGCGAGACCAGAGAGAAGGCGAAACTGACGGCGCTGAGTACGAAGCGAGACATGGCCATCATTACACCGATTCATCTACTCGTGGCTCAACCACTGGCCCGTTCCACTCCAGACGCAATGTCGACTCCTATCAGCCCGGACGTGAGCGTGAGCATTGATGATCTATGTCATCAGGATGGCTCTGTTTGAAACAGCTTCAGACATATCGAGTCTGCTGACTTTGCCAGGGCCTTTGCTTAAGTGAAGGTTTGGTAAACTAGTGGAAATGATTATGAATGTTCCATGCTTGTCATTGATGAATTATGGGCAAGGATATGATTCAGACGAACGCAAACTAAGGATACCAATCGGGTATCTATCAGTCAATGATTTCGCCGCCGTTCATGATACCAACCTTTCGTGGTTCGGGGCTCCACTTGCACTGAACCCTCAGCATACGTGGGAAAATATTGATCACGAGGTACGACCGTTCTCAGATTCGCAGGTACGGGCAGGATCATTCGAGAGAGATCTTCCAAATGAGATCTGCAGCAATTTTCTCTTCTACTTTTCTTTGGAGCAGAGCACGAACTCGTGTCATTGCTCCCCCTCCTCCAAACCCATGTAGTCGTCCTGCTTCAACAGCATTATCATAGGCTAGTCGACATGAATAGGATTCTCAGCAAGATACTGTTCAAGAGAAGTTAACTGGCCCCGAGCTTGCTGCCCAGTCCACTCAACATCCTCTTTCGTCGTTTCACCATAGTAACCATAGTCCTGGATATACAAAAACATCTCCACCAACTGATCCCGCGCATTCGGCGGCAGAAAAGTCTTGTACACGTCCACAGAGATTTGTTTGTACACCACCGTCTTGCCCAACGCCTTGCTCATCTGCGCCACAGTCTCCGTCATCGAGGTCAGCTCGCTCGCGGCCGACATCACCTTGCCCTCATACTTGGCAAGGTCAGCCAGGATCGCGCCCACATACTTGCCCGTGTCGCCCAACGTGTCGATCAACGGCAGCTTCGTTTCGGGCGTCATGATACCAGTCAACGCGTACGTCCCGTCCCCGGCAGGCCGCGGCGCCATCAGGTGCTGGAAATTCTGCATGAAGGAGCCGGGCGCGAAGAATGCGCTCTTGAGCCCCACTTTCGGATCCTTCCCCAGCGCACGGATATACTCCTCGACCTCCGCTTTGCTGTCAAATCCCCCGACTTTCGTGTACTTGCCGCCGGAGGTCTTTGATACGTGCTTCAAGGTACTGAAAATGAGATACTTCACCCCTGCGGCAACAGCAGCGTCCACGATGCGCTTGCCCTGCCTCAGTTCTGTCCTGTACGTGCCGTCCTTGGCACCGTAGTCTGTGACCGTGACCACGAAGGCGACGTCGGACCCTTGGAGTGCCGAAGCGACGGATTCTACGCTGTCCGAGGCATCGGCGCGGATGACTTCAACGCCTTGAGATTGCAGTGCTTGTGCTCCTGCACTTGATGTGTCTCGAGTGAGGCCGCGCACTCGGTATCTTTGGGATAGCTCCGGGTCCGCAAGCACGGTCTTGATGACGCTGCCTCCTTGTTGGCCTGTTGCGCCAAAGACGGCAAGGAGCTGTCTCTCTCCTGTGCTCATGATGACGGGATTGTGAGGCTATTGGCCGAATGTTCCTAGTCCTAGGTGACGCTGACGCTGACGCTGACGCTGTTTTTGTGGCTGGGAAGCTGCAAGTGAGTGAACTACCACGGTACAAGCATGCCTCACAGTGTTTATAAACCAGGAAGGCCAAATACCTCGATACCATAATAGGTAACTCATCTTGTACCCGTTACTGTGAGGCATCGTCAGGGCTCAACCTTATCTCCTTTCGAGAGCGGCGTTAGTGCACCCAAACACATCGTACCCGAAGTAGGTTGGTATTTCTATCGTCTACAGAAGGCTTTGACAATGCAGCGACTACCTAACTAGGGAGCTATCTTCCCTCTGCCAGTGACGAGGGTGGAGTTGTTGAAGACTGAGGCCGGAGTTAAGCCTGATTCACTGCCAAGTTGTTGCCCGAACAGGTAATATCAGTCAGGATTGCCGAATCGGGTAATGAAGGCTCCTACGTTCATGTACGCTGATTGGTTGTCTGTTTTTAGCCTTGGTCGATTGCTGTTGCGTTCGATGCGGGTCTGGTGTGTGGTTGAGACTCTACATATCTGCGTGATATTCCCCGCGCACTTTGAGACGAGGTGCCTACAGATTGTTCCTCGGGGCGTTTACGGGCAAATCAACTCCTTCTCGAGACTCCGGGCCCGGAATTGTGGCGCATCATCCAGGGCTTTGCGATTTGAGAGTCTGTCGCTAGTCTTCACTGATATAGCTCTAGTTGCAGTTAGGATAACGGTCGTGAAGGGCTCCTGGTATGAGTAGCCGAATCGTCCCAGGTCTATCTTCGATTAATGTATTCTTCGAATGTCATCTCATCGCGTAGTTCAGACCCATGTTCCAGCCTCGTGCCTTCCTTCATCCAGAATATTCCACCTTGCAAAGGCATACTGTTGTCCATGACTGCCCTTTGGTGTATTTGTGCTGCTGGTACTGATCTTGCTTTTCTCTTTGTTCGCGCGCGTTCCCCCTCCATTCCCTCTAGACTGACTTTCCAGTGGTCTGGCGAAGCCATATTACTCCGCCAATGCCAGCCACCTCGAGCAGTGCATCTCGATTCCGTGCTCGCAGCTGCCTCATATGTTGTTTCTGCTCATCAGAGAATGGTGACATCATTGGATTGTTGCCAACAGTCCAATAAGGCTGTCGGTGCCTAATGCGCCAAGTCGCATAGGCTAGGAGGATCACAAGAACGGTCAAGAGGATCGTGATCAGAATAATAAGTTGTGCGTTCATATGTTCCCTCCAGGCATGTGTGGAGGAGAGGACGCAAGATAGTTTTCGAATCGAGAATATTGCCTTGTGAGGCTTGAGTCGATTGGGCGGCTGGCAATCAAACTCGCGGAAAAGGGTGAGGCGGGTTTAGGCGAGGCGAGGCTGAGCACTCAGTTTTTAGTCTTCGAGGAGTTTTATACTGAGACAAAGCCATTAACCGTTTTCAGAGCCCTCAAATGTCGACAGGATATTGTGACTAGCAAGTTGAACGAAGAGACGTGAAAAAAAGAAGGGAAGAAAAGTGCCGGGATAGTTCTGCATTGGAGATCAGGCTGATCATTATAAGTAGTGGCTGGGGCACCTAGGTGAACTTACGACTTTGCCAAAAGCCTAGAAGCAGCCCACCAGGCAAAACTTCATTTTCAAGACATGATGGGGCGCAGCGAAGGAAAGACATAGATTCAAGGCGCAAGGCAAATATTTGCCGAAAAGAACCTTGACCACAGCATTTCCGCCCCATTCGGCTAGCACTATTAGTATACATGTCGCGCTGTGTAATAGTGGTCAAATCTGGGGGTTAGTGAGGCTGAAACCTATTTTAATAGCACGATTTTTGTTAACTGGGGAATTGGAATGCTTAAATGGGGTCAGTGGCGGGCGAGGCTGAAACATGTAAGTCTCAAAATATCCTTAATGTCGGCCTTTAGTGTCTAAGTGATCGCACTTCTGTTGAAGATATTGATGGGCTTTGATATCTCGACCGTCCTCGGCGCTTTCGGCAGCCAAAATTTCCAATGTCACCAGTCGATCATTTACCAGGTCTCAGGCAAGCCAGACAACTGCACTTCCGCCCGAACCAAGTTTGTGAACGATGTAGTACCGGCCATGTAGAAATTCATCACCAATAACAGCGGGATAGTAACCGCCAGGACAATAGTACTCGAGGTCTTCGCACGCGTCTGGACCAGGGCAATATCTGAAGTTTAAGAGGGGCATGAATGCAAGGAGTGGTAGTACTGGCAGCGTATTCAGAGTCAAGGTAGATTCATCGGATGTACTTCATGATCGCAATTGGTTAAATAGTTAGGGCGTAGATACATATAAAGAGAGTGAGAACAAGAACAAGAACAACGGAGAAGTCACGCTTGCTCTCTTCTTCCGGCAGCGTTTCACCTGCAACACTAAGAACAAAGAAGGTCCGTCTGCGGCATTCTCATCGCTTCCAGATTTTGTGTTCTGACTAGAAGTGAAGACAGCTCGCTAGACATAGCAACAAAACCCTTTTTGTCTCTCAAAGAATAGCTAACTACACAGTACTTCACCTAACAACGGAATTGCCCATTTAATAATGAAATCACCTTTAACGTTATTTATCTCTGCTTGAACAAGGTAGTTACCCTTTATGACATGATGGCCAATGGTATAACTATAGCTTCTACTTTTCCCAAGCTCAAAATCTGCCACCTTGCAAAGTCGAAGTCACAATAACCGCTCCAGCAATCTCACTGACTCAGGGCCAGAGTCACAGTTCTACACCAAATCAAAGGCGCAGCCTCCCAAAAGGAAAGCATGCCTCCGGTAAGGAATACTAACTCTTCTCGGTCTAGAGAGTACTATTATGACTCGTCTCCTTACTTTCGTGGATCTAAGGATTCTGACAACTCGTCTCTAAACTCGGGTGGATCTAGGCGCTCCAACAGCTTGCCTGTCTCTTTGGATCAAAATAAGGTCTCGTCTCCTAAGATCTCAAGCACATTGTCGTCCACAAATGGAAACAAGGGATCGCTTGAATGGTATGTCACTCCCAATAGCTCGGATCGAGAATTCATTGAACGAACTGCTATTGAGCTAGCCCGGAAGGGAAAATTCGCTCGAATTGCAGTTAGATCCAACATCCATGATACGACACGTAAGGGCCCTCTTGGTCAGAAGGTTGTTGTCAAATGCCCGTGGCATTATACCGCAGATTTCTATGATCCTAAAACCGGTAAGTGGACGGCAGCACATGTCCTTACTGAGACGCAGGTATTAGAACCCGCAAAAGATGACGCTCCGGCAGTTTTGCTCAACACAGGTCTTACAAAAGGCGTAAAGAATCCTGAATACCACGATGCCGGCCGTTCCGGTCATTTCAAGCCCTCCGGTTTCGTAAAGAGTCTTCAATACAGGCTTCACAATATCTCTGAGAACGACGAGCTTGAGGAAGGAGAGATTGTTGAATACTAGTAGCAGTTTAGTAGATATAGAATCTGAGGTTAGTTACAAAGCAAAGGTATGTTAATATCCCCTGACCCTAGCCAAATCACAGTCCTATCTCAGCCAATTCTTGTTGGCTACCCAAACACTAGACGACCCATAGCTTGCGTTTCGTGAAACATGAATGCTTTTAGAGGTTTCGCCAAAATGCGTAGCAGTATAGGTTTGGTAAGACAACTTACCTCTCCCATGTAGGACGAGGAGATTGAGTTCGCCTCCGTGGGCAGCGTAGCCCGAGGTGGAGTATAAACTCTCTCACACTCTCTCAGACAAGCAACAATAAATACATAAAATGTCATCCTACAGCCATTGCGGCTCGTCATATGACACTGATCATGGGTCATTTGTGTCTGCAATCTGACCCCGAGCCTGGAAGCCGCTGTCGAGATGTTGCTGATGAGTGCGATTAGATGTTACCATCTTGAAAGTATCATCCTCGAGAGTGACATGCTCCTTCCTGGCGCTGGACCTCTTTTCGCCTCGCGTAATTTAGGATCGCCGTTGAGTTATGCTCGCGGCCGTAGTAGGTCTGGAATGGACGAGGTACTCTGGGCGTGAGATGCGGACACATCACTGCCGCTTTGAATACTGGCAAGCCGATCTCTGAATGGGGCTCGTCGGCATGAGGAAGGCAGGGCTCCGTCCTATGCTGCCCCGTCCATGAGTCGCACGGCATCAGGCGGCCTTTGACTACGCGGTGTCAAAGTATATGACTCTCTACTGGGGTACCTGAGGTACGACCAATGAGAACGGAGAAAGGGGGAATTTCAGTCAGTACGAGTACGAGTTATTACGTTCGCAGCAGTACTCAGGGATGCCAAAATTCACCAACCTCTCCATTAATTATAATGTCATACATTGGAATGGCTCTCATGGATTATCAAGCTCAGGGTACCACAACACATGCATTAGAGAACTGTGTCAACTATTTTTGTTTTTCGAAAAGCAGTCAACTCATCCTTGTCTTCATCAGTGCCTATTCTTATTTGCCGCATCAGACAGAGACTGGTTCCGCTCCTCTGGGGTGACATCACACATTTCACCCTTGGCAATCAGCTTATTTCGACTCAAAGAAGTACGCCAGGCCTGGCGCCCAGACCTGAAATGGTCGTCAATCTGCTCCAAAGACAAGCGAGCAGTTTCTGGAAGAAGGAGAAACATGATGAAAAAGGATACCACACTCATTCCTAAGTAGAAATATCCAACATTTGTGCCCATGTTGCCAGCCGTGGGATTAATCATGTAAGGTGTCCAAAATGAAGCGGCAAAGAAGGCTGCATTGGCTGCAAACACGGCTATCGCTCCGCCATAGGTTCGAAGACTCACTGAATGTACTTCGGCACCGACTATCCAGTGGCTTGACGACAAACATGAGGCATAGATGAAGAACCATAGACAGATACACGCAATTAACAGTTTTCTGGAAATTTCGGAAGAGCTACCGAGGCCAGATGCAACAGTCGAGAAGACGAGCATGCAAGATGACATCCATGCAAGAGCAAACAGTATGCTGCGTCTCCGGCCAATATATTCGATGATGAAGGGACCAAGGCACGCACCAACTAGACCACAAACACCAAGGTAAACCTGGGTTAAAAAAGGCTTGGTGACACCGGCAGCAGCGAAGAAGACAGCTGCATACGTGCCAACTAAAGGAATACCTGAGAATGGACCGGCAATGTTGACAAAAATAGAGATCGCCGTTCGGCGAATGTAGCTCTTGTGAAACATGCCCGTCCAGGAGACCGAGCCGCTTTGTGCCATCTCCAATTCGATGTATGACTGGGTCTCCCGCATCTGTGCGGTGATTTCAGGGCCATGAGGGTCTTTCCCGTAGAATTTTGCAAATGCATGCCGGGCCTTTTCCTCCCGACCCTTCAATAGTAGCCAGCGTGGTGACTCGGGGAATAATGTAAGGCCACCTGCATACATCAATGCGAGCGGGATCTGAATGACCACGGGAGTTCTCCACTCCCAATTGTTGCCAATGGTTGAAGTCCCATAGCATACGCAGCTGGACGTGAGAAGGCCGATCGAGAGCCCAATGCCAAATACGGCAACTAGAGCTCCTCTGCGTCGAGGAGCAATGACCTCGACGCCGAAGAGTGGCCCGACAGCATTGACGTGCCCGACCCCGAAGCAGGAAATGCACTTGCAAACATTGTAAGCCACATAGTTCCCAGTGGTCGCACATTGACAAGCCGCCCCGATGATGACAATTAGGCAGCCGAATTGGATGGCGCCGCGACGGCCCAAATAAGACCCAACTAGACCAGAGAACGCTGCGCCGATGGCACTGAATAATTGAGAGAAGGACACCATGGACTGAGCAGTAGCACTAAGAGCGCACAACTCTTGCTCCACACCGGTTGTAGGATTTTTGACCATTCTGCAATGGCCAAAGCTCTTTCGGAAAGATTCCATCTGCAGTACAGTGCCGCCGTAGGAGATGTCGAAATTCACCATCCAGCCACTCAATGCGATCCAAATGGCAAAGATCGCCATGAAAGATGACACACCCAAAGAGCTGGACAGGTTCACAGTTGGTTGGTCGTCGTGTTCCACCATGACGGGGTCCTGGGGCTCTTTCTCTCCGGTGAGATCTTTGTTTGCCATGGTTTATGCCTCTCTCTCTATGGCGTTGTGACGCAATTTGATCGGAGGGCTTGAGGATATCGAGATCGTAGGACACAAGGCGTAGATTATAAGAATATGGAGGGCACCAACGAACCTTTGTAGATACTGGGTACTACTCCAAAACACGGGTGAGATCCTACAATGTGCAGAACTTCAAAGCCCGAGATTCCCGGACCTAGACTCTGGAGAAGTCAGGAAGACGCTCTCAAGCGATCGCTGCTCAGAGGTGTCGAACCACCAACCCCACAACCCCAGATTTCGGGATATCCTCCACCTCCACATCAAAGTCCCCACCGTGCTATCCTCCATCTACAATTTACAAGCGGCTCTTCCCATAACGTGAGATTCAGACTGTTTCCATGCACGAGATATCGAGTGCCGTGCCCTCTACATTTGCATCTGTTCCCAATACGGCGACCTCAAGGAAGTCAACGTGCTCAATCGCCTCACCGGATGATATGCAAACCCTTACAAGGAGAAAACTCGGTTGGTGGCAGCATCAAACATACAGCTCATGTGCCATAATTTCTCTATGTAGATTCTACATGCTAAATCTCATGACCAATCACCGTCATCTTCAATATCTTGCCCTTCTTCGGACGCATTCAACAGCTGATCAATTGTCCATGGCTTGTACGTGTAGCCAGGAGGGATGTTTGTGTTTACAAAATCGCTTCCAGTAATAAGATGGTTTACGCACTTGGTCCAGTTCTCATAAACGTATTTCTCAGGATCGTGCAAGTTGATCCAGCGGCCGACTTGCATAACCAACTTGTCTGGGTGTTTTCTTGCTTCGCCAAAATCGGTGTGATGCCACTTTTCGCGGTTCTTGAAGCCGCCTCGTTGAGCGCAGGAAACGCGCATAGAACTAGAAAGCTATTAACTTTCGTTGGGAACTTTGAGATTCGTTCAAGACGACTTACCGGAGTCGCGTATGCACCCTCGTTGCAAGGGCTATATTGTGTTTTCCTGCAAGCCTCAAGCACGCAGCAATAGAAATACCGTCTTCCATGGCTTGGGTAGCTCCATTCGCAGAAGTGGGAAGGAAGGAATGCGCGCTGTCTCCCAATTGCAGGACCAGACCTCCCGCCGAGGTCCACTCCATGCTTGGGTCCCGCCACAAGATCTTGTAGTCCGCGATGGTCTGTGCTGGTGTCTGCTTGATGACCTCGATAAAAGTCTGATCCCACTCATCTTCTTCTTCCAATGTTTTCAGGACGTCTTCTGGGCCTAAGAAGCGCGACCACGATTCAGACGAAGTCCCATAATCCTGTGAATATCAGTACGACCGTTTTCCTCTACTCAGATGCCAAGGTACATACTTTATGCTGAAAAATCCACGTGGTAATGTCTGGTGAAACAAGAATGATTGCATGCTTATTAGTCCCCAAGTATACCCGGCAGATGTCATCTCCGCCTTCCTCTAAAGCAAGCTCATTCGCGAGATGAGGATTTTGGAATGCGAGATTAGTTGGGTACGCCACCCTATAAGACGAGAAACCACTACTTGTAGCCTTAACATTGTTTCCAGCCACGATACTGTGAGACTTCGTGCCAACACCGTCGGCGGCGATAACAAGGTCAGCCTCAAAGTGCTCGCCATCCTGAGTAGCGACCCCAGCCTTGCCTGCATCTAAGTTCTCGTAATATTCGACCACACGCTGTCCAAAATTTATGGACATTCCTTGTGAGGTCAAATATTCGTAAAGAAAATTGATGAGCTTTGGTCGACTAATTGGTGTTGGTATAGTAGTGCGATCCACTCCCTTAATGGAGAAGGGGCCACCGAGTTTCTCTCCATTCGTCCTATACATGGATAGAGCGGGTCGATATGTCAGACGTCTATACCTTTCTGCCATACCGGGCCAGTGATTGAATTGCCTAGTTGCAGAGGGTGCGATTCCCACGAAATCTCCTGTTTTTCCAGGTTAGAGTACCTCATCATAGATCCTTAACCTTGGGAGAGAGTCATACCGACAAGTCCTTCTATATTCGATTTTGCTTCCAGAAGTTGAACATTGTGACCATGTCGGTATAGCTCAACTGCAGCATTCAAGCCACCAATGCCTGCACCTACAATCAGAACGTCAATGCCACTTAATGGCCCCCGTTCTAAATTCTCCTTGTCGAGGTGTGTCGTTACACCACTGATTGACAGTCCACTCATTTGCGGCATTTTGGTTGAGTTTTCCATCTGTAATTTCTTCACGTGAGTCCTGCGCTGTGCTATAAGCGTGCAGTGAACAGGCCGTTCTCTTGAAGGCACAATGCTCGCGCTAACGTGATATCTCCGCGACAATCTCGCGTACAGATCGGGATCATGCTCTTGTCACTCTGTACTTCCTGATTATGGCGCATCATCATTCCCGTAAAGCCCCGCAGAGAAAGGCCGGGCCAGGGTCAACTCGTGCGGGTTGTGTCGGTCAAGACGCTTTCGGAATATCCTCCACTTACACTTGGCAGAAATTTAAGTCACTGTGGCGTCAATCACGAACTGCTTGTTATCAGTCCCAAAAGAAGTTGAATGTAAAAGCGAAGGCGCGCTTTCCCGGTGGGGCAGCGATGTACAATTTCCTAGGCGGATAATTGGTAACTAAAACTGGTCGGGAGGAACATTATGGATTTTCATGATGTCGGCTGATGACGAGAGCCGTAGGACTGAGTGAATCAGATTTAGATGGTAACTGGAAGGTCAACCCTCTAACGTGTCGGCCACCTAAGTCTTATGACATGATGATCTTCTATCGTGTATGTCTCGGTGTACCACCGCCCTTGTATGCTTGTATGCTTGTAGAGCTGCCGGCCGCGGCTTATTCATCCCCTGTTTCTAGTAGATCATCTCGTAGCTACTTGTTTGCTGTTGCTCTCGTAGCTTTATCTTTCAGTACTTTTGCTACTGCACGGCGACGCCTTATTCTGTTCAACCAGCTGTCCAAGTTCGGGTACTCTTTGGCGAGATCGAGCACACCGGCAAAGATTTTGGGCAGTACAGACTCATACCACATGAGAAATGCAGCATCTGCGTAGGTGTATTTTGACCCAATCAGCCAGTCTCTTCCTTCCAGAGCCTTGTCAAGGACATTAGAGACGCGAAATATTTCATTCCGGTAACGCTCTTGAGCGCTTGGTAGCTTTTCGGGATGAAAGAGCATGAACCACATTGCTTGCCCGAAATATGGCCCTTGCCCAGACACTTGAAAGTAGAGCCATTGTTTAGTAAGGTAGCTTTCCCTACTCCCTGGAAGAAAGCTCAACTTTTGTTGTTTATCGTATGTGTCTATCAGATATTCAATTATAGCGCCTGATTCCCAGAGAGTAATATTCGTGTTCGGGTCCTGAATGGCAGGCGCACGTCCATTGATGTTGATTTTCTCATACGCAAGTTCTTTCAGTTCGGTCTTTCCCACAACAACGGTGCTATAGGGTAGGTCGAGTTCTTCAAGTATGATGGCCACCTTCCAAGGATTTGGACCCGTTGGATGGCTGTAGAGAGTGATTGGCCTGATGATTGTAGACATGTCGCCTCCGCACAAATGTCCTAAAAAGATTTGAGAGATGCTAGTCCGATGTTCGTAGCTCACGCTTAGGAAGACGAGTGCTTAAGGGATGAAATTGGTAGTACGATCAGAACAGCTGGGTGGGATTTCCATTCAACGTTCAATAAGTGAGAGACTTGGAATATCTCGCGCACTACCAAAAGACCCCACATTCCATGCTCACACTAGCGGGGCTTCTTGATAGAGAACTAATCCCTAGTCACCTGCCTCGTTCGCTCATAAATGTCGGGGGGAGATCCGAGGCTATAGGATTAATGCTGGCAACTACTCACCTTTCTTTAAGCTCAGTCTGACAGGGAGACTTGATCCCATGCACCTGAAACGTGAAGTCGCAGCCTCTTGAAGATCTTGCCATAAACTGCATCCCTTCTTCCTGCGAAGCTTGCCCGTCATGCCGTCGGAACGCCACTGGACCCGGCTGTTCCCCTCGAACGTGATCTCAAGTCATATCTCATAATCTGTTAATCATGATGCCAAGCCCCACTTGTTCATCACAATAATGACTCATTGACGGTGGATGGCTCGGCAAATTGACAGAGATAGTAATCTGTCCATGTGGGTGATGCCGGGTCAACTTGTCGTTCTCGGAATCGTGAGAGCCAACTGATTATCCTCAAGTGTGCCGGCCTTTTGTGTTCAGACGAAGCTCCGGTGGTGGAAACTGCGAATTCACTGTCATTTTTCAGAGCGAATCTGTAAAAGTGTAGGACTATGTATAGTTTCGCCAGCCAGAAAAACCTCAGTGGATCTCCTGAAAAACTGCAATTTTCTCGTGTCGTGTCCCGATTCTTGCGAAGTTCCCAGCTCTGCGACCATCGATTTAGCAGCATATTGATACGTTGCATTGCCTTCGATCCATGGCTAAGGACAAGATCGTCGGCAAGCGTTGTGATGAAGCTTCCAGAGAAATCATTATACACTTGTGAAAGCGGGTCTTGGTCTGGAGGAGTGACTGCTGATGGACTGGGTGCGACGTCTGAAGAGCTTTCTGTGCTGTTGTGAATCGACTGAAATAGCAGGCAATGGATACCTAATTGGTCAAGCGTAAGTGCTGGGTACCAAAGGTAGAAAAATGCCCAAACCTACTCAGGATGAGCACAAACATGCCGAAAGAGGAGGCTTCCAGTATTGCGACACCAACAGCGTCATCTGCAAATTGTCGTAAGGCTGTCGATACGAGTACCTGCTTAGGAAAGGTTTTCAAGTGATATAGACATTCTTCCTTTGTACTGGCCTCCCAGCATGCGTCATAGCAAGGAATGGGTGCATCGAAAGAGAGGGGTGAAAATGATGGAGACTTCCTTCGGAATACACACAACGCCATGTCCTGGCAGAAGATTCTGCATGCAACCCTAGTTCAGAGTCAGTCAATTTGAACCTCTCGCGTTCCTCCAATCTCAGTACCTCCGACGAGTTTCTTCCTCCCGCCAGCGTGTCCAATCAAAGCTATCCATAGACAGCGCATCATAAATTGTGGGATCCTTGAGATCGAATATTTGTGCTCGCTCTGCCATCTGCACTTGATGAGTTCCATGTAGCAAAGGGAGAAAGTATACCCACGGATATGTTGCGCCCCAAGTTGTATTGCGCTGCTCTGAAGACAGTTTGATTGCGAGAAGAGACGATCACATATCCCAGTATACTACCTGCCTGAATTGTGGGAAGCGGAGGGGTTCCCATCTCGGTCTCATGCTAAAGAGAGTTTTCAGCTCGGGAAAATCATTGGAACATGACTAAACTCACTGTCTGGCTTCCAATCCAAGCTGACAAGTGCATTGCTAGTTTATCCACGACAGTGCGTGGAATTGTGTCTTTCGAATAACAAGCACCGACAAGCATCAGTGCTAGCAGCAAAGCAGGCGAGGTTTCTGCTATTGCAAAAGTCGATCTGTGGATAATGGGGAGATTTGGTTGGAAGTGCCTCCCATAGAGGCCAACACAGTGAATCAGATTGCTCCGGTTCACATAACTTAAGGTGGTCCGCTCTGGTGCAGATCTTCCCGATAGCGACAACAGTGCTCTGATCTCAATGCATTTGCCTTCCACTGGATCTAGCTGGGTCATATTGAAGCCACCATGAATGGACTCTGTCAAAGACTCTGATTTATAGGAAGATGTTGTCCTTGCGTCAATTGATGAAGCAGTATCTGTAGAGCATAGTGGATCACTGCCATTCAGCTGCGTTCCATCATCTGGAACATAATGCATTACGTGATGAGAGGCTGGCCCCTGAAAATCAAAATCCCTCACACCTGCTTGTGGGAACAGGTCAGGATAAGTATCGAAAATGAAATCGATGGCAGGTGCTAGGTCGAAGCCGTCCGGCATCCATTCCACATCTTGACCCTCGGTGAATGCTCTTGACGTTTGAGCATCATACGACCAGGGGATTTGCTGCATTGAGCCGAGGTCTGCGACTGCTGGCGCATTTGACGGATCGATATTTATTTCGTCATGGATATAGTCCCTGGGAAGGTCAAGAGCTTGTGGTGCATTCACTGCTGGTGCCGACCTGTGAGAGCCATCGTGAATGGGTATCATGTTGGGTTCACCATCTGGCGCTGTTGCTATAGGACTCGATATGGGAACCGCTTCCGATGTTTGCATTTGAAATGAAATATATGGATCTGAATAGCCTTGTCGAGTGTACTTGCACGCAGCACCTTTTCGTTTGCATTGTCCACAAGGGACTCGAGAGTCACATCTGACCTTGGCCTCGGCGCATTGATTACACGCACTTTTTGCCCTTGTCTGCCCCTTTGCTATAGGAACTGTGGTTAAATCAAGGTCTTGTGCTTTCTCACAGCGTTTCAGATGCCGAGCGAGTACATCGCTGGAGAAGTTAGCTCATGCGCAAGGGCATCTAGCTACAATGCATAGGAAGTAAAAGTTTACCTGCGAGAGAAGATACTTCCACACGGACACCGATAACCTGGTCCACCAGCATCTATCTACGTCAGTAGGGAAAATCGGTCAAAACATAGAGAAAGAGGCGGGACTGCGCACGTAACCTTGTATGTCGTTTCAAATGATCACTTCGGTTGAACACCGCATTGCATTGTTCACATCGAAAGGTGAGTGAGGATGCTGGATGTCTCTTGGATGTCATCATCTATGAGTTGTCCACCAACAGCGGACCATCAATTCATCACGAGAAATGTAGCCGTTTGATCTATCAAAGGAAGGCAAAAGCATGGTTTACAGACGGGAGGAGGTCGTGCTTTAGGCAAGAAACCATCGCGGGGAAATTGCGGGAGGGAGGAAACGGAAGGGAATGCCGAGGGAGCAAGGCTGAGTTCAGCCTTGGTAGAAGCCAGCCTTAACATTTATCTATGTGCTCTAGACAATCTATTTGCTTAGGTATAAAACAGACACCTAACGGGATAGTAGCCCCGTGGCTGGATGTAATCTGGCCATCGAAGGGACAGCCTCGGAGATAGTTGAGTTTACGACTTCTGTGCTTCTGGAGGGGCCTGATGAGGCATTGGACATACACAGGCTAGTTGATGCTTGGCTACCTCGAGGAATTCTTGAACCTTTTCTCTCGAATGATTTACTGGCCTCTAAATCGGCTCTACATCACCCTCAATTTGTTGCAATCTGCTTATGCTTGAACACGGGGCCTGAGGGTGACATTAAGACCAGTCTGTGTAACAAAAAGGCTGCATAGATGTAAGTAGGTGCTCCTATCCAATTCAGATTCATGGGCAGTCTCAAATATCAACAATGGTGCTTGTGGAGCGTATATACCTGCAATACTCGGTCAGCACCGTGGCTGGGTTGCTAAGATTAATGTCGATGTGTAACAAAAGGGTTGGTATGAGCTTTCCATATGTTAGCAATCTTGCACAGTTAAGCCGAAATCGTGCAACCTTTGACATTTCCATCCAGCTGATATCTAGGTCGCGGAAAATTAGCAGGCTCCAACATGTGGTGGATCTGAGCTGCTCACTTTTGCCAATGCAAGTTCTTGCCCCCATGCCGAATGTGAAAAAGTGTGACTCTGCTCAATTTTGCTCAGTCATCTTGAAGCGACACAGAATCCGATGCTCATACGCATGCCACCCGTTTTTTCTTCAAGCCACCTTTCCGGTCGAAAATTCTCAACGTCGTCACCAAATATCTCCTGATTGCGGTGCAAAGCCCATGCGCTGGTCGAGACCACGGCCTGTCACCAGGTAAGCTGCGTTTTATGAGGATTTCTGAATCTCTTACGCCTCCAGGTATGAACTTCTCCCCCACGGAAAGTCCATCAGGTGGTACAATTCGAGGCAATGCCATACCGATGGCAGGATACAACCGGAGTGCCTCATAAATTACTGCCTGCAGGTACGGCATTCTCATTGATCTTTGATAATCGAAAGCCTCGATAACTCCGAACTCCCAGGCTGTTGCATCGATTTCGTGGAGCAGCTTTGCCTTTTTCTCAGGATTTGTTAAAAGAAACCAAAGGATGGCTCTTAAAGATATCGCCGTCGTGTCACTTCCTGCGCCGACATTGCTGGAACACACTGATGTGATATTGGCCATTGAGAGTGCCGAAGGCTTTTCCTCGTGGACTGCGAACAATTTCCCTAGAATATCTGGGCGGTCACTCCCACGCTCCATTCTGCTATTGACTTGTCGTATTGTATAGTCTCTCACAAAGCCTTCCTTGTCATTTATGGCAAGGTAATTGCCCAATATCGGCATAAGAGAATTATGCAGGCTTAGTATCCATCGGACATGGCCCAGCCACACACCCGACGCGACGCTCTTATGAATCCTGGAGAAGATCCCATCATCTTCTTGGGCATCCAAGAAACCAAATGGTTGAGAGAAGGTTACTTCCCCAATAACGTCTGTGCACATTAGCAAATTGAGTGCAATGCATGTCATTCGATGGCTCTACCAAAGGCAAACAACTGCAGCCACTTTCCGATGTCAACATCAATGGCTTTCTTGTCGTCCAGCATCTGCTTTATCTTGGCCATGAAACGCTGAATGGTGGCTTCTACGTATGGCTCAAGATCTTTGAGAGTCTCCATTGCATAAATTCGACTCACAAGGCGGCGCTGAGAGGCATGGACCGCGATGTCTTGCTCGCCGAAGAGGTCAAACTTGCGGCCTCCTTGGAGAACATCGTACCACTCTGCTTTGCGAAATTTTGAGCCAGCCCCTGAAAAGCCTTTAGTAATATTCTTTCGATTGCCTGACGCGTACCATAAATTTTCTTAATAGTAAGTGGGTCGATAATTGAGATCTCATTCGGTGCTATGCGAACCAGAGGACCATAAGTATCGTGTAAGCGAACAACCTGTCGGTGGAAGTCCCCTCTCCTAGTATGTTTGATTAGCCACCACTTCGAAATGCTAGCGCCGAATGGGCCTGGTATGGAGGAGAGACAAGAAAAATATCTCTGGTACGTAATATAGATTAGGATGAAGATGCTAATGGTGCTCGAAAGCAGCGTCAGACTCATTGTCATGGTTTCCAAGAGCGCATGTGCCAGTAAGTTAGCCTCAGAGCTATTACAGGTTTCAAAACATAGAGGATGAAAACATTCTACCACCTTTTAAGGGTCATCAGATGAATGTCGCCCCTAAATTCACCCGCCAAGCTTCAGATCCCAGCTCAATTACTGACAACACTGGAAACTTTCTCGAGATTCATCCCGCAGGCATGTATTCGGGTGAGTTGCTCTTCACTGGGGTGGTTCCACATAGCAAGCAGCCGGGGTAGCTTCGGGGTGAACTTTTAGAACTCGATCTTCCCCCCCTGCCGGGATATCCTCCAACGCTAGTCCTACGCTACGCAGGCTCGCGAAAATGTGTGGAGGGATTCCCGTATTGAAGTGCAGATCATCTTCCGTCCAATCAAAATAACGGCACGCGTCTGTCGCACGTCCTGTGCTATGTGCAAGGTGATAAGCATTAATTCTAATAACACTTTCATTGCCAAGAACTGAGGGCACTGAGTTCATCTTTGCTACGTCTCGCCCCCACCCCCCAACGCATGCTCGCTTCTTGAGGAATCTAAAGGTGAATTGCGACTGTCTGTCATACAAGCCCGTTCTTTCGTCGACCAGCTTCTGTCAACGCACCTTAACTTCGCCTTCAAAATGGGCCCTCCACTTATCGCCTTGGAAGAGCATTTCTTCTCTGAAGCAATGCTGAGTAGTCCCACCGACAAGTATAGCGAGCAGTTCAAACATACTAAAGGCATCCTTGAGAAACTAAGCGATGTAGGAGACCTACGTCTCAAGCATATGGACAATGGAGAGATAGCGTTCCAGGTGGTGTCACATGCACCAAGCCAAATGTCATATGTCCAGTGTGTGTCTACCAATAATCAGCTTAGCGAAGCAGTTGGAGCACATCCCGATCGATTCGCTGGATTTGCAATTCTTCCAGTTGCAGAACCAGCAAATTGTGCAGCAGAGCTTGAACGTTGTGTGAGAGAGCTTGGATTTGTCGGAGCCCTGATAGACAACCACGACAAAGATGGACGTTATTTTGACGGGGAAGAATATTTCAACATGTTCAAGACGGCACAAGATCTTGATGTCCCAATCTACCTCCATCCTACCTGGCCAACAGACTCAATGAATTCCACGCTTTATTCAGGAAACTTTTCGAAAGGAGCATCCATATCAATTGGAGGCAGTGGGTTCGGCTGGCACAGCGATGTTGCTATTCATGTTCTCCGATTGTTTGCTGCCGGGCTGTTTGAACGATTACCTCAGCTTAAGATCATAATCGGACATATGGGAGAAATGATCCCATTCATGCTTGCAAGAATAGAAATGTTATCCTATCGCTGGGGAGTGCCTGGAAGAACGTTTACTGAGGTATACAAGTCAAACATCTACATCACGACCAGTGGCTACTGGAGCGTCGACCCACTTGCGTGTATACTGCGCAATACGCCAATCGACCATGTACTATATAGTGTAGATTATCCTTTCGGGAGAAACGAAGATGGGCTAGCGTTTTTCAAAGATCTAGAAAACAGTGGGCTCGTGACTCGGGAACAGCTAGAAATGATCGCCTACAAGAATGCAGAAAGACTGCTGGGAGTCCGCGCCAAGGCGTGAATACAATAAATGGTCGTTGAAACGACATCTCGATCATCATATAGAATTGAATAGCCTTGGGAAACATAGTACTGTATTCCCGCAACATTTCTTATACGCACGGGGCTTGTCGCTAAAGATTGGTTCGAACTGACAAATGGCATTGTCGAACGCCCTTGCTGATGGCCTATTTTTAATATTCATTTCCACGTAAGAAGGGTCTTTTTGAGGCTATCTGTAAGGAATTCTCGCCTGGTCTACGTCGAGAGCTTTGCGAAGTTGAACTGTTGTTTGTGGACCTTTGCAGCCTTTGGGACTTGCACATAGTCAAAATAGCCTAAATCCTTGAGAAAGCGAATATCTTCAGGCCCGTAAGGTACCTTGCCGCCTGGATTCAGCCACGTATTGGGGAAACCCGCGTCAAAGTCGTATGCTTTTTCGATGTCATCCATGTCCTCCTCGTTAAGCTCCACGCTAAGAGCGTCGATGTTAGATTTCAGATGAGCCACTACACGGCCTCCAACTAGAGGAAACACGTAAGGTGCCTAGTGTCTTGACTTAGTTTGGATTACGCAACGGAGACTGCCAGACTCACCTTGTGCAGCACGTATGCTATAGCAATCGCGAAGATGTGAGTATTCTTACGCTGTGCCACGTTGTGTAATGCTTGTGAAACTTCCTGTTCCCGACCTGTCAAGATGAATGGAGTCTCGCGGTCTTGCTCCTCTGGGGCGGCATCGGGAGCCCTGAAATATCCTAAGTATCGTCAATGGCGGTACTTTCAAATAGTGAAGGTCATTTCCTACCATTGCCGTTAACACCCCATGCATTGAAAGCCATGCCCTCATCAATACACATAGGCAATATGTCGCGTTCCACGTCGCGTGCTTGAGCTGAGAAGCGTCCCTGATAGATGGAGAACCCACGCAATCCGTGCTGACGTGCGTAGCAATTCGCTTTCGCAACCACCCAAGCAGGTGTGTCGCTTATCCCAAGGTAAAGAACCTTGCCTTGTTGTATAAATATATTGAGGGACTGCATAAGTTCGGGAATTCCAGTTGCAAAGTCCCAGCTGTGGACATAAAACTGTGCTCGTTAATACTAGTACTCAAAGGCTGATAAGGAGAAACTTGATATACCAGATCAATGTAGGTTGTTCGAAGCTTCTTCAAGCTAGCTTCGAGACTGACATGCATACTTTTTGTGCCCGTACCACCGAAGTTGCTGTGTTGCACTGGTTCGCCGGTTTTCCACCCCAATGTGTACTTGGTGGAGATGATCAGCTCATTACGCCGGCCTGTGCTCTCTGCCCATTCGCCGATCCATTCTTCACTTTGGCCTCCCTGATATTGGTTTGCAGTATCAATGAAGTTGCCGCCTAGGTTGTAAAATGTTTCAAGCAATTCGAATGCATTTTCTTTTGTGCATTCGCCCATCAACTTCGACCATTTGGTTCCCAAGCCTAGAGAAGAAAGAATTCAGCAAGTTTCCCGCAGACTTGTAATGAAGACTTCTGATACTCACTCATCCCACCCAGGCAAAGCGGACTAACTCGGACAGATGCTGTGGGTGCTAAGAGACGGTGTCTCCCTAAGAGACTTTTTGGGGCAGGGGTGGCTCGATACATAGCTTATTTAGGGGCCTGCGTTCTGAAGCGATAAGTCAAGGTCCTATATTTCAACAACGAAAAGCACCAAATAATAGATCGTGAAATATTTCGAAGATTCAATGGCTGTCTGAGCACGCTTTACATCCACGTCGCATATATGGCAAATTTGCCGCCATTATGGAAATATCGGACCGCGACTTGACACCCGTAGAGATTAACCTCCAACTTGCTAATGGCCCAATTATGGTTGACTGGGGGAAATACCGAAGTGTTGGTGATAAATCTCAAAATTCACCAAGATTGATCACCCACCGGTCTACCCACTGTAAAGCGCCATTCCCATGTTGTAACGTTCATTCGTGTCAGTACATACTCAGCCAATTGCTATATAGTACTTAATAGTACCGCTAAGTAATATCAATCGCGGAACAGCATTTTTTTCTTGATCATTCACATCCACGTAGGCCTTGGCGCAGAGTAAGTGTCCAAAGGTATATAGAATAGAGACGTAATTTCCCTTTGTGCTTTCAGCAAGGCATAGTCGAGCCCTTCTTACAGCCATCACCAGTCAAACAGTGACAAACACATACCTTCTGAATATTACTCATCAATGACAGTCATAAATTATCCTGGACTGCACGTTCTAGGTAGATACTAAGTATCGCGACGCCCAGTGGCTACTACTATGTACTCACTCTCTCACAACTTCACGAAGACTGACTTTATTTCAGTCCACTCTTCCCAAGCATGTTTTGAAAATTCTCTTCCCTCACCACTCTGCTTCCAACCGCCCATCGGCATATCAAGTTTCGTAGTAGCTGCCACATTAACTCCCACGCTGCCAGCTTCAAGCTGCTTGGCTACTCGTAATGCCCTAGATATGTCGCGAGTGAAGACACTGGCATAAAGCCCAAACTCAGTATCATTCGCTCGCGCTACAACATCTTCTTCGTCAACAAACGTATTGATACAGACCACAGGCCCAAATATCTCTTCCTTCATAATTTTGGCTTCTTCAGGCACATTCGTGTATATCGTGGGCTCGACAAAGTAACCCTTAGGTCGAGCTCGACCACCTCCGAGCTGAAGCTCAATATTCTGGGCTTTGGCATACTGAAAGTAGCCCATGATTTTGTCAAACTGAATCTTATCGGCCTGCGGACCTCTCGTGGTCTTCTCTGTTGGGTCGTCGACATTGCCTGCAATCTTTATCATCGCTTGCTTCATGTTTTTAATAAATGGCTCTGCAATGCTTTGATGAATGTAGATTCGCGATGTTAGAATGCAGCCCTGGCCTGAATTTGCTACAACGGATGCAGTAGCAGCTGGAACCGCTTGCTGAAGGTCTGCATCTTCAAAGATGAGTAATGGATTCTTGCCTCCTAACTCCAGGGTAACCTTTTTGAGATTTGATTCTGCTGACGCCTTTTTGATAGCCTTCCCTGTGGCTACCGACCCGGTAAATGAGATCACACGGATATCCATGTGTCGAGCGATGGCATCACCACATGGGAATCCGTATCCGCTCATGATGTTCAGGACTCCCTTGGGGAGCCCAATCTCATTGGCTATCCGAGCAATGACCAGTGCTGAAAGTGGAGACTTCTCGGACGATTTGACTACCATAGTATTGCCAGCAACGAGTCCTGGGCCGATTTTGTTCACGAGCATGAAAGTGGGACCATTCCAAGGCACAATCGCAGCACCAACACCGAACGGCTGTCTCAATGATAAGTTTACGAATCCTTTCGAGCTAAGTGAAGTCTCGCCCGTAATGTCCATTGCCATTGAGGCAGCATGTCTTAGCACGTCTACAGTGTGACGTCCAACCCCTAAAAGTGGTGAGTAACCCGATCATTGTCCCCAAACCAAGGTATAACTCACAGGTATATGGAGGGTCAAGATATGGCTTTCCCATTGTTATGGCCTCTAGATAGCCGATCTTGTCCAGACTTTGCTCAACTCCATCAGCAAGTTTGAACAGATATGCGGCTCTCTCACTTGCTTCGAGGCCTGACCAAGCCGGGAAGGCAGCTTTAGCAGCAGCGACGGCGCGGTCCACATCTTCTGGCAGTGCTTCAAACACAGATGCAGAAACTTCCTCTGTTGAAGGGTTAATGACATCAAATGTTTTCCCGGCTAGTGAGGGTACGAAGTTGCCATCAATGAACAAACGAGTTTCGATATGGTTTGGCTTCCCACGGATCGGAGTGGCCATGAGCGAGATGGGTGCCAACAGCCTTGAAATATTTCTCTACTCTTCTCCAAGAACAGGCACGGGAATCATGAGAGATTGTTCGCTGAAGGGCTGCTTCAAGTTTTTCCCAATAGGTTGTTCAAAGAGTGGAAGTGTCTGCTCTCAGCTATGTATCTCAGTCAAGATGGAGAGTCGAATCTTCAAACTGTCTTTACTTTAGCTAGCCAGCCTGGCCAAAAGAGTCGGTTTGATTTTGAGATGGTATTAGCCGTAGAAGCCCCGACCTTGGGCCGTTAGCGAACACTTAACTCCGTAATGCAAGGCTAAAATGCTTTTCACTGTGGATTATGCTTGTCAAACGAGTAGTGTTTGGGAACCAGCAAGTTGTACCGCATACACTTGGTGAGAGCAGCTTCCGAGACATGATGTTAGCGATGAGCGGTCCTCTGTAGTGTCACTCTTTATGCCAGGTGGGACTACAACTTGAGAAACGAAGCAGGCGGAGGATATGCCGGCCTGTACCAAGCTGAATACTGAGCAACTCCATTGTTTGCAGCTCTGTCCAGCGCAACTGGGCTGGCGGTGGTGCTGGATGGCAGATCACTTTTGCTTTAACAAGTTCTATCACCTGGTACCTGGTGCAAGTTGCGGACGCGTTTACCAACCCCTCGCTCCCTCGACCCTCCTCCCCCCGGGCCCCATGCTCCTTGTCTCTGCGTAGTCTCTAGGAGGTCTCCACCTAGTCTCTAGATTACATAAGCAAGTTCAGAGGCTGGTACAGGGTGGCACAGCCGCTGTGATTCAGCTTTATTGCAGCATCGTTTCTCAACTCCATACTGAGTTTCATTTATGTTCCTCATTAATCGAACTTGATCTGGAGCAATGGCATAAGCACCAGTTTATATGTTCCCGTGTTGAGCACTTTCTAGTCTTCACTAATTATACCTGCAGTTTGTTACCACTGCGCCATCGAGGATTTTCAACTGTGAGTCTGTGAATGTGGCACTTCTCAGCCTGGAGGACAATGTCGACACTTGCCAACACGGATCCACATAAGTGGAACCTAGAACTCCTAGACATTATAGTTTAGGAAATAAAAAAACTTTCAGTGTTACGACTGACTTTCCCAATCCGAGATTCTGCACCCTTCATGTGGGGAGCAAAGGTGAGTTTTCGGAACATCCTCCACGAGCTGGGCTCCACACTGCTTGCAATTTGGAGTCGCGAATATTCCGGCAGCTCAGTCTGAAGATTGGTATATACGTGTCTATTATCGGATATAAGGAATATTTCCTCCTTGTTCTTGCTAACATGAGACTGTCGCAGCATATTCCTCAACGTCCTCACGCCTGCCAACGCGGCTCCCGACTCTGAGTGTCTACTACCGGTCAAGGTTTGGATCCATGGCGGGGGCAATGCAGCGGACAGCGCCTCCAACCCGTTGTACAACGGGTGTTACCTAGCACTGGATGCTATCGTGGTCATGATAAACTACGCCCTTGACCCGTTAGGGTATCTTGCGCTCAAACCAGCGGGTCTCTTCGGGAATTATGGAATTCAAGACCAGCTGCTTGCACTACAGTGGATTCAACGAAACATTGCCGCGTTCGTCGGTGATCCGAAAAGTGTCCTTCTCTTCGGCGAGTCCGCTGGTGCATATGACGCGTTTGCGTTGAGCACATTGCTGCAAGCCTCTTCTCTTTTTTGCAGGTGTTATCATGGAATCTGGCGGGGGAGGAGATCTACCCTCCATATCTCAAGTCCCGGATTGTGGAGGCCTGGGGCTGTGATGCTGCTAATATCGGTTGTATCCGGAGTTTGAATGTGACGGTTATGAATAACACACTGGTAGCCGAAGCGAAGAAAGGAGCTACTGTCGCGGTATCGCCGCTGACCAACGAAAGGACCGGAATCTCATGGTCGCCTTTTATCGAAGGCAAAACGGTCCCAGCGCAACCCGTCAGATAGGTACGCAAGTGTCTGCTATCATCAGCACCAATGAAAATGAAGGGACAATCTTCTGGCTGTCATCTGGAGTATCGTTCGCTGCCTTCAATGAGGAGATGTACGACACGTTTATCGACTACAACTTCGGACCCTGTAACGGTAGCGTCAAAGCACGATATCCCGTGTCCCGGGTTTGGTCCCCACATTCGAAGCCATGTCAATAATCATCACTGATTTCTATTTCAAGTGCCCTACATATCGGGCCCTAAAGGGTGCAGTGAATAAGAATATCCCGGCGTTCTCGTATCGACTCAACCATACACCGAATTGTGCATGGCTTCCAGGCTTCCCTCAGCATAGGAAGTTTCTCGACGCATTGGGATACACCCATCTGTCTGAGCTTCCCTTCGTATTTGGGATCAAGGATCGTCTCCCACCGACAAATGGAAATTGCTCATCCACGCCACAGGAAGTGGGCATAAGCGATTTTATGGTAAATGCATGGATGTCCATGGCAAGGCGACAAGAATTAGGACCATCAAATGTCTGGCCGGCTTGGAGCATGGAGAAGAGCAACGGGGTGATTTTTGGCGCTCTTCCATCAGTGGGATATCAAGACTACATGACTTGTGACTTTTGGAACCCCATCACAGCTAGTATATTTGAGCTCGTTCAGACTGAGGTTTCCTAGCCGGATCAATTTACTAGATCTCGTAGGCATTAGATATAAGTAGCTTTGCACACTGGTCATATACTGTGAGCTCGTTTTGGTCAGGCGGTGAGGCTTCAGCAGCTTAACAATAATCCTATTCCTTGGGGATATACTCTCTCCCCAACTACATGTCATGTGAGATATATTACTCGAAGAAGACTGCAGGTTATAAAGGTGAATAATTGATAAGTAACATATTGTATTACAGTTTTCTTCTCTCAACGGATTGCTTATTCAAGCAATATGCCGTGTGAAGTGATATCCTGACACGGGTGCTACCTTAGCTTAATCATTGATGGTAAAATACAAGAATCAGCAAAAGTATATGTCAAAACGTATCAGAAAGTGCATTTCTCAGACGTCCAGCTTCCCCCCTTCTTAGGTCTTCAAGCGAGGAAAAAGCGAGGTCGCATCGCCACCGCATTGCATCCGCTTGCCCAACCGACGAATATGACGTGTGACTGCGGGTATGGAGCCGATGGGTGCTAGAGCAGGAGTACGGACGGATTGGCTGGCCGCGCTATCAGTGATTTGAGAATGCTCTCTTCAATGGCTGCATCAGTGTGAGTCTGTGCCCACAAGTCATTGACACCAACGTCTGGAAGTGGGATGGGCTGTCCCTGACGTGCTTTTGCTTTGTCGGCCCTCTTTCATGTAGCATGACGATTCAGAAGAACATTTGCTGGCGTCATTTTAATTTGTCGCTTTGACATGCCCCACGGCGTGGAAACCGAGCTGACCAAAGAGGAACATGGTGATAATGGACTTGACTCCACGCTGGCATGGTCGAGATTGCGACCGCCCCATCTGGTATTCCAGAACGTCAGCATGGCATAAAGCTTCATGAAGCTGTGTAGGTACGCGAAGACGTAGTAGCCTGGGAGATAGATTAAATCAGCAGGATGGTGATAGAAGTGAGGAATTAGTTTGATCAGCTTACTCAAAAGCACCAAGGTCCCCAAAAGAACGAGGTTGTAGTTGCTGAAGAAAGTTGTCTTGGTGAAGCTGTAGAGCAGTACGGCGTCGTAAAACAAGGCGAAGTTCACGAAGGAGGTGAGGTAGACGGCGTACACGCACCAAGGCTGAGTCTTCCACACTGTTCGATCTGTTAGCAGAGAAGCGGCATTAGAGCGGATGGTGGTCCGATTCCAGCGCAACACCTGAGATATGAACTTGGGGTACTTGCCTAGAGAGGTTTCCATGGTAGAGTTCCGGGTTTGTTGGAACTTGAGCTTCCAGCCCTTTCGGACCACCCATCTTGTGATAAAATTGTCATCGTCCACGTTGGGAAGGGCTATCTTACCAAAGAATATGCGTTCGTGAGTGTACTCGTATAAGAACTGTGAGTCTTGGAGGATCTCGCTTCGGAACGCCGCGGTCCGGCCACTGACGACAAACAGGCCGCCATCGACTGCGTTTGTGGCCCTGAGTTCGAAATTGTGTCGTTCCAGATAGATAGCGCCCAGGAAATTCCAAAATGCTTTCCAGCCAAAGCCATGGCTATCGCGGCGAACGCGCTTATGCGGTGCGACAGCTCCTATTGTTGCGTCTTCAAAAGGTGCAATGATTGAGACCAGGAACTCTTTGGAACGCCAGAAAACATGGTCGTCAGCAAGGACTGTGATAGCCGTGGAGATCGAAGGTAGGACATGGGCAATCTGTTTGCGCTTATTTGCCGTCTCGATGGACGAGCCCGAGATTTTGACGTTGGGAAATCGAGGCTGAAAGGCTTTAATTTTCTCTTGAACAAGCTTTTCATTCAGTTTTCCGGCTGTAACGATGCGTACCTCCTTAGGGTGATTCAGGAGTACCGACAGAAGGCACTCGATCAGATCAGGTTCGTTGGGGTCGACCGTTGGAATGACAACTGTAACGTCTGAAGTTGAGAAAGCGGGTGTCTTGGGTGTGGGACTCGGTTTGTAGAGCCAGAAGGAAAACATGTGAACCATCAGTCTAAGGTATCTGAAGAAGAAGACGAAGACGAAGAGGGGGGCGTATAAGAACGTATGGGTATTCAAGCCCATGAGTACCCAAAAGCTCATGATGCTATTGATGTTAATAGCTCGACTTCAAAAAGCCGTGGATCGAGTAATGCGTGATGAGACCGATTCCAATATAATGTTAGAAAGGATCGATACGGGCTTGAATATGGGTGATCGGTGCTTGTTGGTGAGATTAGATTCGGTTTTCCCTAAAGTTGACGATTGGTCCTTCGGCTGCTTTAGATATACTGATCAGGTAATATGGAGGGAGACAAAGGAGATCATTGAGAAAAATTTTCCCATTGTGTGAATAGTATAGGCTGCTTTGTTCCAGCAAGTCTTGAGAGCAGGGCACAAAAGGACAGAAGAATAACAAAGGTATCTGAAACGGCCAAAGCACTATGGACGGAAACAAGCTCACCGAAGGCAGATTTGCCTCGAGAAGCCTCATTTTGAAACCAGGCATGGCTCGCAGGGGTTTTCGTAGCGTTTTCAAATCATGTTCTTTGCCTCGATATGTAGAGAAACTATTGTAACAAAATAAGTCAAAGGTAGACCTTACTCGAACACCTCGCTATGCAAGTCGTGGTTGTTTTCTGTACACTCGTCGATTTCATCGCGTAATCATTCGAAGGTCATTGATATATTTCCTTCACGTTTCTGACCAAAATCGTCGTCATCATCAGCCCAGGCATTATGTTCGAGGTTTAAGCCTTGTAACGTCGGGGTGCAACCTCCATTGATCGTAGAATGCGAGTTCCACCCAGTAGGAGCTGGATCGACTGCATGTTGTTTGACTTCTGGACGAGCTGTTGTCGAAGCTATGGCTTGGCTATCTAGTCTTGGAGAGGGGGTTAACGCTAGCGGCGGTAGTGTACTGACGAGTTCCTTCGGCTCTGTATAATTGTATGAGAGGCGTCTAGCTGTGGCGGGAGAAGCATTTAAGGGCCTCTGCGGACTCTCGCGTGGAGAGCGTTGTGGACTTAGTCGTGGAGATACCTGGGGACTATATGCACGCGGCATTGGTTGTAGCGAAGATGTTCTTGCTGGTCTCAGAGGACCAATGCTTACGTCGATGTCATCTGGTCGAGGCGGAAGATTCATTCTGGCGACCTCCTCAGGTTTCAGGTCTGGTGGAAGTCGAAGGTATTCAACCTGCTTTTCTCCATCCCTTGCGTACGATGTAATTTGCATAGGTGGCAACGTACTGTTCAGCTCGCGGACCTCAATCATTTCACTTTCGAGCTCCTTTCGAATTGCATCAATGTCAAAAAGAACATTAAGATCTCCTCCCTTGGAAGTGTCGGACTCCTTTCCCCCTCCACTTTGAGATCTCTTGTGGTCGTTCTCATTCAAGTTGTATGTTTCCCAACCCTTCTTCTCTGCCAATTTTCCTCTCTTGAAAAGTCCAAATCTTTTCTTTTCCGGCTTCTCTTCTGCCTTTTTGCGGGCTTCGTCGATTTCTTGAATCAGCTCTCTCTGCCGCTGTGCATGGTTTTCAGGATCGGGATCTTCAATTTCACTGAATTCATCACTCTCGACTTCCCAACCAGCCTCTCGCATCAACCTTGGCATGGCAGTTCGATATGCCATGTGCCCGTTGACAAACTTGCTGACATCCATATTCTCAATTCCAGGAATACCTTCAACTGGAGCAAGACCTGCAACACGCATAATGCCACCAGATGTTGCTCGAAATAGGTATCCCAAGATCCAATCATTGGATGCATAGCCATTGAGAAAGCGCCCTGAAACCACTGAACGTGCTCGCAAGTACTCATCCTTTTTAACAACCACAGGTGATCCGAAAAGGTATACATTTTGTATCAGCCCGTATGCTGCACGATTCGACAGCTCTTTAAGACAAGTAAAGATGACCCTCGAACCAAGTGAAAAGCCGACCAAGGTGATTGGCCTTTGCCCAAGGTGTCTGTCGATCAGAGAATCGGCCAATATAAGGCCTGCCGCATTGGCGCGATCCAATGAAACACTCCAAGGATTGTCAATTAGGTAAGCCAATTTCGACAAGACAACTGGCAGCTGGATTGATGCCATGAGAGCGACCAGAATGGTACTGCCAAGAACTTGCTGAACAGTCTGTGTCAGGGCTTCTGTTGCAAGAATATTGATTGTGTCACCCATAGACTGCAGCATTTCGGGTTCCCACAACAAGGAGTAGATGTCTCCCATGATCGGATCAACGGTGCTATAAGGCAAGCGTACATCATCGACCTTGCCGTTCATCCACCCGGCAATGGTCAGGATGAGATTGAGTCTTTTGTGATTGTGCAAAGGGCGATATTCGAAAGTCTTCACATGTCCAGTCCGACGATCTGAGGCTCGAACAGCAATTGTGCCTCCAGCGAGTGTGGCGCCAGAAGTGATCAGCGCAGCTCCGCCAACTCCTCCCAGAAACCCGGCGGTGCCTCCGACACCGATAGTAGTAAAGCCGGCAGCTAGACCTGCACCAATCACGGGGGCCAATAAGCCTGCTGACAGCCCAATAACCAGGCCACCGCCCACCGTGGCAAGGCCCATCACGACGTATTTTCGCTTCAAGCCTAATTTTCTCCTGCGCTCCATGTTATCCGTCTCGTCCCAATTTTCTTTGGCTTCAGCTTCTTGCATTTCTAGCGAGTCGATAACTCTTTTCTCGAATCGACAAATTTGGACCCAGTTGATGTCCATGGTAGAACCGACTCTCTCCAGCAATCTTCTGGAGCGGGAGTCATATTCGCTATCCGAGATGAGTACCAAAAAAAGGTCACAGAGAACAGTCCACCGCAAATCCAACTCGATTTGCCTCGACCGAGGCATGTCTGATGGGCCATGAACTTCGGGAACTGTTTCATCATTCGCTGGCTCTTTCAGGGACACTTCGCTCTTCGAAGAAAGCCGGGAAGACGTCGAATTTCGATCGCTTGACTCTGAGGGAATTTCTAGTTCAGACTTGTTTTCCTTAGCCATTGGGTTCTTCACTCTTGCGTTGAGCATTAAGGGGGAGCTTAGGTCTGAAGGCTGAACGCCATGTTCTGCCAATTGCTCAATCATCATCTGCTCGTCCACGCTGATTTCCATGTGTGCATACAAGCGCACCATCATCTTCTGTCCCCATTTATCCATGCTCTCAAGAGCCTTGCCAATTTCCTTTTTGGTAGACCGGGTAGTTTCCATGGCGGTTAAGGCCTGAAACATCTTATGAATCGTTAGCCGTACAACACCAACATAGGCGATTCGCTGGCCCTCTGTCAGAAGGTCTTTGGTGGCTTTTAACTGGGTAAGCGCGTCTCTCTGCTCTTGGTCTTCAAATTCGTCGATATTATCTTCATCTTTGGACTTGTCTTTGGCTCCGCTTTGGAACAGGTAGTTCGTGTCCTCGTCCATGCTAGTGGCTGATTGTGCATCCTCATCGAGTTGGACTCTAGTATAGCCTTTACCAGCACCACCAATTCCCGAGTATGCGTTTGATGCTTCTGCATCTTCTTTGTTCCCCTTTGCGACCAGTCTGCCGTTGTCGTCAAATATATCAAATTCATCTATAGCAGGCATTGCCTGCCATTTAATCTCTTCTTCGTCATCAGACTCGGGTTTTGTGATTTGCCGCTGGTGGGACCATTCAGAGACGGCAGGGCCACTCAAGCGACTTTCGCGCTTGGCGATCGCAGGGCTCGACGGTCGAAGAGAATTTTTGGGTGAGGCATCTTCGTTCGATGATAGAGCGGGATCTGGATCCGAAGAGGTAGGAGCTTCGACAGTTGGAGCTTCTGGCGGTCTTGCTGCCTCCTTATCGTGTTCATTGGTAGACTTCTCCTTTTGGTCTTGCAGAGATTTCTCGAGTTCCTGGCGGGATGGTGAAGTGGAAGTCTTGTCAGTGGCCATAGTAACCCCACTTGTGTCGCCTCTTGTTCGTGGTTGGCTTTCACTTGGGTCCTCATGACTCTCGTTTTCTAAGGGAGCAGGTCTGATCTTCTCTTGTTGATCGACAGCCTGGCCAGTCGCAGTTGCGTCGGCCTCAGCATCGTGAAATGAATCATTCTCATCTTCATCTTCGCTGTCTGATGAATCAGCAGGAGGCGGCCGTGGAGTGACGGGACGCTGAGGGAGACCAAATTCGTCGAGTTCCCGCGGCTCTGGACTCGTCGGAGAGTCCCTTTGTAGATCTTTGGCAGGCTGAGATGTCTGTGCGACTGTCCCGCTACTCATAGTGGTACATCGGCGGGGCGGCCAGCATCAGGGACTGGGCTCCTATGACACCCGTGGCTGCAGAGGCGGTGTCTCGTTGGAGATGTTCTCACAAGTCCATGCACTTGCTTATGAATTGGAGCAGTTGAGCATGGAACGGCGATGTAATATATGGGGCTTAATTCCAACTGGCGCCCTCTCCGTGTCTAAAAGGTATTGGTCATCCCTCTGCGCAGATGGTGAGAGGAGTGCCTGTCGAGGTAGAGGGTCGAGTGTCGAGTGTCCACCTAAATATTAGAACCAAATCTCGCGGCCGCCGGGGAGAGGTCTTGGCACTCGCATGGTAAAGTCACGTGTGTTAAATCACGCTGCTTTGGGGATGCGCGCCGATAACTAAAGTGGCCCTTACAATGGTACGGTGATACTGAGGGTGTGCCTGGTTGGCTACTATAGCCGCAGAGCTCAGCATAATACGCTGCGCTCGTTTCCCTTCTAGCGACGATGTCACACGTAGGAGAGTGTTGCCCCATGGCGGCCGTTACCTTGGCAATCCTACAGTACAATCCTCAAATGTAGCAGTTCTCGTGCTCGTCCGGAGTACCAAGGAGCGCTCGCAGTCCATGAAAGACACACATCTCCAACGTGTGATATCCATTGTTGTTGCATTAGGCGAGTTATTGTACAGTAAACTTACAAATTCGAGTGGAGGGCCAGGGCCGATATAATCCCAGGTATGTACATATCGTTTCGCCGTTTTAGACAATGCCACAGCGATGACAGCGATTAGCTGTCTTCAATAGCCAAAAGCCGCGTGACATCGTCTGCGAACTCAATCCATGGATGGTGCAAGAGGCCTTGATGTTCTTTATTTGTTGGGCTTTGTGAATTTCTCCAGGGCCGAATAGTCCCCTTCATCCATCTTCGCCCACACACTTTCTATCCTTGCTCTCCGCTCTAAACTTGTCTCCCTATTTCTCGTGCTCTTCTTCTGGCGCTCGCCTGATAGACATTTGTTGACCTCTCGTTTGATGTCGTTGCAACCTCCCACGGCTTTGTAAAGGAAACCGCGAGCATGGCATTCGTCGAGTGCACTCATGATCTCTTCGCAGCCTGTACTTCGTCAGTTGATGGAGCAGAGTGGCGATGTATAGTATGCCAGTGATCGAACAGGTACTGCCATAAAACAGCGCCTGGCTTCGGAAGTTCTCATAGATCATGCCACCCAGAGCTAGGACGATCACGCACCAACATTGTCCTTTGTATGGAGATGTGAATGCATTTTGGTTGACACTCTCCTCCAGTATGAATCATGCGGCTCGATCCAGGCCCACATGTGTTATCTTGCAGCGTAGACCAAGGAAGGCGGAAAGGCGAAATGTCCACTGAAGAGATCAGGTTTGGAGAATTGCGGCTTCAATGGAAGAACCCCAAGACAGCACGTGACCTCAGGACACGGCCCGCCAAGACTCAGCCTTGCTGCCTGACTCAGCAGAGCATGCGGACCGAACACGCCCAGCTTTCTTTACCGCCAAAAAGTTCGCGATCCTGCCACATTGGTCAAGGAATTGTTGTCGCAGGCAGGAGTGGGATGAAATTTCGGCCTGTTAGCAGCTGTTAACAGGGCGGTCAAAACCAGAACTACAACAAGTATGTCGATGACACTGGCAACCACGTGGGTGAGGAGAGGAGCCGCAGCGCAGTTTCCTACCAAGTATCAAGTCGACGAGGCCGAACTAGGCCGGATATCGCAGCTTGCCCGCCTGCAACTAGAAGATGCCCGAGAAGATCTCCACGAGGCTCAGACCTCCGAGACTAAGAAGGACAATGATTCGGATGACTCTGACCCTGAAAATGGTGTGCCAACAGGCGAGGCTTCTGGAGCGATCAAACACCCGAAGGATGGCGGCAACGATGACGACGATCTAAAGGAGTACCATCTCGAAGACTACGACGAAGATCCTGTCGATGAACAGGGCGAGAATTTCGCCCTCTTCGGAAATGTTAGCTCATTGGCATATCACGCACCGCATGAGCAAGATCCCTACCTAGTTCTGCCTCCGGGTGAACAAGACTCGGATGACGAAAGAGAAGAACTACAGGTACTGGCAACAGATAACCTCATCCTGGCTGCCAAAGTTGAGGATGAAGTTGCACATCTAGAAGTTCTGGTCTACGAGGATGATTCGGACAATCTATATGTCCATCATGACATCATGCTACCTGCTGTGCCTTTGGCTGTAGAATGGGTTGATGTACCCGTTGGCAAAGAGGCGGGGACACGAACATCAGGAAATTTCGTTGCAATTGGGACAATGAGTCCGGAGATTGAGATCTGGGATTTGGATGTTGTGGATAGCATGTATCCAAACGCAATTCTTGGACAAGAGCCGGCCAACACTGACCAGAACGGCGAGGGCAGTTCCAGCACAAGGAAGTCGAAAAAGAAGAAAAAGAAGGTCAAGGCCAATGATAAATATCACGTCGATGCCGTCCTTGCTCTCGCTGCCAATCGGCAACATCGCAACCTTCTCGCATCAGCATCAGCAGATAAGACCGTCAAGTTATGGGATCTTAACACTGGAAAATGCGCCAAATCATACACGATGCACAAGGATAAGGTGTGCGCTTTGGACTGGCACCCGACGGAATCGACCATTTTGTTGAGTGGAAGTTATGATCGTACTGTTGTTGCAACAGACATGCGTGCGCCAGATGCCATAGCCCCGAAATGGGTGGTCGAAGCTGACGTCGAAAGAGTACGGTGGAATATTCATGACCCCAACTTCTTCTACGTCACTACGGAGGGCGGAACGGTGCATTACTTTGACGCTCGGGATGTGCCAACCTCCCAAGACAGCCCCAGTAAGCCGGTATGGACCTTGCAGGCTCACGACAGTCCAGTCAGTGCCTTTGACATCAACCCATCAATACCCGGATTGCTTGCAACGGGCTCAGACGACAAGAAAGTCAAGTTGTGGAATGTTCAGAATAATGTTCCCGGTTTGGTTGTGACACGGAATCTCGAGGTCGGACGTATATTTGCAGCACAATTTGCTCCCGATCCCGAGGTTGCCTTCAGGCTCTCTGTCGCTGGGAGCAAAGGGCAACTTCAGGTCTGGGATATCAGTACCAATCCCGCTGTACGGAACACATTTGCGAGCAGAGTCAAGCTGCCTGAAACGAATGGCGAGGAGCGACTTATCGGAGTCAATCAGGACGGTGAAGAAGAAGACGACGAAGACGATAACGAAGGAGGTATGGGTACAGCTCGGGAAGCACAGGACGGGTGGGAGTCTATGGACGAGGATTAAGAAAGCCAGAATCTTTGGTAATGGGACATTGTTTCTGTACGATTTGATGAAGAATAACACGGTTCGAACGATACCCCACAAAGCACACTTGCTTCGGCCCCTTGGTGATTTGAAGCATTGACTACCACCCGATTGTGTTGCGAACTTCTTTCTGCCTCCAGCCCATGACTTGATCTCCTTCAGCCTAGGGACTTGGAGGAGATCAAGCTGTGATCGAGGCCTAGGCAGTTCGACTTTCATCGATGTATATTTGATAGCTGTCATTCAAACCGAACCGGGCCCCGCTGAAACATGCCGTCTTGAGATAATACTGCCGGCATCATTGATGTCAGTTGATTTCCTCCATGGAAGTCAATACCCGGTCTCACACACATTCCATAGCGAGACACAAATCAACCACTCCACCCTCGTCCGATATGGTGGAGGGCACAATTTCTCACACTCAATACTTTCCACTGTTATCTACTACCTTAGCCCGACAATGCTTGAACTTTATTGGACAACGCATGAAGGCGGAACACTTAACTCCATCTTGCCGATCTCGGAACGGTAATTGGTCGGCGCATTGGCACCTGATGCAACCAATACGAACGGCAGACACAAATGATCTGGACCGGTTCTCTTCCTTGAAAGAGGGGTTAATGAGTACAACGAGCAGGTCTAGATATTTCCTAGGAGCCAGTCAGTATGAATAGATCCTGTCTTCCCAATGGTTGACCTGTTAACTGACAAATTCTCAGGGTGACAGATATATCGACATTAACAACAGCCCGGTTTCTTGATGGATACTTCACCCCAAGCAACTGAGTGTACCAGCCTGTTGGATCTCCCAGGCGAAATTCGCATTGAGATATATCGCCATCTGTTTGAGGCTGCCCAGCTTTCCCTTGGAGGCGCAAATCCAGAAATAAGGCACTGTGGCTCGTCAATATGCTCATGCGCCTTCCCATACCACATTCTCGACACCTGTCAACAGCTGCGCAATGAAGCCACGCCATATTTACTGGCATCAACCACATTGCAGGTGAGCGACTCGCTCCACAACCTTAATCGATTGCCATACGAGTATGTCTCAGCATTAACCAGAGCCGTGGTGATGAACACGGAGTCTTTCTCCAAAGCCCCTTTCCAGTTCAGCAGCTTCTTGGCTCTGGAGACGCTGGAGCTCCGCAACATTACCGTTTGGTGTAAGTATCATGACGAGGCCTACCTTCAGAGCCAGGAAGGGGACGATTGCATGATAGCCCTAGCCCTGTTCAACCTCGGGAGGATCAGCTCGCGCTTCACGACGCTCTATGCCGATAGCACACGTCTATTCAACATAGTTCTTTGTTGCCAGTTTGTTGTGTCGTCTATGACAGACGAGACCATCGTATGAGATCCTTCTCTCATGTTTTGAGGACAAATGGCTAATATGCGGGTTTAGCATGCAGCTATTGATATTGATCGAATGGCCGTCCTCCGCAAGTCCAAGGGCCCCAGAAACTGCGACAGGAATGCCTGGGCTGGATTCTACTGAAAAGCCTCGTTTCTCACATCCACTTACCTCAATTTTGACTTTTTGAGACCATGGAATGCAAGGCAGAATCTTCTGTGACTGGCTCGGTACTACCAAAGCCCATCGTATGTTTCTCAATACCGATTGGCCTGAAAACCTCTGACAAGCTCTAGATTCGTGATGATATCATCACTCAGCAAATTCATTTTCCCAAAGTTTCTCATGCTAGTAGAAGACAATACACTACTTGCCTCATCAAGAGCTTGTCTCGCGGTGGACATCTAGCTTCCCCCCCCCGCTGAGCTCTTCCAGCTCACCCTGATGTGAGATCTGTGTATGTCAAGATGTGCCTCAGCACGTCTCAACAAAGGAAGGACCAAGGCCAAGACCGCATAATGCGTACCCGGATGCAGACATATGGCAGAAATGCCAGTGGACGGCGTGGGTTATACTTGGTTGGCACCTGTATCACAGCTTTCCCGCCACGAGTGGCATGTGCTTCCATTTCCCCAAGCCGCCCGTCAATAACTCTGCAACGAGTAGCCATTAGTGTTTATGTGACCTATTAAGGGCCACTACTGACTGTATGACAACTGTGTCAGCGTGCCTTTTGAGCCAATGAACCAGAGGCTTGGCAGTTTCGTCACGTCGCGTTGTCGCGTGACCACGTGATCTGATAAGATTCAATTTATCCGAGTCGCGACGATGGACGCTGCCTTCATCTTCTTTCCATTCAAAACACTTCACAGTACAATCTTGACTTTTGTTTTGATAATTCGAATTGGGCGTTTTGTTCTCGAGCGCGCCTGTGTTGCAGAACTTTTATTAGTCTCTCACCGTTCAACTTTCGTCAACTTAAACGAACCTCCTCGTGATCCTCCACTAATTACTCACTGGGCCTGTGCTCCTGAGTAGGTTAGTTTCCCCACCATACGCCGTTCTGAGGCAGCCTTGTGCCTGTCATGGAGGACCAGGTTCTTCAATTTCTTCAGGCAACGACCCGACCCGACACAGTTGTGATCAACGCGGCTGAGCAGGGACTGCTCCAATTATACCCACAGGCAGAGTTTCCCTTCGCTTTGCTCACCATTGCAACGCATCAAAATATCGAAGTTGGCTCTAGGAAAGCCGCTTTGACTGCCCTCAAGAACTATGTCCTTCAGACCTGGTCGCCTCAATTCGACGAAACCTTTACAGGAAACATGTTCCTAAATGAGGATGCCAAGTCCAGGATTCGCGACCAAGTCTTCGCCATTTGTACAGTCTCAGGTGACCAGGCTCCCAAGGACGCAAGCATCCAGGCCTTGGCTGCAGGGGTAGCTAGCAAGATTGCAAGTGTTGATTTCCCAGATTCATGGCCAACGTTATTCCCATCTCTACTCAACATTCTTAATACTTGCACCGATGATGGCCCCATTCACGGTTCTCTTCGAGTGCTTGCTGAATTGATAGACTCGGGATTGACAGAGCAACAATTTTTCGCCGTCGCGCAGGATCTGGTGGGCGCTTTGCAGCATGTGGCATTGGATAACAATCGTGCCTTGATTGTTCGAGCAATGACACTGAATGTCTTCCGATCTTGTTTCGAGATGCTGGAGATGGTCATGGCTGATCACGGCCCTGCTGTCAAAGCGTTCTTGGATGAGTCCCTCAAGACTTGGATGCCATTTTTCACTGAAACAATAAAAGAGCCATTGTCACGGACAGAAGGCGGGACGCTAGATCAGAACGACACCCAGTTGCGTGGCCTGGTCGCATTGAAGGTTCAAGCCGTTATGGTATGCATCAGTTGATATATGCTCCACGCCTCTTTTGAAAGTCAACGACTAACAGCGTCAACAGACTCTAGATAAGCTACGTCAAGTATATGTTCATGCTATCTCTCCTCACGCTGTTGGGCTCTTCCAAGTTGTATGGGAGGAGCTCTCGAGACTCACTACTCCCTACACGGATCTCTTTATTGAGGGAAGTGCAGAAGGCAAATTGGTCGACAGTGACAATCTTCCGTGCAGTCTAGACGCACTCATCCTCGAAGAGATAGATTTCTTACAGGTCACCATCAAAGCTCCCTCAGTCCGTTCGGAGCTTTTGACACAAATGAAACAATTAGGAGATGCACAGCACACAGTTCAATGGCTCCAAGAGCTGATCAGAGTTCTTGTCCAGTATTCGAAAATCCCGAAAGAAGAGGAAGGGCTATGGGAGTATGACTCAAACTTGTATATTTGTGAAGCAACGTCCTTGACCGCGGCCTACACCCCTCGCGCTGCATGCGCTGAGCTTGTGGTTAGAAGCTTGGGTGAATGGCTGAAGCAAATTCCCATTATCGCAATGCTCCACTTCAATCAACAAACGACTTCGACAAAGAGTACCAGCTGGAAAGAGCGAGAGGCTCTCCTATTTCTTCTCAATCAGAGTATTAAAGATGTCGACGATGTGTCAGCCAAACTCAGCCCGTCCACTGCCTCAGCACTGCTTGATCAAGTTTCCTCATTCCTTCAGGACACCCAGCTCTTCATGCGGGCTGCAGCACAGTTGACTCTCGGTTGCTTCTTCAAGGTAGCCGGTGAGGGCTACCAGGAAGCGGGAGCCGCATCATTCGCCAATGCCATCAGTACCGGCGGATCTGATCCTGCAGATGTTGTCAAGGTCGCATGCATCAGTATCATCCCTGACTATCTGGAGGCACTGCCCTCGAACATCACTCAACCAATGCAAGGGGCAATTATCAGCGTGATTAACGAGTTCATCGCATCGCACGACCTGAGAGACGAGCTTGAAGACGCAGACGACATTAAAGCGGCTTTGATCCAAACACTGCGCGATGCTATTATGCTCGACACCACAACCATAACCGAGTCCAACGCGATCGATATCTTCTTTACCCTTGCTTCCGACGGAGCACCCAACTTCCAACTCTTTAGCCTTCTCACTGAAGCATTTGAAGGCATTGTGGCTTCAGTGGCATCTCATGGCACCGATCATTATGTTCGCCTCTGTGCAAAGACCATTCCCGCCTTGACAGGTGCTTTCGACATCGCCAGCATGACAAATGAGTCTGCCTTGACAAACCTCGCTGCAGAGCTCGTCAGTGCGCTCGCCGAGTTTGGTTCTGAACCTCTTCCCGACGGCTTCGTCAACGCCGTCATGCCAAAGCTCCAACGCGTTCTCATGGAAGCCACGGAAGCAGAACTCGTTCGTCCTGCCACTCTTGCCGTCGAGCACATGCTTTCGAAGGGGACACGGCAGTATTTAGCATGGACAGATCCCCAGAGAAAATCCTCAATAGAAGTTACACTGACCATCATAAACCGTCTCCTCAACTCGCCAGACGTAGATGAGAACGCCGGCAGTGAAGTCGGTACACTCGCATCATCTCTCGTCAGCAAATGCGGCGCAGACAAGCTAGGACCATACCTCATGGATCTACTCCGCGCGGTGGCGATCCGCCTTGCAACCGCGGAGCGTATCCAATTCATCCAGTCACTAAGCATGGTTTTCGTGGGCCTAACGATCGCCGCACCCAAGGAGGTTGTCGACTTCCTGTCGGAGCTCAACATCAACGGCTCACCGGGGTTGGGCATAGTTCTCACGAAATGGCTCGAAAACTCAGTTCACTTCGCCGGCTTCGACGAGGTGCGTCAGAATGTGTTGGCACTGTCGAAACTGTTCGCTCTGCAAGACTCACGCGTCAAGGCTGTAACGGTCAAAGGCGACCTGATCATCGACACCAATCCCAGCGGGCGCATCAAGACACGTTCACAAGCGAAACTCAACCCGGACCGCTGGACCAGTGTGTCCGCCGACCTAAAGATTCTGAAGCTGATGGTGGACGAGCTGTCGAGCGCAGCAACTTCGCAGTTTCCAAATCTGGCAGCTGCACAGGCAGCGGCGGATGCACTGGATGAGGCGGACTCGGACGCCGATGATGCGGACGAGTGGGAGGATGTGGGCACGGCTGGCGCGATCGACCTCGCAAGCGAGAGTGTTCGCAATGATCTGATGGGTCTCGTTGGCGAAGGGCCACTCGGACATCTCGATCGCGCTGCGAGCCCGACTGGGTCGCGTGTCCGCGATGAAGAGACGGCTGAATATCTCTTGCAATGGTTCAAGAATGAGGCAAGCAGAGAGGGCTTTCCTGCGTTGTTTGAGCAACTCAGCGAGGAGGAGAAAGGCCGCTTGAGGCAGTTGGTTGCTTGAATGAATTGCTGACTGACTTGGTCTATTCTGCTTTGTCGTCCTCCAGAGTCGGCAGACAATGATGATGTAGAGCGGGTTCGGCTCGGCCAACACAGCAAGTGAAACGACAGAGGTGGTAGTGGAAGCACACGAGGCAACCCGGTGACATTGGCTGTCATGGCGAACGAGGCACGGGGTGGGAATGTTGATGAATGAATAGATGTATGGATGTTCGTCTTATGAGCCCAATTACCTTTCCCCTCAACCTCATGAGGTAGTTAGTCATCATGTTGAGACCAAAGAGCGCAAAATGCCTACGCATTTTTGGGCATTCAGAACGTGTGTTCTGAACGAAGAAACAAAGGGTCTATTTATCTCTTATCTTGCCCAAAATCGCGCTAGCAATACGGAGTAGCACCAAGTCCTTCTTTCTTATCATTGTCTATATCCTCCATCAGCATCCTCGCACCTTGTGATTATTTCTTGACAGCAGCCCCTCTCTGAGCGCCGAACTTCTCATGCCACTTGCGCTTTTTCAGGTTCTTGGTGGCGTCGGCAGCGGAGGAGGCGTCCGTCGAGACTTTATCGCCGCCTGCCGCTCCATTCGCTGCACTCAGACCGCTGTGCGCTGTCACACTTGATGACGGTCCTGAGCCAACAAGGCGAAAGAACTCCTTCTTTTCTGGAATGCCGAACTCATCCGTGACAGTCTCCATGTACGACTCCACCGCTAGACCACCAGAGGGACTGCTCTGCTCTAGTAAAGCATTGACGCTGCAGAATTTATGCCACGCGTCGGGGATGAGGTCTTTCCAGAGTGTGTTGAGGAAGATATCGGAGCGGATACTCTTGCTGTCAGTCTTGCGGATGACGGTTTGGAGCTCCCATCGCCCTAGTGTCTGGGTCAGAGCCTCTGCGTCCCAGGCACCGGCCAGCTGTTCGGAGTTCCAGTCGTCGTCTAGCATGTTCGCGGCGGTTTCGTTGTCATGCTCTGGCGCTAGCGCAGTTCGAGTCTTGAAGCGGCGGAGGATTGCGCAAATGAGTGTACTTGCGAAGTCGGTGATGCCAGGGTCGTTGCCGCGTTCGTGTTGATCGTTCATGTGCTGAAAGACGGACCCGAAGGTTGTCGTATGGCCTGGTGGATGAGGTGTCGCTGCTGCTGGTTCCGGCCCTTCAATTCTGGCGTCTAGGATGTCGCATTGCTGGGTGAACTCTTTCCATGCAGAAAGAAGAAGTGATGGCCTCACCAAGGATGTCTGAGCTGGACCTCGAACCGTTGGATCGTGAATCAGGAAGAGGTTCTTGGCCACTCGGCAGCAGAGCGTCGTTGGAGCAGGAATGTTATCCAGTAGTTCTTGAAAGCTATAAGTTGTGTCGTCGCGCCTTTTCGAGAGTATGTCCTCCATTGAATCATCTCCTCCATCGTCGGCATGAGCTATTGTGCGGACCATGGAAAGAATTTGGTCTTCGACAGCTTTCTCGGAGGGGTTCACAGGAATCAGTTCGAGGACGTTCTTCACTTGAGCAATCGTGGTGATTCCTCTGTTTCCTGTCATGTTCCTGAGTGCGTCGGTCTCGCTGTCTGGCAAGGTGTTGTCCTCTGACTCACGCATGTCGATATCGCCATCAGGATCATTCTCAGGTGTATATGTGTCGCAGAATTTGGTGACGAAGACCGTGTTACTCGTACTGACCTGTTTCACTGCCCATACATTTTCATCACTGCAAAGGTGAAGAAAGCCCTGTTGTGCAGAAGCGTCCGTTACAGGAGCATGTGTTCTTGATGGTAAGTGGCTTCCAGTGTGCTGTTTGGAAGTTGTAGCTGCTGGTAGTCCTGATTTGAATTGTAGCCTACAATGACCATGAGAATGATCAGCGTACGAACACGGCATACAAACGCTTGGATTCTTCGCCGCACAGGTAAAATGCATCCCTTGGCCATGACATCTTGCTTGTGCGTGCAAATAAAGCCACATTCTCACTCACCTAACCGGATGCGTGTCCTTCCTCGCCTCAATCAATGCAAGCAGCTCCGGTGGTAATTCCAAGAGTCTGAAATTTTGTTGCGGAAATGTGGAAGAGAATGCGATGGGCGGGAAGCTGGAGTCTTGGGTTGACATTGCGGGTTTCGTGAGTGTTACGACGCTGTGGTTTGGGTAAAGATCATCGAAGATTGCAGTGGTTGAACATACCACATGTGCCCATCACACACAAAATAAAGCGTTGTGGGGAACTTCAACCAGCAGAGGTCAATATCAGGGACGAAATGTTCAAGAAGGACTTAACACAGTTTGATCACATAAAGTCTTTGGCAAAATCCCAGTTCTCTGTGGTAGGTTATCGCTAAAGTTGCAGTAATTAACGCGTACACGTCGCGATACGCGTGTGCCAAATGAGGCCCTCTTTAGATCAAGCAGCTCCATCTTATCTAATCAATGCGGGGTACCATCGAGCAAAGGCTTGCGGTCACGTGCGATTTTCTTTTCCCTGTCTTTGTAGGCATCTCCAGCCCGAGACTGATATTACATTGAGTGCCTAGGTAATCGAAAAGTCTTCTAAATATCGGACAGACGCCGTGAGCGTCTTGTGCCAGCGGTGAAACAGTGCCTCATACTTCGGTAGGATTGACAACGACCCTGCGTGGGGCTCGGATCGTCAGGCACATGCAGCAACACCAAGTCATATCCGTGAAATGTAATCGTCATCATGCATGTTACATTTGAGTCTAGTCAATTGAACGCATTTCCCATCCTCAAAGCTTCCCAAGGGCTTCAGCGACCGTGACCGCCTCATTGATTCAAGCTCTGACTGAAACACAGGATGAGCTTGTTACTCTTTACTCGGTTCGAAGCCTGGGATCACTATGGTGCGGCGGCAACCGTGCCAGACAAACACGAGGCCTCACTCGGGAGCACGGGTACCTTCAATTAATTGTCAAATGGGCCCGAACAAACCTTGGTCCCTACATGCCATGACAACTTCTAGATGATGCACTATATGCCCCACCTTGCCTTCGATCTCTTGTGTCGAATAAACGTTGAGGCCCGTGTGAAGTTTCCATGTTGGTGCATTCTGCGTCTCGGTCCCCTCCTAGGCATAGTGAAAATCAAAACAAAATCCTCGGAAAGTCCACGTCATGCATTGACTCCTTCTCTTCATCCCATTTTTCTTACTCCGTTATATCTGCAGTAGACTCATGCTCTCTCAGCGTTGCATATTCGGCCGTGTTTGCATGTCGTAGCCTGTCGGTTCTATCCTTAATCACCCTGGTACCAGTATGACCTCTCTGGTGACTTCAGCCCTAGATCGAGTGCGCAACTATGCTGGGGCATTCGCCTGGGGCCCGCTGGTTCAAACATCCCGACAACTTGTCCTCTCATTGCTCTCGCAAATCGAATATGGCAGCCTCACCTTGGTCGAAAAAAATGGGACGAGCACAGTGTACGGGGCGACTGGCGCAGATGCTGTCCAGCCCGCTGCTCACTTGCGTGTGATCCGCGACTCTTTCTGGCTGCGCCTGGCGTTGTTTGCCGACATGGTTCGAAGTGTAGCCCCGATCTTCCGATGTAGAAACTAAGCCTTTATGCAGGGTTTTGCGGAATCCTTTATGCTGGGTGATGTTGAATGCCCTGACCTAACAGCTTTCTTCCAAGTGAGCGGCTCGTGACCGTTACAGGAATTGCCACTAACGAGGCTGTAGATCTTCATCTTGAACCGCAAGAAGCTTGCGAACGCCTCCACTATAACCTCCTCTGTATCCTCTGCTGTCAGCGGATTCTTGCGGCGAACGAACACCCTTGCGAATGCTCGCTTGAATATCAGTGCACATTATGACATTAGCAACGCAATGTTCGAAGCATTTCTTTCTCCAGATATGACCTACTCTTGCCCAATCTGGAAACCAAAATCGGAATTCGTCATCGGCAAAAAGGCAGAATCCCTCGAGGATGCGCAGATGCGCAAACTCGACAGATTCATTGACAATGCCAAAATCAAATCCACGGATCATGTCCTCGAAATCGGGACTGGATGGGGCAGTCTTGCCATACGAGCCGTACAGAGAACTGGCTGTCGAATAACCTCCCTCACCCTCAGTCGAGAACAGAAAGATCTAGCCGACCGACGGATAGCTAAAGCAGGATTAACGGAGAACATAGAAGTGTTGTTGTGCGACTATCGAGCCCTGCCCATGCCGAGGGAAGGTCCATACGACAAAGTCATCAGTATCGAGATGATCGAAGCAGTTGGGAGGGAGTTTTTGGCCACATATTTCGAATGCGTTCACAAACTCCTGAAGCCAGAAGGAGGCATCACAGTCTTCCAGTGCATTACTATGCCCGAGTCGAGATATGAGGCATATTCCAGGGGCGAGGACTTCATTCGCAAATACATCTTCCCTGGTGGTCATTTACCAACAGTGTCGCAATTGGTGGAATCAATCAATAAGGGCAGCCAAGGTCTGCTGATAGTGGACGCCATCGAAAATATCGGCCCTCATTATGCAAAAACGCTGCGGTTATGGAGAAAAAATTTCCAGACGAATTTCGACGCCCGGATCCAACCTGCCTTGCTGGCCGAGCATGAGGGAATGACTGCATACGATGTTGCTCTGTTCCGCAGGAAGTGGGAGGTGAGCTCGCCCGCAGTTTCAGTGATATGTTGAAGATGCTGACTCTAATTTCCAGTATTACTTCACATATTGTGAAGCCGGCTTCAACACCAAAACCCTCGGGGATGTGATCATTACTGCTGCGCGCGAAGGTGCGATGGAGACGATGGAGCAGGTCCCATTATAACATTGACCCTCCTCGTGACCGAGTAAATCCACTCTCATATCCTTGAAAGCCTACCCATAGCCATTGAGTAATTAGCGCTTTTTCCTTTTCTTCTTTTTGCGAGCCTTCTCGGTCAGTGACGTTCCTTCTGCTTCAGTCGATTTGGTCGGGGCTCGACTAGGCCACTTCTTGGCGTGCTCTCGTTCGAAAGCTGCTTTGTCGCGGCGGAACAGCAATATGCACGCCCTCGCATCCTCCACGCTGGAATGGGCCCCGTCTTGTATCTCGAAGCCCAGCAACTCGGATGCGAGGATCTTCAGCCGAGGGGAGCTCCCTCCAGCCAACTTCCTATACGGTGCGTGACGGGCAGTGTCCCGGATATCTTTCTTGGGATGCACAAGCATCAATGCCTCAAGATCGTTCCGAATCGCATGCCCGATCAGTACTCTGTCTTTGACCAGCCTTGATATGTCTGCCAGAACTTCCTCGAGCGATCGAGCAACTTTCATATGGTGGGGAGCGATCCCGCTCACATGCGTTCTCCAGTCAGTGACAGACTCTTTCGGGAGGACATAGGAATCGTAGACCTGTTCGCCATTGTAGTTCACCAAGCTGACACGCGCGAGGGCGGATTCTCTGTCAGGATTGGGGCCGACGCCGACCATTTCGCAGTCAATAGCGACATATCTTCCAACCTCTACACTGAGACCTGTTAGTATCTCTCAGTCGTTGTAGAGAATCCCGGACTCACGTTGGAGACAGCCCAGCATTTACCAAGTCGGCTGCGGCAGGCACTGGCCGTAGAGGAGGGGCATTTTCGGAAGCTTCGAGATCCTGAAGTGTGGCTGGAGACTTTGAAGCACCATTTGGAACCATGGAATTCTCCATACGCGGCCTTTTCCTTGGTATCTGGGTCTGTCGAGGAGACTGCCTTCGAGATTCCAGTTGAAGCGGCGCCCGCTTGCGCTTCACTCCATGACTCGGGACGGCTTGGGAGGAGGGTTTGGCGGGGTTTGTGGGCTTGAGGGTGGTCTGTAGTTTCTTCCAGTTTGCAGAGAGGGCACCAGCCTCCATCTCCCCTGCCGCGAGGAGCCTCTCGAAGCAATCCAGAGGTTGTCAAAAAGGTAGTCAAATATTTCGGGGACAGGGCTCAAGGGCATCGTATTTCCCCGGGGGTGTGCTTGCCCCGTATAATAGTTCTTCCGTTCCGAGTAAACGAGGCACGATGGAGACCCTCCATCATCGTCTCCCTCACCGGCTGAAGTCTGTTAAGAAGCTGAGACAGGTCTATCAAAGTTGATTAGAGTATAGGCTTGCTCTTCCATCCTGATCATATAAGTGATTCTCTACTGGGAATACCCAGAGGCCACTGCTTTACAGCACCCCGGTGCTGGCTATTGGGGGTTAGCGAATTCTCAGGGTGATTCAGCCTCGCCAACTTGGGACTTCGAACGTCGGTCCTGATTGCTTGTGCGAACTACATGAGAGATTTACATGCCATACCTCAAAATTTATTTCCTCGGGTCTGTTCGTTATGGCTGCTCCACCGGAGACAAAGGCTGAGGCAGAAGCCCTCGTACCTCAATTTCACCTCGAACGTGTTCTCAATCAGGGTAGGCGGGGCATTTTTGCTCCCCATTTCCCACCCAAGTATACCAGCTGATTCATGTATCAGACCAGAATGGTCGCCGAATCTCTCTTTTAGGCAGTATCGCATCCAAACCAGCATTGATCACCATTGAGCGCGCAGCATTCCCGACCGACTCAACTCAGGTCACCGCTTTACTTGAGTCTCTCACTAACACGACCAATCTGGGCGCAAATGATATCTACAGATGGTACATGGCCAACCGGTCTGCAAAAACAAGTCCGTCTACCACGCAAACAGTCTCGACTTGGGAATCCATCCCCTCATCATCATCGTCATCCACAATCGCGGATCTGAAACTCAACCTGATCTACCCCTGCACACCACAGCATGTGCGGAAGTACTCTGCCCAGCGCGTCCGCATGGTGACCGAGACACCTCAACTCTACCGCGACCACATCCGGCCCTATATCGTCCGGCAACGCACAGCGGGGCGCCTGGACTGGATATTCAACATCCTCGACGGGCGCACGGAGCAGGAAGATGTGGTTGCACGCGTGGATTGGGATGACCCGTCACAGGCCGGCTTCCTCCTGCTTCCGGATCTGAACTGGGACCGCAAGACCGTGCAGGGCATGCACCTCCTCGCGCTGGTCCAGCGGCGCGACATCTTCTCCATCCGAGATCTCAAGAAGAAGCATGTCCCCTGGCTCAAGACGATGCGCGACCATATCGTCGACGCTGCGACCAAGGTCTTCCCCGGCGAGGTCGATCCTGACGAGGTGAAGTGTTACATCCACTATCAACCCACGTATTATCACTTCCATGTGCATGTCGTGCATGTGATGCTGGAGGCTGGGACGACGCAGAGTGTGGGGAAGGCATTTGGACTGGGGAATGTGATTTCGCAGCTGGAAGGAATGGATGGGGACGGGGAGGCCGGGATGGATGCTACGGATTTGCTGTATTTCCTGGGGGAGGAGAGTGAGCTGTGGAAGAAATGCTTTGGGAGGCTTAAGGCTGGGAAGGGGGTTACTCTGATTGAGCAGTAAAACAGATTCGGAATTAGACAAAAGCGAACAAGATATTCAAGATAGCACAAGTGTGGAGATTGAACACAGCGCAGAGAAGCGAACAGGAATTTCGGAATCTCCAAAAGCTTGGGGTTCGCCGTCCAACGGCATTTCACCCTTCAAGCCTCATCTTTATTTTCGTCCCATCTGTGACTAACTCCTCCTGGGTGCCAGAACGGACATGGTGCAAAATATACATGAGAATCGAAAACAGGTGGCCACAATGATTCCTAATCGTAATGCGTGCGTAGGAATTGTAGGCCCTAAAAGAAAAACACAGGTGGTCAGAAAAGAAGATTTCTACGAGCACCTTCGATGTCTTTTCGAAAATAGACATCCGTTCAGTGACATCTAGTCTTCATCAATGTAGCAAGTGAATTTAGTTGGTTTGCCGATGCGACCGGTCACGGTGCTGGTGAATGAGACTGGGCTGGTGGGCTGACCGGCGCCTGGGCCGGGGTTCCCCCCGTTGTTAGGGTTGCCTCCATTACCTCCGTTGCCGCCCTCTGGGCGATCAGTGTTCGCTGGTGGAGAAGGGGGAGGAGCTTGAGAGGTCGCAGGCTCGGAAGGTGCGGATGTCTCAGGTTTACTTGGTTGGCCTGTAGTGGAACTCGAGGCAATCGCACTGTTTGAGACGACTTGAGTCGGTGCAGTCACACTTGTAGTAATATCAATACCCCAAGCCTTGGTGGTACTGGCAGAGGTGCTTGCTTGCGAGGTGATGGACGAGCTTGGTGCAGGTTGAGTGTCTGAAAATCCATCAATTAAGGGCGGGCCGGGAATAACATACGAGGTCAACTTGGGATAATAGATGGAAAGGTGGATGCCAGGGTCTTCGTCGTTATAGAGATCGGTTCCCAGTGTTCCAGTGGAGAGTGTGTTCGAGCCAGAGCCAGTGATCTCGAGGTTGAAGCATTGAGGGTACGCTTGTGAGCCACCAACATCAAACGCGGAATGGAGAGCGATGGTGTCGTGGCGGAGGACGTATTTGCCAGGGGCAATGTTGGAAGGAATTGTGACCGTCCAGGAGTTATTGTTGGCAATCAGTTCGTCCGAGGCCCATCTTCCCGGAGAATCGATATATTCGATAAGGCCAGCCTCGTCAATCTTATTGAAAAGGAGTTGGGTCTTGTCGACGGTAGCGCAGTCATCACCGCAGGCAGCGAGGAAGTCCATGACTGGGCCATGATGAGACTCTGGCCAGTCAGTCCACTGGAGCTCAACGCTTGAACCAGCAGCAACCTGGATATAAGCACCGCCGGGAGAAGCACCCTTATGGCAGATGATGTCAGGAGAGTTGTAATCACTGACAAAGCCATTGTCCAGGACGTCGTTCGTAGTCCAACCGGCAACAACTGGTGGGGGCTTCTGGAAGACAAAGCTGGGGATATAGCCAGAGTACCACTCGCCACCGGCAACAACGCCAGTCACATGGCCATGGGCCTGGACTTTGGAAAGGAGGGCAAGGACGCTAAAAAGAGCGGCCGGCTTAGTAAGAGACATCGTCAAGTCTGGTAGGAGGCGAGGAGGCAAGCTGTTGAAGTTCGAGAAGCTGATTGTAATTTGACTGCACTGTGGAATAATCCGCAAAAAGTGATTGGGACTTGCTTCAATCAATGAAGACTTTGGAAACGAATGTGGTGAGAAAGAATGACACGGTCAAATTGACCTGAAAAACGAAAGGCCTGCTTGAAGCTTTTGGAGGATAATTGTGCGCTGGAGGAAGGACAACAGCAGCGCACACAGAAAGCACATATTAGTATATATACACCATAGGAATGTTGTGAAGTCTCCATTCTTTTGGATTCTGCCAAAATACCAATCTCAGCCTCGGCACATGCTGGTGTTCCTGGGCAGTTTCACATTGGAGGGGCAGGCAAGGCCATCTCTTTTACCTACATGGTATAATAGGAGAATTGATGTAGGCGTCGTTGATAGTGCAAGGAACACCTGGTCGAGGCAGCCCGCTCTGGGTTGCCCCCGTGCTTGGCAACCCGTTATCTCAAGGAGGACAAATGCTTGGTAGGGCCAGACAACGTTCATTGTGGGCAGATCGGAAACGCTGGATCTTTGAGATATCAGATCTGCCAGCGCGCTACCAAGATTACCGGGCACCAGACCCAAAAGTGAATTTGTTTCAGGCTCCTCATGGCGAGCCGGGGTTCGCTGTGTGGGTAGGTATTCCGGTGCCGTCATTGCGGGTGAAATCGTGACTTCCTATAAGCGCCACTTACCACAGATCCTAGATTTTGAATCTGGCCCCCTCATCGATGACCATGATTCAGTCCCAAGTACTTGGTTCTATTAGCGATGTACCATCGACAGCAGTACTGTTGGCCTGGGGCTCATGGTGTACGAGTAAAAGATGAGAAGGGAGCGGGTGGAGCCAAAATTACCTAAGCTGCGCCGCCAAGATATCAGCTTGTTTCAACCCCTTTCCTTCATTCCCACTATTATCTGTTCACCCTCGCCTGGTCTCACTCCACAGCATGGCGAATTTTCACTAGAAAAGACAGAGAACGGGAGGACATCCACAGCCCATTCTATGTGGTGGTTAGGAAATAGAGCCTGGGCTTGTGAAATGGTAAATCCGCCTGCCTTTTCATATCTGAGCATGGAGCATGTAAGCTATTCATTCATTCCAGAGGCTCAATGGATCTACAGGGTGAATCTGCAAGAGTCCTTCCGGAATGACTGCCGAGCTTCCTTCGCTTATGTTCGCCGAATAATTAGGCCATGGAGAACCGTCTATCCATATATGAATATTCGTCAATGTGGGGCAGCAGGCCACTAATCCCCCAACTAGCACCTAACATCCTTGGTCGAAGGCGCTGCAAGTACTTGTGAATTTAGCCGTCATATGCTTTTTCTTCAAGCTATCAGAGGATCCTCCCAGTAGAGTCTCCTGGTCCTTTGATTAATAGCGCAGGGATGCACAAGATCACATCACTTGATCCCATTCGCACCTCCTAAATCCTTTTGAATCTTTCTTCTCGATCAACTGGAAGAGTCGGATGGTGCAAGCACCCATATCTCAGCACAGCTAGATCCCGAAATATGGAATCTGTGCGATTCATCCCTTTCTTGGTGAATGGGCCGCTGAGTCATGATCACAACACCAATTGTGCCCGGTTTCGATGACGAAGCGACCTTGATGAATTTTTGGGTGGCCTCTTTGCATGTCCTCAAAAGCCATATCATGACATCTCTTCAGATTCGTGCGGGAATCCACTGGTGCTTCAACATCCTCCATTCCGATACCCGGTGCATCACGGGTGCACTGGTCGGTCTGAATCCAGAACGTCTGATCGTTGATGGCGTATCATTCCACATGTGGTGGTATTAGGGAGGAAAGCGGGTCATGGACAAGCCCATGCTCTTCCGCAGAAGGATAACAGGACATCTTTGAAGTGAATGTTGAGATCAGTGCTCTAAACCATGACCCTCCGGAGGCCACTGGTCCCTCCCAACACTCTTCTACCTGTCACCGCGCAGCGACCCTTGCCGCTCTCCCACCTTCCTTCACGGCTTTTGTCGTCCTTGGGCTTGTGATCATGGGGCTTTTCATCTAGATTATTCTCGTCGTCTTCTTCCCACTCGCTAGTCCGTTCCCCTTTCATGAAGGCCTCCTGCCTATCATGTGTGCCCTCGATCCACTGGAAAATGCATCTGTAATCGTACACATACCCAGTCTGGCAAGCGGCAGCGGTAGATATCGGGTGCAGGCAGATAGGACACAGATCGCTAGACGGTGGTGGAGGTATAGTGAAGATCGGAAGATAAGTGATGCTCGATATCGGCGGAGTACGTTTTGCGCTACTGTTCACACTAGTGCTTCGCGCGTCCTTATCTGCCACCAGGTTTTTCGACAGATCCATCCCGGACACAATGGGTGGCGGCAGTTCCAGACCTTCTGCTGCCTTCCTCGTTAACTGTCGAGAAAAGTCACTGGCGTGCCACCACTCCAGGAACTTCAATGCAAAGATGCTGGTCGGTAGCAGTATCTTCAAGCTGGATAGAAGCCGTGGATATATGGTTCTAGGATTGAGAATGCCACTGAGACCCTGTCCAGGTCTGCCTGCTGCCGTGACTGCCTTCTCGGCTGCCGCAGAGGCAGCATCTATCGCTCGGAAATCTGCTCCTCCCATTCGTCTCATCCTGGTCCCAATCATCCATAGAAACGGACTGGGATATTTCGTATTATCAAACAGGTAGCCCAAACTGAAAGCCAGGATGCTAAAGCAATAAGCCGCATTCACGCTGGGGTAAACATGCCGCAGAAACCACTTGTAGTACCACAGGATTCTTTGCTTGACTGTCGGATTCGGCGGCATCGCATCGCGGTCTAGATACCGAGGTCCCCCAAGGCTGCCACTCATGAGTAGACTGGCGCTGGGGGCGATGTGAATGTCATAACTCTCGTCCAGCTTCCGCTTCAGATATGGGATTCCGACCATCACTAGTAAATTCTTCCAAATGTCTGTGTTGTCCAGCTTGAGTCTTTCGCGGACCTCATCTGGCACGGCCAGCTGGGTTCTCTTGATCTCGCCTCCATCGACGCGCAACACCTTTTCTCGTTTCAAGGCATAGAAGTTCTCGGTGAAGCTGCCGCCGAACGCCCGGAGATAGTATTTCTCCACGAGAACCCCGAGGAGAGCATATACTTCATCGTAATTGTTTAAGACTCGCAGCAAGTACCGAGGGTACCGATGAGTAGCGACTGCAAGAAGATATCGGAGGGTAGGCGGAAGTAAGGATGAGAGCTGTTGTTCGGCGAGGAGTTCGAAGAGTGATGGCTTGAGGTCGTCAACCGGCGACTGAAGCGCGTTGATATATTCCATGATAAGTCGAGGAGGAACTCATCAGCATTCTCATTCCACCCGAAACCTGTCCTTCGCCAGTTTACCACCTAGAGGGTAGGATGACGGGCAGGAAACTGTGGATGATGGGTTTCAGAAGGGTCCTCCCCCGTTTTGCCGAGGCTCACATGGTTGCCAAGACTCAGCCTCCTTGGGGATGAGGACGATGCTGCCCTATCCGAGAATGCTGCACCTCCATTTATGTACTGTAAAATAGTTGATTGCTTTCATTTATGAAGATGGCAGTACGGAGTACTACGGAAACATGTCAAGTCCTACTGTCTAGATGCGAAGGAAAGTTTCATAAGCATCGTAATAGCCCGACCGATACCTGGGTTATAACACTCGCGCTGCAGTCCTTCTCGATTCATTCACGTGACAGATCAGTCTAAAGCGGCGACTGATGGCAGCTTCTGGCTCTGTAACTCGTTAAAGTGGCGAATCTCCCACTATCCGTCCTATTGTCAGGCGCTCTTCAAGCTCCAATAATGGGTTAAGACTCGTAGAGCATCCCAATAATTCTGCGAGATCTGGTTGGCTATGCCATGACCCTGCGATCCCACCACGGTTGTGCAAGATGTAAGAAGCGCAGACAGAAATGTGACGAGGAAAAGCCAAGTTGTACTCGATGCATTGAAGCAGAAGTCAACTGTGAGTATCTATTGACCCTAAAATGGGATGGACGGGTGCCCAGACAGCAGCATCCTCCAAGAAGGAAGAAGAAAAGGGCAGACACCGAGACTAGCGACCTCCATGTGGATCAATCACGACAGTCCAGCTTGGAGCGGTCCGTGGCTGCTATATCTTCAGCTTTGCCGGATCAGCCTTTCGACGGAGTGCGCCATGTCCGTGAGCTAAGTCTCTTGAGTTCTTGGGTGCCGACTGAGCGACTATTGTGGGATCATTTCTTGACCACAGCATCAATGGTCGCCAGCCATTCTCGGCTTCGCGAGCAGATCTGCCAGCAGATCCTGCCCATGGCCATGCAAATTCCTTCCTTAATGTATGGTACTCTAGCGCTTTCTGCTCTTCACCGCTTCACACTGCTCAATGAAGTACCAGACGGATTCACTCCCGAGGTGATGGTCTCCAATCTCATGTCAAGGAGCTTGAAGCATCTCCGAGAGGAACTTGGAACCGGTAGTCCTCGATCAAGGCTCCTCTTACTCCACACGATCAGGACGTTGTGCGTGTGTGAAATATATTCAGGCAAGGCAGACTCTGCATGGCGAATCCATGTAGATGGAGCAAGAGCGATCCTAATTTCAATGCGATCGATGATCGGCCTGTCCGAAGATGACGAACAGGGCTGGCTCACATCACGATGGTATTCATCCATGGAAGCCTTGACAGCGCTTACACACCGAGGTACTATCCATGGGACCGAGCAAAAGGGCGAAACCCTTTATGCCGAAAGCGGGTCCAGGGCTTCTCAAGATGACTTTCTCGATATTTATACGGGATACTCGTCTGACCTGAACTCCGTATTCAAAGACATTGGAATTTTATCTGAGAAACGTCGGCGGTTGACGGCTTCGTACGATTTGCAGTTGGCAGATGATTTGCAATCTCAGTCAAGTAGACTGGAGGGTATACTGCGGGAGATGATCCGTCGTGACAACGAAGAAGGGCTGAAGATCCCGCCAAATATCACGCTTCCCAGAGACCAACTCAGGCAATTCAATGCGTGCAACGTTGCGTATCAGTATTCAGCTCTGCTACACATTCATCGACGGCTTCAGAGGAGAGATTCGGATTCTCCAGAAGTTCAAGCATCCGTTCAAAAGATCTTAGAGACTGTCCACGAAATTCTACCCATGGAAGCACTTTCTCCCTGGGCGCTGCTTACGACACCAATATTTACCGCAGGGTAAGTAATCTCAATTGTGTATGATGGAGACTCCACACACTATCGATCAATGTACTAATGAAGAATTTGGTTTCCTCAGTTGCGATGCTCTTGGTGAAGACAGAGTTCTAGTCAAAAGTCTCCTACTCAACCTCTATTCGACACTTCGTATCCGGAATGTTTTGAGAGCAATAAACATTCTTGAAAAGCGATGGGCACGCACGCTCGACACTGACTTCACAGGTGCGCATCCGAGGGGCAATGTTTTAGGAACCCATTACTTTTTAGAGAATGAGAGTGAGTTAATGGACTTCATTCCGTACTGACCAAATCCGACCAAACCCAAAATGGCAAGCCGAGGAGACGGATTTGGCCGACCTTTTTGGGTTGACACATGCAAATCATCAATCACTTATTATATCTGCGCACATTCTTGAACGGTTGCACCTAGTCTTCCTCAGAATAATCATGGCAGCTCGAGTCTCAACACGAATCAGCATTCGATGGCCACCCGCAGACGCTTCAGAGCCCACAGACACCCTTGTGCTCAGTGTTGGAGACTACTATGTGGACCTCAGAGTGTTGAAGTCAGATCGAACAATTGACTGGGCTCTCGCGGGTCAACGTCTCGTGATATCAGAGGATCCACGTAAGTTGAGAACTCGATTTCCACAGTCTTTCCCATCCAAGATCCGATTCAATCCGAGATTTGCGATGCCACTAACTATTTCCCTCAAGTCAAGGTAAAATTCACACACCCGCTCGATTCTCATTATGTCGCGGGCCAAGAAGAAGAAGAACCGGATGTGGGCGAATTTACAAAGCTCCCAAATGGCGATGACCTTGAGACAGGCATCATGGGTGCCCCTCATCTAGGTGGAAAGATAATGCCCTATGAGGAAGTTTGGCGGGAATTGGATCCTCAACTTGATTTATCGGGTGTTAGTGGTCGTAGCAAGACATCTTCCTGGATCCTGGAGAGCGTCGACCAGCCCAGCACGAAAGGCGACCCTACTGTCACCAAATCCTACTACGCCAAGGCTGGCAACTTCTTTCTTGCCCTACGCCAAGTGACAATTGCCAGACCTTCATCCATCAGCGTCTCTGCGATCCGGATGGAATGGGATACGGAGAAGCTTTCTTGGAACACAAAATACAAGATTGGGAATGTGGACGGAATGTTCGATCTAAGCCAAGAAGCAGCAGATGGCGATGGGTTTTGGAAGGTTGGTGACGAGGTCAAGGTCGGACTCGCTAAAGAGATCTGCACTGTCCGATCCATAGGATCATGAAGATCGCGCTCTGGTGCAAAGATTAAGTTATACCCAGAATCTGAAATCTCTTTCCACAGGAATGTAACCAAGCTTCTCTACCGAATTTGTAAGTCTGTGTCGCCGCTTTTAGACAGCTGGGCATGTCACATGTTCTGCTGCCTGCCCCACGCCGGTCTTGGCAAGAATGACCCTGACATAAATCTCCAGGTTCACTTCACGTTCATCCTGCAATTCCGCCCATATGCCCACCATTTTGTTGGCTGCTCTCGAGTATGAGCCATCAAAGGTCAGCGTGTGATCGTTGCAGAGGCCAGAAAGTGCGCTGTCCACGGAGCAATCAGTCCAAAGATGGTGAGCCCTGCGCCAGATGCATGAGGGTTGGAGTTCACTGCGTGACAAGCAGTTCCAGACCCCTGGGACGGCCTCGGGCTTCCGGGTTGATCGAACAACGAGCCAGACACGTTGAGAGAGGAAAGATGTTGCCTGGAATCCGCAGCGGAAACTCGCTTTCTCCACATCTACCGTCAACTACAACGGAGGCGCTGCAACCAGGCCCCGATTCATGGACCCATTCGAATCTGGACCCAGTCCCGGACATTCTCCTCGATGTGTCAAACGTGACTAGCCTCGATTTCGAGGATTTAGAGCACGTATCAATATTTGAGGCGAATGCAGAGCTTGCATTTGATGTGCAACTTCCACCCCAGGATGTTCTATTCGACCTCGGCTCGATGATGGAGCTTCCCGAATGCTACCAGGAAGACCTGGACGGGCTGACAGTTCCCAAAAGCCATCCTCAAGGACCACTATCAGAGTCATTGGAACCTATAGACACTCTCACCGCACTCTCAAAATTGAATGAAGATATCTCAAGGCAGATATCCCAAATTGACTCACGCTTTTGTGGGCCTACAAACGCAGTCCAGCACTGTCTCGATCAACTAGATGACATCAAGGGGAATCCTGTAGAGGTAATGCTACAAAGCACCTCACGATTCGTCACTATTCTTGAGAATCTAAGCTCTTTGCACTTACCACCGAACAAATCCATTCACATAATGACAAAGCACCAATCGTCTACCTCTACCTTCGATTCTGGAGATCCTAACTCGAATTTGAAACCAGGCAAGACACGAGCGCCTGTAGAAGTGAACCCTTTGAGTACACCGGTCGTGCTTATGGTTTTGTCAAGCTATCTCCTCCTTCTGGGCTTCTATGATGCGGTCTTCATCCGTGTACGTGAAGGTCTATCTCGACTGGACGACATCTGTACTTTCTTCCAGGACATCCCTGAAATTCGGGTAGATGGCCTTTCGTCAATGAAAATGCAATTGTACGCCAAACTCATCATTTCAGTTGTCGAGTATCATTTTGGCCGCCTCGAATTCCTGTTGGGCCTTCCAGTTGAATTCGGCCTTTCTGGACAACCGACGCGCTCGAAAGGATTACTAGGGGCTGCGGAACTATCTCATCTGATACATGTGTCCATGACGCAGAAGACAGGCGATGCTGGGACATCGGGCAGATCAGCGCTACAGTCATTCAGAGAGAATTTGAGCGCTCTGCGAGCCATGTTACCAGGTTGAGGTTCTGGAACTATTTCCTAAGCTCTCCCCTCTTCAAAATTGAAAGAGACATTCTTAGAGAAAGATCACATATTTTTGCCTGTCGAGCTCAGCTTCGGGTGAGAAGGAGCATCAAGGAGTCTACGGGATAGTCGAGCTACGCCTTCATATTGGCCCAGAACCCGTCCGATTCCTCAATGGATCAACTATCTCACGGGAAGAAGCTATCATATGGTCCTACAAGTCTTGTGGAGACGGGCGCAGACTACTACTGAGTGAGGATTGAGTGGTTATGTAGCACTACTCGTTAGCAACCCCTCTTTCTTCGGACTGGTCCCTTCTTTTGTCCTTACTTTCCATCCCGAACTCGGTTTCTAGTTCCTGACGCAGCGGGACATCTTTTTCCAAGAAGATAAGCAAAAATCCTAGCGCAGCGAACCCGATCCCAATCTGCCATACCCGGCGAAGGCTCTCATTCAAGACTGTAATGACCTCTTCGCGGGTGGAAGCAGGCAAGGTGTCAAGAAAAGCAGCAGTGGCATGGCTGTATGCTTGACCATTGATTAGCTGAGCTCTAATGCTGCGATCTGTGATAACGTTCGTCGCAACCTCGTCGAAGCGGTTGTTAAATATGGACGCAGGAATCGCGGTACCCCAGATCAAGCCGAAAGCGCGTACGAAGGCCCAGGTCGACGTGGCAAGTGCTGTGTCACTTTCCGAGAGCGGTGCCATTACTGCAGGAAGCAATGTAGGCATGATGAGCCCCAACCCAGCCGCCCCTGTGACTTGATAGCCAACCCAAGCGCCCGTGGAGGAATTCTGGTCGAGCAGGGTGAAGACGCCGAAACTTATCACCACCAACCCAAACCCTACGCCGTGCATGGGTCGATAGATGCCGAATTTGGACAATCCCACCCCGCCCAACGCAGCAAACGGTATCAGGACTAGAATGCTGGGAAGAAGTTGTACCCCAGAGCGTGCCGGGGAAGAGCCGAGAACGCCTTGGAAATAGACCGGGAGAAAATAGACCATCCAGAAGGTGACTATACCGTGCAAGAAGCTCAGGATGTACGCAGTAGCTGACGTACGATTCGACATCAAATGCAATGGCATTGTTGGATGACGGGCGAGACGAGAACCTTCGAATGCAAAAAATCCGGCGAGGCCCACCAAGCCAACCACCAGAGGAACAAGAATATGGTATGATGACCAGGGATATACTGCGCCAGCCCAGCCCAGGGCGATAAGGACACTGCAGATGGCTGCGATGAAGATGAAGTTACCAGCCCAATCCATCGAGGCCAACTTGGCGGAGTAGCTAGCATCTTTGTTCCACCTCACTTTCAAGAAGACAAAAAGCAATACCATGGAGACGCCGCCGATGGGGAGATTGAGGTAAAAGACCCATCTCCAAGTGGAATGATCAACAATCAAACCCCCAAAGAAGGGTCCAAGGGCTGTGCCCAGAGCGATCATCCCAAAAACAAGGGCCAAATAGTTGCCTCGTTGTCGCAAAGGAACCAAATCACAGATAATCATCTCGACGAGCACTCCAATGCCGCCTGCGCCGACTCCTTGGATCACACGGCCGGCAATCAGCATCGTCATATTGCTGGCTCCACCGCAAATACCGCTCCCTAGGACAAAGGTTATTGTTGCGCCGATTGTTGGCCATCGACGTCCGAAGACGTTCGCTAGTTGTCCATAAAGGGGCTGCAAGGACGTCCTATTATATGTACTGGTCAACACCAGCTTGCTACGTCGATGAAACAACAAGCTAGTACAACATAAGACAAGATTTCGTACTCACATTGTCAGAAAATACCCATTGGCGGCCCATACATACAAGTCACCGCCACCCAGATCCGCAACGATGGAGGGCAAAGCTGTGGATGTAATCGTCGCTTCCAGCGATGTAAGCAGACTTGTGAAGCTAAGTGCCACCAGAATCATCCAAAACGGAAGCCCCCTCTTCCATTTAGTCGCTGTAGGCTTGGTGGGCACCTGTGCATCTTCTGAAATCTCAATGCCTGGATGCCCATCGCTGACTGTGTCTTTGTCCGCGTCGCAACTTAGGTGAAGCTCAACCTTGTCTTGAGGGGTGTCAATAACTGAATGCTTATCTGAGCCAAATTTTCGCTGCTTTTTCTCCGACGCATCCATTCTTTTCCAGCAAAAGGCGTCGGACGATGCTACGGATTGGGTCGGCGGGTTTTGGAACTAGGCCCGACGTTATGGACGAGGCGAAAATGTTGTATGATATATGCTGGCCACGGGGAGGCCACTCCAGAGTAGAGCCTCAATGCCACAGCGGAAGCAAAGGATGTGAATCAGAAGTCCGGATAGCTGCACCGATCAAATTGGCACCAAGAACTTCTCAGTTGAAAAAGTGGCTTTATACATGGAGATACAGCAGACGACAATTACTTAGGTGCAATATAGCATTCGGTATTCCTGAGTCGGAGGTTTTTTCAACCAATGACAATCGGAACCTTTCCTGCCTCCGGCTCGGAGGCCTTTCCACCCTCTCAGGCCCCCATCGAAATTTAGCGAGCGCCTTTCAGCTACTACAAATTCCCGTGAAAGGTTGCAGACGCCTATGACTAGTGTCCCATTGGCCAGGTCGACTGATAGTCCGAGAGTGATGGGACTGGTTCGAGTGAGATCATACCGCGTAAGTTCGAGAGAAAGCAAGTTATTATTCTGAGCGCTACTGAAGCTAAGTCTGGGCACCACCTAATAAAACACCCTAGTGATGAAAGTACACGGTTGTCTCATTACGTGGTGCTTAGACTTAATTATCTTAGTTTCCAGCGGCCGATTGCGGCTAAGCGGCATATGACCGCAAATCCGCAAGCACTCCCGTTTCCGGAGCACCACCAACTTTGTCCTGAAAGATGTGGCGTACACGGGGCTATACCACATCAAGTAAAGTGGCGCCACAACGACCTGCCAGCCAGCCTGGCAGGTGGTACTGTTGAGGCCGGGACCGGTCTGGGACTACATCGTATCTGGGTGCCTCGAATAGACTCTAGCTGACTGCGAAATGGATTCAAGATAGAAGCGAGCTGAGATGGAGTTGAGACCGGTTCAATCTACTCGATCTATATGTTTGTACGTCGAAGTAAATACTGTAGGCCACGATGATATGAGGCGGAGGCTTCCATATTGTCATACTCAGGTTGTCTTCATGGAGTTAGGTCCACAAAAAATGTGCCAGTGCTACTACCGGCTATGAATAATTACTATTGCATCAGGGTGCAAAGGCGTCCAATCATACTACCGCCAATGATCGTGGCAGACGCAGCGTCCAGTGCATCCCTTCCTTACAATTTGCTGGTGTGCTCAATGTCTTCGACCTGTGATACTTCGGAGGCCGTTTTGCCTTGGAACATATCCACGCGAGACTTTTCCTGCACTTCGAGAGCTGCCATTTGCAAAAGCATGACTTCACGCTTGGGAAAGTCGCGAACAGAAACTCTGTTGATGAACAATTCGTCGAGCTCTTCGAGCGAGTGACCTTTTGTCTCAGGCAGGAATGAAAAGTAAAATACCGAGATTGCGAAACATGAGCCGGCCCAGATATATTGATACTTGGAACCCTGTCCATAGGTTAGTACCTACTTAATGAATGCCAGGGAATTAGAAGTTGCGGCAATCAACTTACCCAGTGTAGACGGGCGGGATTAATGAAATATGGAGTGCAGAAGGAAGAAAGCCAGGCCAGCAGTTGTCCAAGAGAAGTTGCTGTGCCTAAGGTCATAGCTCGGAGCCTTGTACTCGGGACTTCAGAAGCCACTGAGTAAGTAGCGACACCAAGCGTGGAGCCGTAACAAAAGTAATAGAGAGCGAAGAATGCCACAACGATTTCAACTGTGGCTGATGAGTCTGGCTTTACGGTCCAGATAATGGCAGGGACAAGGTGGCATACGCCCGAGACGAAAGCACCCCAGCCAAGCTGAGCCCGCCGCCCTAAGAAGTGACGCATGGCTATCATTCCTATGATGCATCCCGCGAAGCCGATGCATGTGTTCATAAGACTGTACTCGAATGGCTTCGAGGCGCCAATAATAGTGAAGAAGTAAGTCTGATAGGCGATGACAAACCAGATGCCGGCCCCGGTCTGTGAGGCAATTGTTCCGTAGCACAATAAAGTGCGGCGCAAATTGGTACCTTCGAAGAGTTCCCAGAAGCTTGTCTTAGTTTCTTGTTGGCTTTCTTCGTCTCGGCCGCGGATCATTTCCACCCACTCGAGCTCAACGAACTCGGAATCCACAGAGCCGGCACGTAGAAAATCGAATGCCTCGCGAGCTTCTTGATCTTTGCGGCGCAGTAAGAGGTAGCGAGGAGACTCGGGTACAAAAAAGCTTATCGCAAAGAGGAGAATTGTGGGGATGATTAAAAGGCAGCCAAGTGGGATCTGGTACGAAGACTTGTTATAACGTTTCGAAGTGTAGTTCACGGTCAATGTGCCTAAGATGTTGCCCAATTGAATCCAGAATTTGAACAGTGCTGTGAAGACACCCCGCTGATGAGCGGGCGCAGCTTCAGCGAGATAAATGGTCGAGAAGGTGGCAAAGAATCCATTAGCCATTCCAATCAAAATGCGTCCGAAATATATCAGGCCTTTGTTGGTAGCCACCATTTGAATGACGACAGATATGATGCTCAGAACGCATGCAACATGGAGCGCGAGCTTTCGGCCGAAGTAACGGGAAAAGGTACCGGCGGCCAGGCATGAGACAAATGCTCCAAGGGTCATGAGCGAGCTGATGAGCTGCTGGAAAGTGGACTGCATAAATAAGATGTTAACGTTGTGTCTTTTGAACAGAGAGTCAAGCGTTGGGGCGTGGCTCACATCGATGGCATACCCATTCTTAGATTTCTTGTCAGGGTGTCCAAAAACACGGAGAAATCCTGGCATGGCTTGAAACGAACCAATAGCGCTGGTATCGTAGCCATACTGAAGGTTCGCAATGGCGACAATGGTACACACTGTAAGGCACTTTCTGTTCCTCCACAGAGACGACTCCATCGTTCGGACTTCGGGGTGGGAGTTAGCCATGTTTGAACTGAAAGTCTGCGTCGTAAAGAGTGAGAGCTAGAGTAGGAGCAGGAGTAACTGCAGGGACAAACACTCGAGTAATTGCAGGAGTAAGAGTAAGAGTATCTAAGGTTCAAGGGGAATTCAAGCATGCTTTCAACGATAATGTAGCCCCGGGAAGTCTGGTGGGGAACCGTCGTGTCCTCCCGAAAGCCCAGCGGGGAACCGTCGTGGCGGTTATCTGGAGCCGAACAGCATTGCAGAGGAACGGCTGTGTCCTGACCTATCAATAACGGATATCCTTTCGCATGTCCCACCGTGGAACGTTCTCGGCGTAGCTGGTATTGCTGGTTTTCGTTCGAAGTGGATGTTCCTATGCACTATCTGCCGCCACTTCTTCATGCATAATGGTCAAACTTAAGATTACATCTTTCAGACCTTTTCGTACAACCGCGTCGATGGCAAGCAAACTCAGCGGATGGCCCGGCGAAACCCTGCCTGAAACTGCATTTTGACCTAAGATTATGTAGCTCGAAGCTCCCAAAAATTGCTATTCGTGTTCCGTGTTACGATACTTCCATATTTGCAGCAAGCTCGAACGAGATCCATCACCTAATGGTTACTGGAGTGGTTTACCCAGACTCGAACAACGCAGCAAGATCCGTCTGCATCTCCTTCCCACCGACCACAGGGGCCACGGCGGGTAACATGATAGCAAGCAAGCGAGCCCACTCATCAGTCTCATTCTCCCATCCATGCATAGTAGCTTGCTGCACGACGACATCTCCAGCTCTAAGTCTCGTCTTTGATCCATTGTCCAACGAGAGCACCACCTGGCCTTGCTGTATGATAATGTAGTCGAGGGAAATAGAGCGGTGAAGCGCGCCAATGCTCCGTGGAGGCAAGTTCACGATGCGGAAAATTGAGCCGTTGTTGACGAAACCTGTTTCGGCGAGAGCCTTGTCTTCTGGTGATGCAACGTCAGCTGGACTCGTGTCACTGGACCAGATGTGCACTGAGCCAGCGACATGGGGTAGAATTTCGGTATAGATCTGACTATCATGGGCCACCACAGCTTTGCCTTGGTCATCGTGTGCTGTGACGATCCGACGCATTGGAGGAAGTGGGGGTGATGGCATGGTGGCGGCAGTTTCCTTCGTTGCGACTGACTCGGGCGGGAGGGCGATTTCGAAAGCTGTTCCAGAAAGAAGCCATGGTGGTCGAATTAAATAGCCGAGGTTTTTGATATACTTGCCTGTTGGTGTGATTGGCGATGCCAAGCGATTGTATAGACTGTGGTCTACTATATCGCTTCGACACATCTAAACTAGCTCCGAGAGCTATTCGAACGCTATCCGAAGCGGACCCGAGAGCGCCCAGGCGCTAGTCTAGTATGTACTTAGGATACTATATAGTCTGACGAGTCCCTCGGACCGTCTTAGGAATGATCATGTCCCTTTCCCATCACATTGGGAGCATCCTAGCCTAAGCATCCACTGGGTAACGTGGGCCTTGGCACTCTTGCCTCCTACTAAGATAGCTCCGTGCTACGGCAAATAGATAGAAAATACCATGCATTGACACTGACTTGACTTGCCCCTGGCACTGCCCCACTATGCCCTTTTCCAGTCATTGAGGTCCTGTTCGTAATACTCTGCTTGGCACCTCACGTGCAGGCTCAGGTTGATTTGACAAGGAGGTGAGGGTGGGGCACCAATCACAGAATGTCCCCACACGGGCCGTTTCTAGTTTTCCCGTCGTGGTTGGTCTAGAATCCTGCGACGAGCTAAGGATTTCTACGCTCCCTCCTCGTACGAACTGGGCTAACAATTGTCAGGAAATTGAAGCAAGCTCTTGAAATACGAGAATTTATTCACTATGGTCCAGATGCTTGCTGACACTCATTTACTGTATGCTCGGACTATGTTAAAATTGCTATTCTGAAATTGTGTTAGCGCAACTAGCTGATCGCGGGAAGCCCAAGATGAGGAAGCAGTTTCTCTCTGACGTAGTCCTCGGCGCCATGCTGTTTCACGCCCAAGTCGGTGACTGCAGGATCAGGTATTTGAACGCCGGGGTACATTCCAACATCCTCATACAGCTGCAACATGATGTCACGATCCTTGATGCCACAAGTTGGCTTCGTGGTGTAGACGACCTTTTTCCCGGAGACTGCGGTAAGTCTGTGGTTAGTGGTCTCCTTTATGAATAAATTGGCAAATGGTTCATGCTTGACTTACCCCTCTCAATGATCTTGTTGATATCTTCAGGCGTCTCACGCGCTCCACTAACCAGGAAATACTTGCCGTCAAGCGCAGCCTTCCTGTTATCCCACTGGTCCCATATGGCTTTGCAGACAGCGCCCAAGTCTTTCTCGACATACAACGTCGTGAATATTCCCGTTAGCACAGGGCTTCTATCATAGCGGCATCGTACTCACTTTCAGCCTTTCCCGTGATAATTGGCCGTGTCATGGTGATCAAGTCCCTCTCCTTGTCATAACCAGCGTACTTGCGAAGGATCATATTCTCATAGAAATTGCCGGTGCGAACGAAGGCGCCAGGAACACCCGCCCTTCGAATCACGGCATCTATGGATTGTTTCCCTGATGGACTTCGTGTTAGCAGCTTCGACTCGACATCAATGCAACTTTCATGCACGTGCCTTCATATAACCGCGTCACAAATTTGCCACCAGAGATCTCATAGGAGCTGGGCAGAGTGCTCCAAATAAGACATTGCACACCAGCTTCTTTCGCGGCTTCCACAATATTTCGTCCCTGTGTCTCTTCACTTGTTGGATCGTCTAGGACAGTCTAGACACAAGATGATTTTTCAGAATACTTCATTTTCGCACGATGGTTCAGCGGTCTTACCGTGTCGTAGAAGTCAGTGACGGCAAAAACTCCCCATACATCCTTGAAGGCTTGCGGCAAAGTCGATGGATCCGTCAAATCCGCCGTGGTTAATTGAGCACCGAGCTTTGCCAACGCTCCTGCCTTGTCTGAATTAGGGTTGCGCGTCAATACGCGTACTTTGTATTCTCCAGAATTTGATAACAGCTCTTTGGCAACTGAGCCGCCTGTACCGCTGAGTCAGTTGGCACAAAGCAAATCTATCAAATGACAAAGTCTTACCCTGCGTTCCAGTTGCGCCGAGGACGAGAATGACTTTGCCCATGTTAACAGGCGATCGCGTTATCCCAAACAAATCTGTCTTTCGAAGTGTGTTAGAGTATCTATAAGAGCGTGCAGCAACTGTAACTTGTGGCCATGATGTGCTACAGTAGTAAATAGAGAACACTTAAGTGTGTCGGGAACGGTATAATCAATCCACTTCGTCATTGTCACGCCTGATTTGTGCTAGTGTGGGAACGTGGGGACATTTGTGGTGGAACTGCGTTCACCGTCGTGTTCTTATAGAAAGCCCGAGGAATTGGGTGTTCAGGTCTACCCATCCCCACACTAAAATGATCGATCTTAGCTTTGGTTGCACACCGTGCTAGGCAAGGCAGACTCGTGATCCTTTTTGATAGAGACTCGTCGTAAGTGCTATCGTCTCCAGCTGATGGTGCCTAGGCGCTTGCCTTTGCTGGAGAAGTTCTAGCAATGCAACATGAGCCTAGCTCCTTCATTCTCCAATCGACTCGATGTTCAAATTGTTTTACATAGTTATTACATACAAAAGCTAGTTGCGCTCTGACCTGTAGACCACTGTGGGCCTAGGTCCACATCTCATCGACGAGTCAAATATCGTGGCCTTGGTTCATCAGGGAACCCACAGGTATTTTGCGCTCTGACTGGAGCCATGATGTACGCTAGGGTATTCATACCGAGTGAAGAGCGATTCATTGCACAGTGAGTCCATAAATTATGGACTGAGACCTAGAGACTCATTTAGCCCCTTCTCTATGGTGGGACGAGTTAGGACTTCTTAGGTGGTTATAACAGTGGGATAAACCTATGACATGGGGCTTCCAAATGGTACATCTCGGGCCTTGATCACCTAGGCATAAATAAAGGAACCAAGGAAAAGCATCAGCATGAATGCGATACCTTACACCCGAAGTGGATAACTAAAGTTTTCTGAAGAAGTTGTTCTGATAAACTACTTTGTCCTGTAGATGTATGCCAACACAAACGAATTACTTTACATACAAGCATTTCCGATACCACCTTACTCAGTGCGCATTCTCTGCATCTCAGTGTGTCAAACTTCCTCCTCGAGAGTAAGCTCAGAATTAGTCGCTCTGACTTTCTGGGACGAGATCAGCTGTGCTGTCCGGACTCGAAGCGAACCTGACATTGCTCTTTAAAATGGTGCAAGAATTTGACGTCTCGGACGAACAAGCCTTGATCCATAGCGTATTGCGGACAACCAAACTTTCTCGCTCGTTGAATGGAAAAACCGATAACGCAGCATCGTAGATTGATCTCCAGAAACTCATTTTGACCTAGTTCCTCAACATTATGATCCTCGACGGTGTCTATAGACAATCAGCCTTCAGCACCCTTGTGCCCTACCGAGTCCGCCCCTTCTGACTACTGTTGCCTGTCTCGTGGCGTTCCTGCCTATTTTTCGTCTGAACTGCCCGTTCTAAGCTGACTAGGATAATTAGAAAGCGAGGTATTTACAGACTGTGCTCTAGTCTCCTGCTAGTTCGAGGCTGGCATCACATTCGGCTGAGTCGATGGAGGTTGGTATTCTCTTGAGGTGGAAAATTTTCCGATAACACTTCCGCTAGACGTTGGATCAACTCTTGAGGAGAGGTCCTCTGGACTTCTAACACGGAAAAATGAGGGCAATTGTTCTGATCTTCTGCTTAGTCTCCAACTTGGTCTCTGTCCGACATGCGTTATTTTATTTCGTATTTTAGCCTAGCAACTAAACCCGCGAAATATGCTCACATGGCGAGTTTAGCGAGTCTAGCGTCCGCATGCAAGGCGTTGAAAGTGCTTGTACGTCGAAAAACTCTCCCAGGGGACTGTTTGGACAGTAGTTGAGGTGCAATCAAAGCCATCACGGATGACTGACATGATCGCATCAATTAAAAAATTCGATCCTAGTCACGCAGATGGTCTTCTAACACTATGACATTGGGCAAAAGTTCGAGAGGGCATTGAACTTTGCGTGTATGCCGAAGAACATAGCTCTATGAGCTACATGAGCGTAAGCCCAGAGCTCTGGATCTCTGGCCAACCCGGGAAACTATACCAACATCGCCGCCTGCGCAGCCACAGTTAGACTATCGACGGCTTGTGAACCCGATTGCCTTGGAAATTCTGAAGTCTGAGTCGGGCTCTCTTCCGCAGGTGAGTCTACATCAATCGCCTATAATGTTCTAACTCAGTGCTTCCCAGGCTTTTCGTAATGTTTTGAGCTTCCACTTTGCGCCCTGGCAGAATTTTGTCACCACGGGTCCACAATCGAGCGTCTCGATGCAGACGTCGAGGATTACAGCAGGATCGTCTAGCGACACGCGTGTGCCGTCTTGCCTCGTCAGACAAGGGGTGCCTCTGCGTTCATTGAGGTATGCCTGCATAGTAGGTTCATGATCGTCTGTAGTGTCGACTGGCACAGTTCTTGTGCTGCTGTTAGCAACGTACATATGGGATTTAATTCTCCCTCTTGACCGGAATACCCCACAGATCCATAGCGCAATGGCTGCACGGTAGACCGCCGCCCCCCACCACAACGGTCGTAGCTCGGGTTCGGTCTGGCGAGTGAGGCCTAGGATCTGACCACTGTGGACGATTACTGCCTCTGGACATTGAAGCCAATGATCATCAAAGTAGCACAGATCTGCACTCGAGAATGCCGCTGCTTCACCTCGAGTAAATCGTTCAATGTCGGCAATAGAAACATGCACGTCAAGGCAGATGAGGTGGTAAATGATGAGCGCAGCCTGTCTCATCATGCGCAAGCGTATTTGCGCATGTGGTAAATTGTCGAAATACTGTTTCCACCGCTGAAGGAGGCATTCGATATCATTTGAGCGAACCGCGTAAGAAATTTCCAAGGCCCTTTTCGACCCCTTCGTAGCGAGATTCTGTGTTGGGAAGCAGGCCTGCAACTGGCTTTGTTGGTACACAAGAATTTGGATGGGATAAAGGAGAAGTCTCATATGCAATATTTGCAATGGGCGCTTGACATGGCTTAGACGATCCTCAAGTAGTGACTGGAATAATTGTCGCAAGGATGGTTGTTGTTGCTTGCTCAGCAGGCCACCCATGTTTTCCACCATGCCTTCTCTTGCACCTAGATTTTTTGCCCAGTCGCTCGCGTTAGTAGCCAGCCATAGACTATCATCAGCTGGAAGGGAAACTTCAAGTTCGGTTATCTTGAGAATTGGTTGACTGTCAAATACCAAGCTGATCTCCTGGTCGGCCAGGACCCAGCTATATGCTAACCTGTTCGAGCTATTAGCGTTGGCTCTTTTCTTTTCAAATAGGTGTCCTACCGAGAGATGCTCTCTTTTTCCATCCAGCCCTTCCACGTTGTGTGCAAATCGTTGTTGTGTGTGTTCAACCAATGTTTTGGGTCTGACCAGCGAAAGAAGCTTGCATGTCTCATCATCTGAAATAGGACAGGGAGCATTAGCTCAAACGATCCAAAGATAGCAGTAATTAAGCAGAGACTGCTACACCAAGGTGTCAAATAAGTTTAAGAACTTACGGTAAAGAATGCGTGTCTTTGACCCATGCCAATGTCCATGTGCCACTTTTCGCCACCAAACGCTTCTTGGACCGTGGATAAGAGGCCGCAGTGCATGGTCAGCACTCTTCGCGAAGACGTGTGATCCTTTTCCAGATGGTCTAAGATCGAAAGCCGGGCTATCTCAAGGATTGAGGCTGACAAATACCGAGCTTTAGCAGCTGGCTCTTTCATTGCCCCGTAGGCGACCATGAGGAGAAGCAACAACGTTGCACCTTTCTCGTTACTGCTGGCAGCCAATTTATTAGGATTCAGTGCTCGTGCAGGGCATAAAGGGTAATAAGGCTCGAAGCTAGCCAGAAACGTCTCTAGGTATGCGTAGAGGACTTTGGTAGGAGGCATGGAGAGACAACCCGAATGATGGTATGGAGGCTCTTGGGCCAGAAGATTGTTCGGAGTAGCGTTGATGCCGACGCCATGAGAGTCCAAAGTAAGGCGGAGAAAGGTTTGAGCTATGACTATCATTCGTTCTCTTGTTTCGTCGCTCAGAGGCACATTGGTGAACCTTTCTTCTGGGGGCAGCAGCCGCTCGCGCCAGTCATTGGGCATAGTAGACCATGGTCCCGGCGCTCGGAAGTTCCGCTCCAGCTGTGCCACGTAAGCCCGATTCACATGAGGTGGAGAATCATTGAGCGAAGGCGTGCATTGAAAGATGTTCCAGTAATCAAGATCTGGCGGACGATCGTTTTCATGGGCTGGAGGTAGAGTCACCGTTTCTCCGAAGGACACGATTGGATCGAGCATAGAGCTGCTGTCTGCAGGTATGTTGAAGGCGCCTTGAAGATTGATGGAGCCATCAAAGAATCCCAGGTCACTGGGGTCAAGAACTTGTAACTTGGAGTAGTCCGTCATAGCATCCAAGGCAAAAAAACTGGTATCGGAGAGAGTACTATGTGCTTGGAATTTTTCAATGAAATTCTTGGAGCCAACACTAACTTCTGGTGCGACCTCTTGTGTACCATGATTGAGCAACAGACCATAAGTCTGCAGGTTATGAATGGCGTCGTTGGGGGAATCTACCATCGAAAGTGGTGCCGGAAGGCTGACAGGAGATTTGAACGAAAGATGTTGACCATGCTCACTAAGTGCAAACGGAACCGATGGGAGCTGAGGAAACGTTGGTGTCGCACTGAGTTCAAAGTTGGGGTTGGCATCAATTGGCAGATTGAGTTCAGCTTCGTTGCACTCGGCCTCAAGTGCAATGGCAGATTCATCAGCGGGTGTCGTTCCTGTTCTTGAACGTTGAAGAGTATTGGTGCGTTCATCAAACCACATGCCTCCTCTAGCAACAACACTGGTCGGAGAGCTAGATGAAGTTAATGTCTGAGTATTTGAAGGATCGCCCCCACCGGAGGTCACGGCAGGAGGAGGACATAGGTTCGTGGAGTAGTGAGCACTGGTTCCACCTTTCCCTCCAGCGTTCAGAGTCTCAGAAAGCTCACCAGATGGACCAGCAGGTGGCGACGTTTCGCGAGCTAGCTTTGTAGTTCGTGCTAATCGAGGAACACAGGGTATGCCTTTCCGTAAACAACGAGAGCATGGATAATCTTTATCACATTTCGTTTTTGTCTTTGCACATTGGAGACAGGCCGCGACATTTCGCCGCCTTGCTGTAGGGTCTACAGAGATTACGTTGGTGTCTTCAGTCATTGTGATATCGGAAGAGACGGCGTCGATCTCCTCCTGGGTGTGGACGGCTCGATGCTTTTGGACAAGATCTCTGAAGACTCAGGTTCAATAACTGCACACATGATGTATTTTGGTCCAAGGAAACCTACCTTCTTGCAAATGAGACATGACAGATACTGCACTCAAACAACTTCACCTTCGTGTCTGTGAAATTGTCAGTTGGAAGCAGGCGGTATTCTCTGAAGACTGCCCTACGAGTCAATACATGTCTTAGCAAATGCTCTCGACGGCTAAATTGCCGGCCACAGTAAGTACAGAACATGATAGAGAATATTTGATATCAAGTACGAGCACGGCCGCCCTGATTCTTGGAGAGGATTTCTCTGTGTTGATATCTTCAAAGATACGGCTATCGAAACGGTTTAAAGTTGGCCCCCCACAAAGGCCTTAAAAGTGGGGAGGCTGAAAAGTTCTCACGCTGCAAGGCGGAAAGACAGATTTCTGGGACTTGAAGATGCGGGGAAGAGGAGTCTGTCACGAGAGTGAAGAGATGAAGGGCCTCAATGGCACTGAAGTAGTGAGTTCTGTTAGGCTGTCTCTGTCTATCTAGAGAGAGGAAAGAGGGAAGACAGAGGTGGTGGGACTAAAGTGAGAGGGGGAACTGGATGCCAAGTTCTCGCCATGTGCCTTGTCATGTGTCATGTGATAGGGTCAGCTTGTTGGCCTTTCTCGAAATGATAATCTCCCCCTAAAATTTGCAATCAGATCCGACTGTGCACAAATACACGCTCAAGATCTTGGTATATGTCGGAATTGGCTTCAAACCACTCCTATTGCTCACCTTCTAGAGAGCGTAATTTCCAATCTTAAAGCATTGTACAATCTTTCGGGCTTGTCCGAATTCCTCAAACGTAGTGTAAAGCCAAGTGGACATTTGGGTTGTAGTCACAAAACCAGCCTCAACGAGGTGTGTTTCAAAAGCTAAATGTGCTCGTGGGCATTGTCGATGTGGGCCACCTCAATGTTGGCCTTGAACAGGCCTGTGTTGAGCTGAACGTCATGGAGAGCCTGATCCAAGATCGTGCAGTGGTACTTAGGGAACTCTCGAACTGAAACTTTCTCAAGAAAGAGTTGGTCAACTTCCTCGAGAGATCGGCCTTTCAATTCCGGAACGAAAAAGAACACAAACAGAAAGGCCGCAAAACTCCCGCCGGCCCAGATATAGTCATACTTGGCTCCCTACTTTAAGTCAACAAGTTGCGTTTTGAAGAATGCAGGCGTACCACGACTTACCCAATTGAGCTCTGTAGGATTGATGAAATAAGGAGTGAAAAAGCTGCATGCCCAGGCAAGGACGAATCCGAGTGATGTTGCGCTCCCCACCGTCCAGGCTCTTAGTTTGTTGCTGACGATCTCAGTCGCAACTGGATATGACAATGTCCCAATGGAACCAGAGTAAAAAAAATAGAAAACCGCCCAAAAGCCGATCAAGACCTTTTCTCTCGTGGAGCTGTTTGCTGAAACACTCCAGGGAATTGCAGTTGCGAGCATACAGAGCCCACCTACCGAAGTGCCCACCAAGAGGATGACCCTACGGCCCACATATCGCAGGAGGAATAGTCCAAGCATGGTTGCTGCAAAACCAAGACAATTATTCATAATACTGTATCCGAAAGCGTTAGCTACTCCATTGATGGAGAAGAAGTAGGTCTGATAAACCACCACGAGCCAAACCCCTGCTGCCGTCTGAATGGCCATCATTCCATGACACAGCAAGGTGCGGCGAAGGTCAACCCCTCGAAACATATCTGTCCACTTGGTCTCCTGGTGGACTCTGTTCTCTTCATGCACGCCTCGTAGCATTTCCGCCCACTCGAGTTCAATATGTTCACGAGGTATATTGGATCCTCGCAATCGTTCCAGGGCTTTGCGGGCAGCTTCGTTCTTTGAATTATAGAGAAGATAGCGCGGAGATTCGGGCACAAACCAAGCTCCGGTGCCCAATAGAATTGGTATAATAAACAGACAAGCGAGCGGGATCTGGTAAGAACTTTTACCGAGCCTTGTTAACGTGGCATAATCCACAGCTGTACCGAGAACATTACCCATGAGGATCCAAAAGGTGAAAAGACCAACAGCTAAGCCTCGAAGATGGGCTGGCGCAACTTCTGAAAGATATATGGTGGAACATGTTGCAAGAAGTCCATTGGATAGTCCAAGAACGAGCCGACCAAAATATAAAACCCCTTTCGTGGTCGAGACAATCTGAACGATAACGCCGACGACGCCCAGCAGACTGGCAATAACTAGACCTAGTCTCCGGCCAAAGTAGACGGAAAATGCCCCCGTGAGTAGGCTAGAGATAAATGCTCCAAGAGTCAAGAGCGAGGTTATAAGTCGTTGAAAAGTCGGCTGAACGCGATCAGTTTCAGTTCACCAATGTAGAACGAGTGTAAAATAACACACATCGATGCCATAACCTCCGGGAAGTGTCGGGTCTGGATAACCGAAGACCTTCAAAAACCCGGGCATAGCCTGAAGCGCACCAACGGCGGAGCTGTCGAAGCCGTATTGCAAGTTGGCCATGGCGATGTACAGGCAAATTAGAAGACATTTCCTGTTCTGCCAGAGGGAAGTATCCAGAGATTTTGCGGGGAAACCAGTCTCAGACATGGCGCTGACAAGAATGGCACAGGCTGGGCGTGTAAAAACTAAAACTAGATTTGGATGAGAGCAGAGAAGTGACTTATACATTCTACGAAGAAGCGAACAGAACGGTGCCTTTATGCTTTTGCATTGAGGTAGTGGGTCGTTGAGTTGGGTGAAGTTGACTATTCCCCATCAAGGGTAAGGAGGGGCACCCAGCTCATATCCTTGGACGATCCCAGCTGGTTAGGCCGGTTTCCTGGCTCTCTGTTCTATGCGAAATAGCACAACTAGAGAGTACGCCGTGGTGAGATGCCGAGCTATCTACCCCGGCACTGCCCACACGATTCCGAGGCGGGGAGCCGAAGACTCATCTCCGATTGTTCGTATAGTTCCAGCCTCTAGAAGAGCCGTATTTTCTAAACCCTTCTTCTTAGAGGTCATGTTTGATCAGCTTCCAAAGTAGCACGAAAGATCCGTGTCTTATCTTCTTCACGCATGGGCCTGTAATAGCATCCAAACTAGCACTTGCTGGAGAATATTTCAGGAGTTGATGACTGGGTGACCCTTATGAATGATTCTCTAAGTGGCGGATCAACTGTTTGATCTGCTCTTTGGAGAGGCAAGTGAGAACTGGAAGTGGCTTTTTCTTTTGAGCGAGTTCTATCCACCGCATGTAGCTTGAGGATGTAAGAAATGCTCTCGTGTGGTGTTAGGATTGCAAAAGCTCCAGCAAATCTCTACCTTTCGCATTTCGTCTTGCTGGGATCCAGATGCATGGAACCATGACGGGGCAATTTGCCAAGCGCGAATGCAAGTGGAAAGCCAAAAGACATTCCGCCTGCTCACTTCCCATTTGCCACTGGCTTGAATATGGTGTCTAACACATACATCGAACTCGGGCCTTGCTGAGGATAGGTACTGAGTAGTCGGCCAGAAAACTTATCATATGCTAGGAACATATTCGATATACTATATGTCAACCGTGTCTGCTTCCTCCAGGCCTAACGTATGATCCAACAGTTTTGAGATATAGTCTCGAAGATTCTGGGATCCTAAGTCCGTCCTGGAATGCGTTCTCCATACTACGATACCATCTGGGCGAACGAGAACCGCTCCATCCGCGTTGACTCCTCTGACCTCTGCCCACCGACCTTCGATGTCGCGCCATGATGTTTTACCGTCAATAATTTCGACGTTCAACAAATCACTCTGGGCATCTTCCCAAAGTCCAACTACGCTGGTAACCAACAGGTATCGGTCCATGGGAACTAGATCAATGCTCGAGGTGATCACATTTCTTCTCTCAAGCCAAGCATGAGGGAAGTGGTGCCCAGGAATCGTCGAAGGATAGTACGTTATTGAGTCGAATTCGCCGTCTTTGTTAAACTGGCTGGCATGGTGTGCTGTGTAAGCATCTCCATTAACATCGGGCGCAGGATAAAACCAACCGACATCAGCGCCTAAAGCCCGGAACTCCATATCCAGGACACTCTGTGCTTTCTCCACTGCTGTGCGTTGCCCATCACCTTCAGGATTGGTGTTGTCAAGGTACTTTGCAATAGCTTCCTGGTTTTCCTGAGCTGACGCTTCTGGAGAGATGCCTAAGGCGGTGTCCATCAGACCGGCGTGAGCCTCAAAGTTGTGGAGGCTTGTTCTGGCCACCCGCCTACCAATTTCGTGACGTTCCGATGCATACGTGGAAAGCAACTTGCTGCAATCCCGATGCTGCTTGATCTTGGTGGCGAATACCAGCTTCCAGATGAGATTGTAGACGTCTTGGATGCCAGTATTCATTCCCAAGGCACCCCAGGGAGGGATGCGATGCGCTGCATCACCAACAAGGAACATACGACCGACTTTGCTCTGATAGCGCTCTGCTACGATTGAATTGATATACCAGTGGCTCAGGCTGAGAACCTTGATAGGAATATCAGGAATCTCCAGCGTTGCCCTGATCCTCTCCACCAGGAAATGTTCATCAAACACGGTAGGCTCTTCCGGTTTCCTCGCACAGGCGAACACGAATTCTTCATCGTCAGGGTGAGCAGGGAATGGACCAATGCAGTACATATAACCTGTGCCAATGCTACCTCCAAGCTTGGGATTAATGAACCAGGTGATGAGGTTTGAGCGCTCCTTTTCGAATAAACTGATTGGCGCTCTAATGTGGGCGGTGACCATGTCTACCAGATTGGCTTTGCCTTCGTATTTAATGCCTGCGGATGGCCCAACTGTCCTGCCCCCGTCAGCACCAATTATGAACTGTGTAGTCACAGTTGTGATCTCCATGGAATCGAGGTTTTTGACAGTGATCTGAACAAACTCCGCCTCTTCTTGCAGAGCGACCACTTCAGTCCTTGTAAAAATGCCATCCGGATTCAACTCTAGAGCCCGCTTAAGAATGAGAGGTTCAAGGCGAATTTGGGGAAGAATGCAATAAGACGTCGGGCTTGCACGGCGATAGTCCGGTTCGTGAATTCCGCCTGCGTTCGTGTTTCTAATATAAAGACTTTGCGATTGGGGCCCCAGAGAAGTATACCAGGCTGTCGTTGCGACTTCATGCGAAGGTGCGCAATGTTTGTAAAGTTCTTTTTCCAGCCCAATCCTACGGAATACTTCCATTGTCCTCTGATTTACTCCAATCGCTTTGGGGTGAACTGAAGTACCGGCATGTCGTTCATAGACAGCATGCGGCACCCCGTAAGTGGACAGGAGGCACGATGCCACAAGGCCAACAGGTCCTCCGCCAACTATCACGACAGGATACATCTTAATACGGCCGCACAAGAGCAGTTCTCGTGTGGCTGATCTGATTGCCAGAGCTTGCAACAACGGAATATGTGACATGCACAGACTTTCTGTCCTATTCAATCTTCCAGCGTCTCCTACATTATAGAGATTGCAATGTGCCTATTGTATATGGTGAAATATACCGAGCACCTCCGGCGCCGAAGCTGTTTCCGAGTCCGTGTGGCAGATAAGGCTAACCCAAGATCTGTAACGTCCGCAAAAGAGATAATCAACCGAATGTCCTGATCCAGCTGCAATTACTGGAAATTTCTATGCCCTTCTAGATACGTACCGAGCAACGCGTAGAGCTTGCATTTACGGAAGTGACGCATAAATCTCTGTATAATGTGCAAAGACGGCCACACTGATTGCGAGATCTGGCTCACCGCTATAGCTCGGTATTCTATTCTATCACGTGTGCCTCACCATCCCGTGTGGAATATGAAAATCATATGGCAAGCCGAGTTCTACGTGCCCACATAAGAAGCAAATCTACACTACTAGTAGACATTCAGATTTCTGAGGAGACCTGAAATGCTGGGGTTGTCATCATGTTTCGCCCCACCACTTCGGTAACGGAGTCGGTACTCCGCCAAGTTCCCGAAAGTCACCTTTCCCCGACCGCATTGCAATTCTTGTAAATAGCGCTCAACATACTCGAAAACTTTTCACAATTTGAATTTCCCTGCGTGTCTGAAAGTGCCTAGCGATCGCAAACAAATGTCTCCCAAGGTGGCACTAGTTACTGGTGGGAATGGGATCAGTGGAAATGCCATTGTAGAGCACCTCATTCGACAGCCTGAAAGCCAGTGGTAAGCCCTTTGTTTATCGTTGCTGAAAGAGCTGGGTTAGTGCTTGACTAATTTTGTGAAGGTCGAAAATCATCGTCACCTCGAATTCGCCGCTCAAAGCGCAATGGCAAGACTATCGCGTCAAATTCATCGCTATAAATTATCTCGAACCACTAGAGAAAATCATTGAAAGAATCAGGCTACACTGTGCGGATGTCACACATGCTTATTTTTGCTCCTATATCCACAACGCTGATAATGATTTCGATAATCTTTGGCAAATGAATGTACCACTCTTCAAAAACTTCCTAATCTCAATTGACACTGTCGCTACGAACACGTTGCAACGCGTATGTCTGCAGACAGGAGGCAAGGTATGAGTCTGGCCCGCCATTCAGCGTGCAAGAAATTGATTTGCTGATATGAATGTCGCAATAGCACTATGGGGTGCATCAAGGCGCAATGTTTGCACCTATCTCCGAAGAACATACGCCGCGCTGGGAAGACGGGGCAAATTTCTATCATCCGCAAGAAGACCTCCTCTTCGATTTACAGAAGCAGCGAAAATGGGGCTGGAACGTCATTCGACCCCAAGCAATCATCGGCTACACTCCAGGAGGTAAGTGGTTTGGTTTGAGCCTGTCTGCCTGCCATGGCTACCATACCGACACTAATGCGTTGCCAATAGCCTCAGGGATGACAGCAGCTCTCAAGTTAGTGCAGTACCTCATTATCTGTCGGGAAAATGGATCGGCACCCAGATTTCCTGGCAACGAGATGTTCTACAATTTTGTCGACGACTTTTCGTACGCGCCGAGTATTGCAGACATGACCATATGGGCAACAACGCAAGAGCACACTAAAAACGAGGCTTTCAATCACGCAAACGGAGATGTCATTTGCTGGAAATACTTCTACCCACGCATTGCGAAATACCTTGGAGTGACAGTATGTCTGGTACATCTCATACTTCGTGCACACGCTAATGATGGCGCAGGTTCCTGATGACCTTCAATTTACTTCCAAAGGCACCTGGGGAGGAAGATCGCTGGAGTTTAAGATGCTTGAGTGGGCAGCCGGCAAGAAACCAGTCTGGGATTCAATATGTCAAAAATACGGTGGCAAGCCGGAATCATTCGACTGGGGAGCGTGGGCGTACTTTGACTGGGCGAGCTCGCGCAACTGGCTCACGCTCATGTCATTGTCGAAAGCAAGGAAGATGGGGTGGTTGAGATACGATGACTCATACGACACTTGGGTCAAAACAATTAGGGCTTTCGAAAATGCTGGTGTGCTTCCGGACCACACCCTTTGGGAAACCCCGCAGCCTAATGGATTTAGTCATTGATTTCAAAGACGAAGTCTATTCAATATATGTCTAGTAGCATCATCGCAACTGGGTCAACAGGCTTTGTAGCAAGTGAGTGTCGTGTGAAGAATGCGAACAATGGGAAGCTTGTCCGGACCAGCCTGGTATAGCTGCGCCTTACCCTCACCTAGGACCAGGTGTCCAAGGACCGTCTCCAACCTCGCAACATCGCGACCCCCTCAGCATGGCAGCCACCTACTTCGCTGCTGACCTCGCTAAACAACATATTGCTGATGACTTCGACCTAGGGATTCATTTTTGCGCAGTATGAACAGCCCAAGAGCTCCCGTCGAAAAAGCGACGAAGTCATGTGGCTGTACAAATGTGGATGGAATGGTTGGGAAAAAGCTTATGGCAACTTGAGTAATTTGAATGTGCATGTTTTGAATCATTCTCATGGACCAAAAAGAAACGCTAAAGGTAACAATTCTCTCGCTTCATCGGTATATTATCTACTTTTGCTGGCAGATCTGCAAATTAATTAGAAGAGTGACTGACTTTTTTGTGCAGTGTTCACAGAGATCAGTCTAAAAGGGAAGGCGTGCGAAGAATGTGATGGGCGGAAGGCAGCTAACGAACGACCATCCAAAGGTAGTTAATTGAAAAGCAGAATTAACTGGTGGATATGAACACTCGAATTGTGCGACCACTATAGTACGAAGACCTCGCCGGGGCAAGAATGTCGAGCGTTTTCACAGTGCCTCTTGATATACATGGCGAGGACCATTTGAAACAGCCTACCGTACTGCACCACCAGTTCTCGAAGTTTCTTGACCTCCCAAAAGTGACCTTCTAGAGCTTTCACATCTTGGCAGCCTCGCATTTAGTGACCATGACAGATATCGCCTAGCACTACGCTCTACTCAAGGATCGATCTAAGCGGTCGACCTTATCAACGTAATAATTTACCGTGTTGTTTGACTGAGGAAGTGGTCCGCTTTCATTTTGTCATCCGTTCTGAATTGTATTCACCTTTCCGCGTCTTACGGGAACGACGGAGTTCAGCTGACCAAACAGCATGAGGCCCCACGAGAAAGTCTGGGGTTCCTCAGCTTCCTGTACAGCCTAACTAACTAGTGTGCCTAACAATTTCCCCCAGCTGTGTGGGACCGCTAAGGCCCTCCGCCGCTATACTCATCTCAGGCTTAAGGCTGTTAACTACGGAAAGGTGTACATCTTTGTGACTTTCTAGCTTGCGTAGGATTGATAAAGCCAGGAAGTCTCTTTGAATTCCGCGTCCAAATAAGACCATGCCCCCTCTCACAATATCATATTTTTGGTCGTCTCGACACATAGGATCTCCCAATATGGGCATCTAGGTTTTCGGTATGTATCGTTCCATATATAACAGCGGGTGCTTCTCTTTCTGGAAGAGCTCAATCTGCATTTCGAGTTCCTATTCCGTATATGTAACCAAGGGTGAACGTACGGTAAGGCAGGTGGGTAAGGTGGCGTTTAAGTGTCTTGGTAGCTGAGCGAATTATCGAGATGCCTGAACGAAACACCGACCGCCGTTCATCAGCCTTTCCCCATTTGTAAGTGCCCCATTGCTGTAATTCCGAGAGAACTTTGATGGGGTAGGCAGGCAGGGAAAGAAACGTGGGGAGAATAATCTATTCAGTTGAAGTTCCTTCTGATTGCAACGGGGTCAATACATGAAAATTAGTGCCCCGCGGTTTCGTCCCCGCCCTAGCTGGAGTAAAAGGTAGTGCAGGGAGCTCACACAGCTCGTGCCGTTGTCTATAAGTCTTTGATCCGCCGATCATCTACAGCAGCAGACTTCACTACTAAGTGAAGAATATCGAAAGTCAGCTCAGCGTCCGTCCATTATGCACAAGTCTACAGTCGTCGTTTCACCTGCTCATGAGGATTTTGCTGACCAGGCAAACCCTAGGGATGTTCACAATGGGCTCCATCCCGAAGACAACCCGGCGAAGGCGGAAAGGCCTAATCTATCCACCACCCTCGCTGTATTTGTCAGTGTGCTCAGCAGCTTCTAGAGGCCTCTCTAGACACAAGATAGCTAACACTATGATAGTTCATGGGATTGGGCTTTGTCGGCCCGATCGTATGTGGGTTTCTTATGATGGCCAGCGTCCTCCAACAAATTGGCGAGGCTTTGGGCGACACAGAATCCCTGAGCTGGCTTGTTGGAGGCTGGACCATTTCGTCTTCAGTTGCCTTTTCCATGGCAGGTTCAGTGAGTGATATTCTTGGCAGACGATACGTGTTGTTATCGGCGCAGGTTTTTGCAATAATAGGTTGCGTAAGTGCTGCAAAATCAATATCCTAGTGACCCAGACCCATTTTCCCTACCCAAAATGGCTAACTATCAGCAAAATAGATTATTGCCGCGACCTGTACCAAGACTCGGACTATGATCGCCGCGGAAGTACTCATAGGATTTGGATGTGGTACTATGTTCACGTCTTATGCCGCCATCCAAGAGCTTCTACCCAAAAAATATCGGTGAGTTATTAGGTAGCTCTTGAGAAGTTGTCAAACCTAATGATATGCCAGGGGTATCGGAATTGCCTGGACCGAACTTCCAAACAATTTACCCTGGGGGTCCCTTTCGGTGATTATAGCTCTTCAACTCACCGTCCATGCGTCCTGGAGATGGATATACTACATTGGCATTATATACAGCACCATCAGTCTTGTGGGAATGGCGTTATTTTACTTCCCTCCACGCCCTCAGAATGACTATGACAAGACTATATGGCAGGAATTATTGAGCCTCGACTACATCGGCTTGCTACTCTACACCGGCGGATTGACAACATTCCTCCTCGGTTTCACTTGGGCAGGGACAACCGAACATCCGTGGAAAAGTGCTTCGGTTATTACACCAATCGTGACGGGGTTTCTTGCTCTCGTGGCTTTGATTGCGTACGACGCTCTAATACCGGCACGTCCTCTCTTCCCGTGGCCGCTTTTGAACCGCTTCCAAGACTACACTGCTTACCTGGTTTTGCTCTTCGTTGCTGGCATGGTATTCGTCACATTGACTTCCATGGCACCCGTCGTCAGCCTTTATCTGTTCACTCACAATCCAATGGAGATTGGCTTGATCTCAGCGCCCTACGGATGTCTCCTAATCGTTTCGGACACTATTATACCAGCCTTGATACACAAGATTGGCCACATCAAATATCAGCTTTTAACCCTGATCGTCATCCAAACACTCTTTAACGCTCTATACACAGTGGCCATTCCCAATAACAGAGCAGCCTGGATAGCTTTCCTCTGTTTAGGCACTCCACCATTTACAGCAATTACCGGACTTTCCTATGTTGCAGCGAGCCTCAAACTAACTCCCCAGCAGCTTGGCACCGCTATGGGATTACTTGGCACAGTCCGGAATGGGGGTGGAAGCGTGGGCAATGCCATTTTCCACACCATCTTGACCAGTGTGGTAAACGGGCGGTTGGCACCTCGAATTTCCGAGGCAGCTCTTGCACATGGATTTCCTGCCGCACATTTGGCAAAACTAATACCTGCAACGCTCGAAGATGGTGCTGGAGTTCCGGGGGTCCTTGCTGCTGTGCCTAGCATGTCGCCGGAGGTGACTGTGGCTGTCAGACAAGCCTTCAAAGATGTCTACACATACGGCTTCCGGGCGGTATTCTACTCCACTATACCGTTCGGAGTTCTAGCCATCATCTGTACGCTATTTATCAACGATCCTTCCGACTTGCTCACCAACCAGGTCGAGGTGCGCATGGAGAAGCACGTTCTCAATCAATCCCTAGACCAAAGGACCCTTAGTAACGGCCAACACCGTAGAAAAAGTGCCAATGGAAAGCAAGGCCTGAAATAGAAAAGAAACTGGCAGAACGATCAAGTTAATGGTGTATCTTGGCATACAAAGCTTTCCAAACAGCCATTATGCCTGAGATATTCAGCGTGGTCATCTGCGATTCTTTGACTGGGTGTCGGAGGGGTGAGGAAAAGCGGATGCACGAAGTTGCAATTGATAGAGATGGACACGAGAGATTGCCGAAAGGATTTCGCAACGCACGGGTACCATATTTCATCCTCCGCCCTGAAGCAATCGAGAGCGTCTTCTTGCTATATCATATTACTGGACTTGAAGAATTCCGAACAGCGGCGTGGGATATGTTTCAAGGTTTGGACGAGGATTTCTAGAACGCGCTGGCATTAGAAGAGCAGCCAGGAGCATGCAATTGGATGATATTACCACATTAGCTCTAGCAGGAAAGGCGAGAATAGGCGATCATAATGATAAATTCCCCTTGCGTATCGTTGAAATCTTCAGTCCAATAATCAGGTTTGCGTTTGCCTTGGGTTCTCTGTCGAAAGAGGTACCGTATTGTATGCACACCAACTTGGAAAAGCACACTGCGCAATGCGGTCCGTCAACTATTTGTTGATTTCGTCTTGGTTTCTCTGTCAAAAGACGTGGTGTATTTACGCCCAACGAATACCTCGAGAAGGCGCGAATCTGTCGTCCACTGAGTCGACTACCTTCCATGGTTCTTCACCAATAACAGAGCCCACGAGGCGATCACCCATTTTTGGGCCATGGTACTCCACGAAAGATCGTTAAATACCTAATTCAACGGATGCCGAGATATATTTCTATCCACCACTTTGCATGCGTAAGGTGGAAAAACTGGTCTAGGTGGCCCACCTATTCTCGTATAGTTTCGCGAACGAACACTATGACGCTAAACAAGCTCGATACGAAGGCGGTGAAGAGTCCCAGGGTCAGATCGAGATCTATCAAGTGAACTAGACACTTGCTGACTTGACAATTCTCGTAAACTGATTCTCCGTGTAGACCGACGGAATCAAGTTCTGTGTTTATGGGTGTGAAATGCCATAGTCGTCACGGCAGTCTATCTCTCTTTTCTGCATTACCAGCGCCTAAGTGTTTCCATGCTATAGATATAGACTCCTAATGCGGGCTTAGTATTATGATGATCATCTTTTTAGGTGCCAATCCTCGAATCCGCAGCCTGTTCTACAACCTTTAAGACGTTGCGCGGAACCGTCTAGTAAACACACCGTCAAACTTGATCTTTCATGAACAAAAGTGCGGATTACGCCACCACCACGCCACGGCATTGTAGGATTTCTTTCGGCTTAGTATACACGAACTTGGACCTGGAAATCTAGGTCCAGGCTGCAATCTTCATCAGCGATGCATATTTACTCCGCACTTTCGTCGGACAGACAAGCACGAAAAGTTCTCAGATCGTAAATGTGTGAGCTCCTGGTGGAGGGGTGGAGCACCTCGGTGTTCGGCGGATCGAAATTGTACGATGTTTGATCCCGAAAACTGAGATTGGACTCGATCTCGACTATCCTTGTCGACTGATAGCCCCTGGCCGAGGCCAGACCCGCAGGACGGATCCGAACTTGTTTCCACGTGGGGCATGGTCGTATGCTCAACAGACAGGAGTGAAAAGGCTCCATGCCCAACCCTTGTTTGTGTTGTGATATGAGGCTCAACCGACTATCATAAGGTTGACGGAAAGTCTCATGGAATCATTCCGCACGCTTGGAAATTACAAGGAAGCTTCTAGTACATTACTTCAGCGTATATATGCTCCTACATTCTGAGGAAGTAGAAGAAGAATAACAATGAACACATGCTTCCACTGCTGTAATTCACAACAGTTTGCAATGTAGAGTGCGTTAACTACTGCTTTAGCTTTGGAAGATATCTCTGTGCATTTTACCTGGCCCAGTGTCTCTCGACAGTGTTACCATCAACTACCCACCAAAAATCTGTCACTGCAGTTTTACATGGCGAAACCGGTCGATGAGAAGAACGTCTCTGATATGGAGAGCAAGCATGTTGAAGAGTCTGGAAGTCAGGTAACGGGCGAGACGCCAGAGTTGATTGCTGAGACAGACGAGGACGACTTCCACTTTGGCTTCACCCAATTTTTTGCTATTTTGTCAGTCAACCGTCATTTCTTGTAGATGAGCTTGAAAACTGATGAACCAAGCCATTCCTAATGTGCTATCTCAGCAATACTTTGCCAATCACATCCACCTCGGCCATCCTTTTGCCCATCAAGGCCGACATTGGTATGCTTTTCCCTCTCATTCCTGCTTTGCGAATTATCAGGGTGACCAACGAGCAATAGGTCCCTCTTCGCAGTATACGTGGGTGGCAAACGCGCAAAAGGTCGGGTCAGCTGCTCTGGCACCCTTCACTGGGAGACTTAGCGACATTTTCGGCCGCAGATACGTCTTTATGCTCGGGAGTCTCTTTTCCCTTCTCGGCAATGTGCTTTGTGCAACGGCCAAAAAGGTCAATATTGCCATTTGTGGCGGTGTCTTCATCGGGTGTGCGATTGCATGTCATCAACTTGGATGGACAGCAATTTCCGAAGTCGGACGGTGTGGCAACAACGTTCGTTCTCTTCTAGTCGATTTTATTCCGCAAATTCAAACAGAGTCGTATTATACTGCCGGGTTGGTGGCAGCTCTAATCATTGCTTCAGGCGCGCAAGCTATCGTCAGTAAGTACCACACACGCATCTTCCCTCTCCTCAGTACGATGCTAACCACCTTATAGGTCCTGGCTCTAACGTAGTCTCGACAATTCTTGTCGTCATTGTCAACACCATGGTCGGCGCCTGCGTTTTAGGCACTCCTCTAATGCTGTACCTCAGGGTCAGGCACGAATATCTCAGGGTTGTGACTTCCATCTTAACCTCGAGCCGCTCAGTTGGTGAATCGATCGCGACCGCAATCTATGCAACCATGCTCACGAATGAGATCACAAAGAATCTGGCCAATATTGTCGCACATGAGTTCGTCATGGCAGGTCTGCCTTTGGCCAATATCACCGGGGTCATCACAACACTCGTTGCAGGTGACCCTACTGCACCCGCCCTTCAAGCCATGCCACCATCTCTCCTGAAAGACGCCGAGCATACGACAAAGAAAGCCTGGGCGAAATCGTTCCGGGTAGTGTACCTGATCAGTATTGCCTTCGGTATCCTTGGGACATCCTGTGCGGCTTTCTCTCGCGACGTGTACTCACTTTACACGATCAAGGTGGACGTTCAGCTGGATACAGCACGCCTGCATGCACAAGGCCACCACGAGCAACATCCAGCAACTTGCGATGAACTGCCTATAGTTACTGTTACATAGGGGGCGTCGGCAAAGTCTGGGGGTTTTACCCGTTGCGATGAATATACGAGAGTATAGGGTACAGGAATATGCGGCTACTTCAGGCCACTCTTGTCGTCCTGCACATCTGTCTGAACTTGATGCGGTAATCCAGCAGCACGATTTACCACGCGGATCTCTCCTACCTAACCTCAAGGCTCTGGCTCAGCCTTGACCTCCTGAGAGACATTAAATGGGGAAATTTCCTCATGCGACTGACTCAATGATGAACCAATGGCAAGGAATGGGTCAAGTCAACTTTTTGGCTTCTCCGGTTGCATATTTCATGAGTTAAAGCGGTTGGATCGTGCCTCGGTCAGAAAGAGGATGCAATAGGCATTGTGGCATTATGACAATATACTAACTTGTTATCACCTGGGGTTGGCTGCTACTGATCCATGTCAAGCAGAGGCGTACAAGCCTAAGACTTTGTGGCGTTTTCACCCCACCCGTCTAGCCACTTATCCATCCCACCACCGGACAGTTTGGACATCGGCACCCCCACCGTTCTCCGTCCGCCCCCAAGTATGTAGGCGAACCTTGATGACCACATGAATGGACAGAATTTCGCCGCAAGTCAGTTGTATTCGTTGGTCATGTTTCCCGAGGACTCAGTCGGTGGCACTGCAACCACTGAAGCAGTCTGATGAAGCTGAGGGCGGAGACCATCAAGCATTACGGTTCTTCTCACAATCAGTCACCCGGATACTCCTCACTCTGACTATTGATACCCTGAAGCTATCACAATGCCATCCACTCCGCTGCCTCCATGGCGTCGAATCGTGACGGGCCACAACGTACAAGGACAGGCCATTATAGAGCGCTCCTCCCACATTCACTCTCAATTGCTACCCCATGGCGCAGGGTCAGTGACCATCTGGTCTAGTGACACCAGTCCTCCGTCGTTAACTCAACCAGATATGAGGGTCTGGCAAATACAGGATTCGTCAACAACGGGTCAATCTTTAGAATTTTGGATGTGCCACCAAGGACTTTGGTTGCGCTTCACCGATCTCTCTCACTGGACTATATCATTGTCCTGAAGGGTCCGGTTGTGTTGACTCTCGACAGTGGGACGCGTGAAACGATCAACCAGGGAGAGTTCGTGATCCAGAACGCCACTATGCATGGATGAGACAATGACACTGACGAGTGGGTGAGGTTTGCTGCGATCATGCTGCCGGATCTTGCTGCGTTGTTTGGATGACCTGGGAAATTCTGTTGGGGACACAAGATTCACTAGACAACGGAGTAGTTTGGGTCTTCTTATCTCAACATCTGGAGTAGCATGTACTTGGGAATGCAGTCATTCGAGCAGATGAAGCTAGTTCTTCAGTTAATTTGTCCTCATCGGGTTCTGAGTCTTCTTTCAGGTTCACCTGCGGTATTTTCAGTCTCCTCCGTGGGCCTGACCCATCGTCAAGTGAGAGTTCTCTTCAAGAAAATTGCGAAATACGCAGTTGAACATTCACATTTCTCAACATGCGTGAGCTTATATTGTAGTTCGAGTCTTTGACACATCCCATCACCGCGCTACGTTGGTAATAACAGAAGTCCGACTATGCTTTCGCTGTTGCCCCTTGTAGTAAGACGAACGTAGACATTACTTTGCTTGACAAACCATCCGTTGTCGATGTGCCATTGTTCCGGAGGGTTTGCTAATTCAACCTATGATCGCTTCAGTATGTTACATGGGCGTCAGTGGCAGAGTACTTAGCGAGGGCTTACGTCAAATGTCATGAGGATCGCTGGCACCAGCTTATATATTTCTAGGTAGCTGATGTTCTTTCCTATGCATGTTCGAGAACCTCCCCTAAAGGAAAAGAGGAAATGGTTCATCTCTGACGCCTTTTCAGTGTCTTCTAGCTATCTCTCAGGGCGGAATGCATCGACGTCATCACCAAAGGCTTTCTTGCCTCGATGGAGAACCTAGGGACTAACCCCGAATATTATGCCTATAGGGATGTAGTGTCCCGCCATCTCTAGCCCCCCTTACGGGACGATTCGCTCGAGCAAGAGGCTAGTAGTGGGATGGATTCGAAGTACTTCTTTAATGACGGCACTAAGATAAGAAAGTTCGTTTGCTTCCGTCTAGCGTATAAGCTTATCGTTACGGGTAAATTTTCTAGTCTTTTCGGCTTTATCTAGTTCTCTCCTTAGTCTCTATAGCTTTCCTGGGGTTTTAAGAAGATGGTAGAAGATAGAGCGGAGGGAGATAGTAGTGGTGTTAGAACCGGCGAAGATATTTGCTATAGTGAGTGAGTGGACTCGACTAGTATACATGAAGACCGGGTCCTTCTCGCTTGCTTCTAGGACACGGGATTAAAAATCACGCCTTAGTTGTTGAGTTTCTATAGATACATCATCCGTCTAAGCCTACGGCCCCTTAAGCCGGGTGTCCATCCGCTTCTAGGCGAAAATAGCTATAGGTGATGTTGCGTTAATAACTTCCATTCGACTCAACTATATACGAATAGGGTTCTTAATTAAGAGCTTGTCCAGCCAGGGCATCTAGCTAGCCTCTTATAGGGAACGGTATAAGTGGTTTAAGTAGATAGTTATAGGAGTAGACCTATAAGTACAAAGTATCGTAGAATCCATTTATTGTTACTGATTATATTGTCCACGTTAATGCCCTAGTCTAAAAAGCCTAGTCTCTTCGAGAAAGTAAACTCTCCGATCACATCAAAGGCGTAAAATTGGAGCCATTTCCTGAAGTCGCAAACAGTGTCTAATCGGTCGGCATAATGCTGGGAGAGCTGGTTCAAGAATGCTATCGTAGTTAAGTCGACGAAAGGCTCAACTAGGGTGCTTATAGTATAAGCATTGTTAGCGCCCGTCGAAGTTTGGCATGATATTTCTCGTCGGTGGTACTAAACAATCCTCGAAGAACTTGGCTGTCTCGTGCGACAGTTTGTGTGGGACAGGATAGAACTCAGACTGTAGTCTGGCGTCAGCAGCTATAACGCAAAGTGCGAACTCTACGTACCCTGATATATCCCGCAGCCAGGCCGTATACTGCTTTGAGAGCTGCGTGATCTGTTACTGAGACAAGATTCGGACCCAGTCTCACTACTGAGCGACGACCCCAGACATCGAGGAAGCGCCAGAGATCTGTAAATGATGCCCAAAAAGGCTCGAGGATCGACGCAATACCATATCCATATTTGTTGTAGACGAAATAAGTTGCCAAAACTGTCAGGCCAAAAAGGGGAAGACTCCAAAGGGGAAGTTGTGCTAGGTAGGATATCATTTTCAACAATTTAACTCAGGATGCTGATATAACGCTGTCGTAGGCTCTAGACGACGCATCGCATCGCACATATACTGAAATCCTGTGTCGTAGTCCAACATCATGGAGAAGGCTACCATGTCGTTGCACACGTGACGAGGCTGAATCCTGCCTTGCACTGTCCCACTATGGTCGTGGGGCCCGTCGGTCTACGCCTAGATTTCCTGTGCCGTAGTCAGCGAGGTTGGGGACGTGGGGCCTTGTCCTTTTGGTAGGCCCGGAAACAGTGTCTCCCCCCCACATAGCACCTCAACCCATAGTTCGGGCCAGGTGGCTTGCTCTCTTCTCTGGGAGTCAACAACAATAGCATAGTCCTCAAATATGAGACCCAATCAAGTTCCCCGCACAATGTTGGGCAGGGTTGACGTGGGGATAAGACGCCTGTTTAGGCATTATGTATCTTGAAGTGATGCGAATGGAAGGGCATTGCAAATCCAAACATAGCGCGGAGCAGATACATCGGTCGTTAGTGCTATCACGATATGGTCGAGGTTTATCAGGTTCGTCGACGAAGACGGGCACACGACATTTGCAGATTCGCTCGTTGAGAATGGCGAAGACTTCTTTCCACTCTTGCAGCAACATCAGCTATACGCTATCAAGTTAGCAGGCAATGACCCTTTTGCACTTACTCGCACAAACGTCAAGATCAGGGTTGGCCGCCTTCTTGGGGTGCTTAAGGAAGAAATATCAAGGTTTCGGATGCATTGGCCTCAATTATGTGACCTTCTTTTCATTTCGCGCCGAAAATACGCCTGCTGATCGTCTGCGGCTCAAACACAGTAGGTTGAAAGTGGATCGAGGTTGCATTCTCCATCTTTAAAAGCGGCTTGCTTATACTACCCAAATTGCGGAAGGAGACTCCCCCATATCCCTCCACATTCATGAAACCGTCCACAGCGGTAGCAGCGTTCGATGCAGATATTCGAGTCCTACCGTTGCCCAAGGGAAACCCGGATTATGAAGGCGAACTTGTATGTAGAGCACAATTCGCAATGCCTAATCTCCCTGACTAGTTACAAGGCCGTCACCATAGGCAAAACGGGCAGAACATCTCTAAGCAAGACGCGATCTCTTACGTTGTTGGCTACGCTGCGTCAAATGACGTCTCAGCAAGGATGTGGCCGAATGAATGTGCTTATGGCGTCGGTGCAACGTTTGCAAAATCCTTTCACTCGTTTAATCCTCTAGGACCTGTGCTGGTTGCACCCTCCATTGTCGGCTCCACAGATAACCTGAAGCTACGCACTACAGTCAATGGAGGGTTGCGTCAGGACTCGAGCACAAGTGACATGCTGTTTAATGTTGCCGCCATTATCAGCTTCCTCAGCTAGGGCACTACCTTGCAAAAAGGCAGCGTCATCATGACAGGCACCCCTGCTGGAGTGGCATTCGGAATGCCAGAACCCAAATGGTTACAGGATGGTGATGTCGTCGAAGTCAAGATTGAACATCTGGGTAGTTGTGTGAGCAAGCTAGTCTATGAGTAGGAACGACGTGCAGCTTTCTTCCACCATTGACATTTGGTGGGTATGGCGGCCATAGCGGGAGTTGTTTTAGTACAGCTGATATCTTTAATCCCAGCCTGTTTGGGTGAATAACGCCGTCTCCACAGAAGATCCACCGCACTACGATTGCCCATGGGGGACCCCGGAGTTGACCCCGCACCCCAGACCCAGCCAACTTGAAGCAAGAACAAACCGTGCGTTTTCCGCTCCTGGTACGGTGTCTCCAGTCCTTTGATTCTCGACCATCCACAAGCCTACCTATTACGCGACGACTGATCTGGCACTGCTCCGCCACAGTATGTACCGCCCGTCCATCATCCTAACTATCACATTCCCCCATGCGCGCAAGAGGCAAGGAGAGGGAGAAGCAATGCGCGTATTGCGAGCGCACGTTCACCAAGGAGGAACACTTGAGGCGACACGAAAGATCACGTATGCCTGCTGGAGCTTGCTCACAATGGTTTGTTCCTGACACCCATCTGCAGATACGGGAGAAAAGCCTTTCAAATGCCACAAATGCAGCCGCAAATATGGTTGCAGCGACGTCCTTGCACGACATCTGCTCACGCACCCTCTCGACGACATAGCACACGCCCAAGGTCTCAACAGCTCTTCCTGCAACGGCGCAGAAACCTCTCCTCGCCGGCCTGAGAACATCGGCCAAACGAGCCAGGACGGGACTATGGTTCCAAAGGACCAAAACATGGCATTGCCATCTGAACATGACACTCTGATCATATCAAACCAGGAACAGCAGCAGCTATTTGCAGTGGTCTCAACCACATTTCCTCCGCCTACACATCACCAACTTCCCGGTAAACCCTCATCGCTGTTACCTAGGACCACCACGAGCGATCCTTCCGGTTCTGTGTCTGGCTCGAAAGCTCAACCACCCATTAGTCCCTCTGATCGAGTAGAGACAGCGACGACGACACGGAATGCGGATCCGATGTCGTGGTCCACAACCGCGCATGAAGGAACGGATGATGTTAGCAGATAAGACTGGGACATGCTCATACCTGCACCCGAACATGGTCCGGAGGATACCCCGGCTCCCAATACTGCTATCGCGCTTGGTGGGAGTGCTGCTGTGTTGACAGAGAGATTGTCTAGCGCTTTAACCAATAGATCCCAACTATCCTTTTGGCAGATAATGCAAGATCAAGGTGCGCTGGGCGCATCAAGTAGCAATAGGGTGCAGGATGACTCCTCGATCCAACAGCCGGAGAATCCTTCCTCACTATTCACAGCGGCTTCGTGTGCCGAAAAGCAGCCACTTCTGTACCAGCCAGCAGATATGGACCTGTTTGAAACTGACCTGTTCGTCTTTGACGGGGGCTCCGGGGTCTACTCCTATATGAGGCCATGGCTATGAAACTACGTGGAGTTTCCCGAGACTCCTCGCACTGCCCTACAAAGTCCACCTCGTGCGCATGAAGAGCAATTCACCAAGCCGGACATCCTCTTTTCTGTCGACCAAGTACAGCAGATGCGCAAACTATGGCGCGGCCAATGCTCAGGGCCCGGCAAACGAATCGGTCCTTCTCTATGGCATACCCTCGTCCAGCACCCAGCGGATAACACATTTTCGCGGCCGATGGTAACGCACTGTGATCAAGTCAGGCCAGAGTCTGGGGAACAGGGGATGCCTAGGGGGAGCCTTGACGAAGATTGTAGAAAGAGCATGATCGACTTCTGCAACGATATCAATAAGACCATCTATCGTGAAGACCTAGCCGATCGCACGCCTCACTCCACACCTCACGACGCCGAAACCGACATTGGAAGCTTGGCACTAGGATTAGCTGTCGATGGTTTTCCAACCAAAGAGGTTCTCGATGAGAGTTTGGACCTTTTCTTTCAGTGTGCTCATTTGCCTATCCCACATACAGCTATATTTGATGCTAGAACCATTCCGCCTTCCTTGTTACTACCCATGTGTCTTGTTGGACTTTCTTCCCTCCACCCAGAACGTTTCAAGGCGCTTGTACTACTAGAATGCCTCCTATAGCACTGGTACTAACTTATTAAGTAGTTTAAACCCATTATTAGGAACTCCGGAGCATGGATCCTTATACTAACTACTTGGTATTCCTTAATAACTTATTCCTGGTTTTGTCACTAGCGTATACCTTGCTTTATATCGGGTTTAGCGTAATAGACACTACGCGCAAGAATTATAAGGACTTCCTATAGCGATTTATTAACGCTAAACTATTAGATACTAATTTTACGTACGGATCCTACTCTACTAATGTTATTAATCACGCTCTATACTTTCTATAGTAGGATAACACTCTAGTTATTAGTATTACGACCACTTTTAGCATTCAGGAAGGCCCTAGGGACTATATTGTCCGGGCCCGTAAAAGGCCTACGAATAATGCCGTTACGTCGCCTGTTTTTGGTGATAAGGCACTTGAGGACTTACTAATTCTACGTGCTATCGATACCTATAACTATAGTCACGAGTTCGTCGATAATACGAATCATTTATAGGCTAAATTTTACGTGCTACCGCGGTAGGGAAAAGAGATCCTAGCGTCCACTTACGTACTAGCTTTTAGATACTTACCTAGTTAATTCCTATATAATTTAGCGTCACCTACAGCCCCAGGATACTTTACAAGATCACCCTTCCCATCGCTAGCTCCTAGATAAACTTATATATTCAATGCCTGCCTATAAAGAGGCCTTACCTACACCTCCTCCTACGCCTACTAGGCCCGTTATATATTAAACTACGTGCCTATAAGCATGCCGAAACGTGACTTTTGCGCCTAGAGCACTCAAAATAGCGGTAGTTACATTAGTAGAGGAGTACTCCGTGATAGAAAGCCTCGTCTAGCCCTAGGCCAGTTGTCAGGTAATGCTCGTAAAGAGGCCCGGAGAAATCGCTCATCACGTATCCAAACTAGCTATAAAACATACTAGGTGAACCTTTATATCAAGGAGGGCTGCTATGCTAAGTTTCATATAAAACGCTATAGAAATTAGGTAGTAGTGGCCACAATTACTAGCTAATATACCTAAGTCCATTCGTTTTTTATAAGGTGGTATTGGCGCCAAGAAGAAAAAGTCCCACCCTGACGACGGAAGGGATAGGAGTATGTGGGCTTGCAGGATGAGTTTCGGGCACTTAGACATTACTTTTCTTTTGCTTTTTTGCTTTTTCAGACGGATTAAGTATCTATAATTGATCCTATATAATCTTTTGCCTAGGGATCCTACCAAAACGCGTTGGTTGAGCCATGAGAGGTACTTAACCTGTCTAGACTGTCGACGCTTTTTTGAGGTGGTAGCGCTAAGAAATAAAACGGTCCCACCCTAGCCGCTCAAGGAACTGCCGGTAGGATTACGTGATACACGGGTTATTTGATAGTTGGTTGCGGCTAACACGTGGGGAAGATTACCAGGTTGAACAACATTTCCTGGCCCACATTGTTCTCGTGGGCCCCCTGTTTTGTTTGGCCATCACAACGCGACCTTACCAGATCACGCTGGTTTTTGAGACGGAATGCCGGTAACGGGACTCGGAATGAAAAACCAAACCAGGTGCGTAATGTCTTTGGTCACGCAACGAATTATGATATACTAGGCTCCGTGATCACAAGTCAATCAGTCTTTGCTTCTTCATCACATACTGGTCTTAAGCGGGCAGCTCTTAGCTTTTTGGCGCTGTGTACACATGCAGTAGGCCTCCATCAAGCCACCACTAATTTTCAGTTTTTCCACTTACCTACTTCTTTCGCTCTTTGCTAGGAATATCAACTTGGAACTGAATAGCAATCGCCTGAGTAAATTCCCTTTATGGTCTTTGGGAATGGTTGTTTCCAATATATAGAAAGTATCACAAATTACAGGCCAGAAACATGTCTCAGGGTAGTAACGCTGAGGGTAGCAGCACTAAGGCTTCGACGCTGAGCGATATCGAGACGGATGTCTTCATTGTCGGAGCAGGAGTCACCGGCCTTGGGATGACTATTTTATTGAACGACTTTGGTGTGAAGACATGCACGGTCGCAAGGCACCGAAGCACAGCACCAGCCCCGCGTGCACACATCACGAATATGAGGACCATGGAAATCTTCCGTGACATGGGCTTGGAGAAGGAGATCAGCGACGCGTCAATACCCCTAAAGGACCTGGGTAGTGCTTGGATAGGTACTAGCCTTACTGGTCTGGAGATCGGTCGATATAGTAGCTACGGAGGTGGTGATGAACAACTTACGCACTTTGCGCTTTCGAGTCCTTGCAAGATGGAAAGTACGCCACAAAACTTCATGGAAGAGGCTATGCTGAAGCGAGCCCGCGCAACTAGGGCTGACATCCGCTTTTATACGGAGCTCGTCTCCATCGAGCAGTCGGAGGATGGTATCCAAGCACGAGTGCGGGAGCGCGGCGGTCAAGTTGAATACAATGTTCGCGCCCGTTATGTCGTTGGTGCGGACGGCGGGCGCTCGGCTGTGGCGGAGATATTAGGATTCGGTTTCACCGGAAAACCAGGCCTGATGTCGATGCTTAGCTCATGGTTGGAGGTAGATCTGGAAAAGTACACAGCGTATCGCCCTGCGTGTCTATGGTGGCTGATGCAGGCTGGGAATGAGTATTGGGTCGGGTCAGGCTTACTCTTATGCGTACACCCATGGAATGAATGGACATTGCAACGACAGTACGATCCTACGCAAGGAGAACCGGACACCTCCGACGAAGCCATTATTGAGTACGCCCGGAAAGCGTTCGGAATCGAAGACCCAGACCTTAGATTTCGGGTCAAGCGTGTCACCAAATGGCAAGTTAACCATGTCGTGGCCATGGAGTATTCGAAAGGACGTATCTTCTTGGCTGGTGACGCTGCGCATCGCCATCCACCAACCGGTGGCTTGGGCAGTAATACTTCCATCCAAGACTCTTACAATTTAGCCTGGAAATTGGCATTAGTTCTTAAAGGACATGCCAGCGAGCGACTACTGGACAGTTATAACCAAGAACGGCAACCTGTAGGAAAACAGGCGGTCGACCATGCCATTTCGACCCTTTATGACCATACGTTACTCGCACCACTTCTAGGGTTCGAGCGTGGAAAGTCCCGCGAGGAAGGAATGGCCTCACTACAGTGGCTATTCTCCGACGTAACAGAGGCTGTTGAGCGTCGTGCCAAGGTCGAAGAGGTTATTAAGCTAGGAGATAAACGCTCCAATGCATTGGGACTACAGCTCGGGCAACGATATACAAACAGTGGCGCAGTCATTGACGATGGAACCCCTTTCCGTCCACATACGAGGGACCCGACTCTCTACTACGAGCCGACGACACACCCCGGAGCGTTCCTACCGCACGCTTGGCTTGAGTACGAGAAACGCCGTGTTTCGACTCTAGATGTGCTGAAGTACGGGAAATTCGGTCTTATTGTGGGCATTGGAGGGACACCCTGGGCTTCAGCCGCGGTGAAAGTTAGCGAAGAGCTGGGTGTGGAGTTGCCGGTCCATCCCATTGGAAAGCGTTGTATCTATGACGATGTCCTCAACGAATGGACTGATCGACGAGAGATCACCGACTACGGAGCACTACTTGTACGCCCGGACCGCTACATTGGATGGCGTTGTTATGACCGACATCCAAACCCTTGCCAAGCTCTCCGCTCTGCACTCCGCAGTATTCTTGGCCGCGATGAACCCAAGGTAGCATCATGAATGATGTCGAGGCGGTTGTAACAATCCAGGATAATTCTACAAGAAGCGACCCGTAGAATGGGAAAAAACTAGCCGAAACGAATATAAAGTCTATCACATCGAGGATTACTAACTTTAGACCCTAGATTCGGGTAGAGAATAATAATGTGAGAGTAATCGTAACTATAAACATAAATAGGATGTAAGTGGAAGGATGAGTCGCGAACTCGGTAGGTTTAAAATCAGTATACTCGTGGAGTTCGTCCTATAGTATACTTTCCATCTGACTATAGTTCGTATCGCACGACATATCTTTAAATATTGGGGAAGTTTAATAGAGGTTATATATCCGTAAGATGTTCGTAACCTATGATAAGCTAAAGTTTAGGAACGTATCCCTTAAGCGCCTAATGTAGTACCCTCGTTTTACTTAGCGCGATATTTCTAAAAACGCGTTAATACTCTAGACAAATAAAGTAACGATTATAACTAGGTCACTAGAAGGGTCGCTAAGGATAAGCCACCTATACCTAAGTAGAAATAGAGAAGTTAGCCGATGGAGAACGAGGCTACGTTATATAACTAGGCGTAGCTTAGTAGAATTAGTAGAGCTTAGTAGGGCTTAGTAGGGAGCTTAATAGAGCCTAATAGCTAGTAGAGCTATTAGTATTATATATAAATATATTATAATCCGAGCTATAAGTAGTTCTAATTAAGGTAGAGTTCCTTAATAGAGTAGATATAAGAGTATTAACTAGGATAATAAAGGAAATATTTAATCGTCGAACTATATCCTAAATATAGGTATAGAATTACTAACGAAGTTAACTACGAATTATTCTATCTAGGTAAAGGAATATATATATAAAATATTAGTATAGACTATAGACTATCCTAGACTATCTATATAGTCTATAGTTCCTTATAGTTTAGCTTCTAGTTATATAATATAGCCTCGTTCTCTATCGACTAACTTCTCTATTTTCTTTAGGTACGACTAGCTTATCCTTAGCGACCCTTCTAGTAACCTAGTTTATAATATAGATAAAGAAGTAATATTAGGTACTACTCGTACTAATAGGTAGGACTACTAGTAGAGTAGCGTAAATAGTCTTAATATCGGATCTATCTCTCGATTATAAGTAATACCTTAACGTATCTATTATAGTAAGCTTAAAGTATAAGGTTCCCCTAAGACTCGTATACGGTAAGTAGCTCTTATATACTAGAATCTCGGCGTTCGCTTAGCGGCGCTTATTCGTTCCTAATATTATTTCTTCTCCTCTAGGTTCCTCGTCCTTAAGGAACTAATTTAAATAAAGTATAGTATATAATATATATATATATATCGTAGCCCTATAGCGTATAGTATATAGTAGTTTATTATTACGAACTAGGTTACTCGAAAGGTTACTAAGGAAATTAAGGCACCTACCTAGGAGGGAAGTTAGCCGATAAAGAACGAGGCTAAGTTACGTAACTAGGGAAGGCTAGATCTCCTAGATCCCTTAGATCCTATAGGATCTTAAGAGATCTAGGGGGAGCTACGAGATCTAAGAGAGCTACTAGTATTATATATATATACGCTCGCTATCTATATTAAGATAGATCGTAGTTAACTTCGTTAGTAATTCTATACCTATATTTTAGGATATAGTCCGACGAATAAGTATTCCCTTTATTATTCTAGTTAGTACTCTTATACCTACTCTATTAAGGAACCCTACCTTAGTTAGAACTACTTATAGCTCGGATTATAATACTTTAACTACTACTTAATTAGTATTAGATATCTAACGTAGGATCGTCTCGACTTAAATCCCTACTATCTAGCGTATATCTACTTATAGCCTTAAATAATTCTTTAAAGACTAATATCGTTTAAGATAGTAGTTCCGACGAAGACTCCGACGTAGATATAGTTAACGTACTAGAACTTACTAATATATCTCGGAATAGTATTAAGGTAGAACTATTCTATAGGAATAGAGAGAAGCTAAAATACTTTCTTATATAACTTAAGACTACCTTTAAGCTTAATCTAACTAAGTATACTAGAGTAGAGAATAAGGTTATATTCGTAGTAATATACCTTAAAAGAGTAGCGTTCTATTAGTTTAAACTAGTATAGAATAACTACCTCGAGTTCTTCGACTCCGATAACGAAACTAAGGTATACTTTAAGAACTTTACGTAGTTCGAAGTAATAATTAAATAGATCTATAGTACGATTAACGAGGCTATAGTAGCTTCTCGTACTATCTATATCCTTAAATAAATAGGATCTATAGCTAACTATTATTCGGAATTTAAGAAACTAGCGAAGAAACTAGAATATATAGACGATAATATCTTTAAGAATACGTTTTATAATAAATTAAAGAAGAAAGTTAAGAAGGAAATAATAGAGCGCTCGGAAACGTATAAAGATATAGTAGATAAGGCTATTAAACTTAATAATTAACTATACGAACTATATATAGAAGATAATTAAGGAAGGAGCTTAAGAAGACGAGAATATCGAAGGTATTAATATTCTCCTCGAGCTAATACGAAATATCTATAAAACTATAAAAACTCTATAAACCTAGATACTATAGAACGTTATAATACTTAATAAATAGGCCTAGGTAGAGGCCGGAATATAGAGCGAAAAGTTATAGAAGGACGAGATCGAGAGAAGGAAAGATAAAGAAAGGAAAATCTATACTATAAATATAGTAAGCCTAAATACTATATATATAATTATCTAAAAAAGAAAAGCGCTCGAGGACTATATATAATAAATATATAGAGCGATAGTATAGACGACTTAATAGCGAAAAAGGCCGATACTATTAAAGAAACCTAAAGATCTATTAAGAGTAAGGATAAAATAGTATAGAAGGACTATCGAGAATCGAATAACTTTCGAGAATTAGATAAGTTAAATATTAAGTAATTAGAAGAAGAATTCTAGTTAAGATATTAAACTAAGAAACCTAAGGAATCTAAGTATAAAACTTAGAGAAAAGAAAAGTTCGACGAATTTCTAAAGAGAAAATAGTAGAGCGAAGTAATATATAATACGAGGAGAAATATTATAAGATATACTTAAGAATTATAGTATTTCTACTATAAAGACGACTACTAATTCTATTTAGCTTTAAAAATCGAAAAATAGTAGTTTCTATATAAGAATAGAGAAAGTATAAAGCCTTAAAAATAGAAATAGAAAGTCTAGGAAATTCTAGCTATAATAATAGTTAATTTCGAAAAAGAAACGGTACTCGTAAATATAGATAATTATACGATAATTAGAATAAAATTTTAGAAGATAGTTAATAGAATTATAGTATTAGATAGAAGAGTAACGTAGAAAATATTTAGAACGGTATTAATCTATAAGTATCGAACTCGAGGATACTAATAATATAAATATACCTATACGTATATAAAGAATAGAGAACTATATTAACTAAAAATTTAGCGAGAAGAAGACGAATAGATATCGATAGACGAGATATTACGATAATATAAGAACTCTATAGAATTCTATATATATTTCTAGAATAAAAGGGAAGAAGAAACTCTATACTATTATAACCTAGACGCTACTCCTAGAAGAAAATAAAAATATATATAGATCTAGAAATATAATAACTAGGAATACTCCTTATAAGTCGAATATACGTACGATACGTATAACGAGGAAGCTTACTTTACGACCTTTAAAGGACTAGGTAAAGGAGTAATCTATACGAAAGGATAGTTAGTTTAGCTTAAGTAAGGACTATTTAGTTTTAGGACGGTAATACTACTACTACCTTATTATAATATATCTATAATAGAAAAAGGACTCGCGAATAAGATTATACTAAATAAGCTTAACCTAGTAATTATTCGAACCTACTACTAGGTAGTAGGACTAGCGGAAAACTCCGGAATATAGTATAATTCCTTAGGATAACCGAAGAAAGAAAGAATCTATATAATAATTTATAAATATACTTAGAATAAATACGAGAATAAAGAAAATAGCTATACGTACGATTACGTAAACTACGTATTTCCTTTCCTATTTAGAGAAGGAGAAAACGATAACTAATTAGAAGAATTATAATAGTAGTTAAATAAATATAAAAAAATAAGACTACGAAGGATAATATATACTTACCCCGACGATATAGTACTAATAGAAGAAAAGAATAAGGTAATAGTATCGAAATATTATCTTATAGTATTTATTACTAACTACTACTAGGTAAGTATTAAAGATAGTATTAAAAAATTAATATTTTATCCTGGTAGGCTAAGATAATTAACTCGAAGAGTAGTTAATCTAAATAGATACTACGACCTAGAATATTTAGTAGTAGCTTCTTACTATTTATATAATATAGTAAAGGGCTAAGTAGTACGATACGACCTACTAGCGTAAATAATTAGAAGGATATAAGTATAATTAGTATATCTAGATAATAGAAAAGAAGAATAGAAAGAAGTAAACGCTAGAAAATTAAATAAAGACTTCGAAATATTATTAAAAGAAGAAGAAAAATATTATATAGCTAAGGTTATAAGGAACTAAATTAAAATTATAATAAAATACTAGAAATATAGTAAATATATAGAATATAATAGCGAAGCCGAAAGATACCTCTATATCTATTATAATCCTAAAATAAAACTATAAGAATAATAGAACGAAATTAATATATTATTCTACTAGGATTACGAATATAATTAAGTATTAATAGTATATATCTACGTATAGAGACTAATCTACGAACGAATTATAGTTAATCTCGAATAGGAAGATATAAAGAAAATCTAGGGAATAGAAGCTCTAACGATACGAAATTTATATATAATATAGGAAGATAAGAAGGAGAATATACCTTATATTAATAGACCTGTAAACTCGATATACCTATTTAGTTACTTTAACTACGCGGAAAGAAGCTACTAATAGTATTTTAAGCTATATTAATACCTATAGAATATAAGCCCGAATCGACTTCGAATCCTAATTAATAAGA